GATGATCTTGCTCTTGATCTCCAGCAGTCCTCTCTGTTGTCTGCCCTGCTGACCATGTCATTTTGTTTGTACTTGAGAGATTATAGACCTCTGACTCTGACTGACTGATCGTGTCAAACGTTCAGGTGAACTTGGGAAAAGCAAAGACAGGAAGTGGAAGAGGGAATGGGGGAGGATTATTAGTTTAAAAGATTGCATATTGGCTGGTCCATAGTTCTTAGCAATGATTAAGAATGATCATTTGTGTTCAAGCTTGCTTGTTGTTTCAAAAGCTGTTTTATTTGTAATTCTTGGGTCAAAAGTCAGAGCACAAGACAGCCAAATCTTGCTTGGAGCTATGGAAAATATTCTGAATTGGAGCCTAGGGATAAATTAATCTCCCACCCATCATAATACTCATAAAGAGCTGCAAGCCCAGGAGTGGGCACTCATGCTTTGGCTATATTCATCTCTGTTGGCCATAACTTGGTGGTGTTTGGTTCAGCAGCTGCCCTGACACATGTAGTGAGGAGGATTCTGACCTCCTGTCTTTCTACCTCAGGCCATACTGCAGTGTGACTCCTGTGCACCTGTTCTCTGGCTAGCCAGTGCGTAGTGGGGTCGGTTCCTGGAAAGCCTTCCCTGCATCATGTGTGCTGTGCAAGACACACACAGAGCAAGGAGGCATAGAGGCAAACAGCAGGCGGGAGCACAGGGCACTTAACTAGTGAAGCCCCTGCTGGGGTTCTGTTTGTATCTGTAATAATTCCTTTTTTAGACAAACAAGCAGCTTTCTTGAGGTATATTTTGCATATTGTAAACACTACTCATGCAAAGGAACGAGTGTTTCTGGTAATATTACCAAGTGGGGTGCCCTCACCATACTTCAGTTAGAACTGAGAGGGCATTTTCTCTCCCAATAGGGTCCCTCATGTCCTCTTACATTTGCTCCCATCTCTCCAGCTCCAGGCAACCACTGAAATGCTTTCAGTCTCTCTTGTAGTAATTTAGTTGTGATTGGCAAGATCATAGTTTCCTAATTTAGATAATTTGAATAATCCCAAGAATAAAAATTCGTGAATGAAGCCCAGGCTCCCTTGGTTGACCTGGCGCTCAAGCTTCCCTTCCAGCTGTGCTGTCCCCATCCACATCACATGGGCTACCCTCACTCCATCTCGAAGACAATTCTCCCATGTTTTGAAGGTCTGTCTTCTATCCCCTGCTCAACAAAGAATTCTCCACTCCCTGTTTACTTAATGAAACAGGCAGCTTGTCTCTTGTCTTACGCCCTGAGTTCTTGAGGTCTGAGGTTCTGTCTAACTTGTATTATTCTCTAACCCCTCTGTGCCTCCAGCTTCCTCTCTGTACTCTGGGGCTGTGCACCTCCTTATGTAGTGTCCTTTGCAGTTGTACTTGGCTGTCGAATGTCCATGACAGGAAGCTGTGGGCCCTGTCCCCATTGTCTAGCCTGTTGCTTAAATGAATGAGGAATGAAAGTGTGCTGGCTGAGCATGTGTGGATATCTCACAGATTGTTCATTCCTCTGCTTAAATATTTTGCTGCAAGTACTGAGGCATTGCCTTCCTCTTCTCACCCCATAAATCCACTATCAGTACCTAAGTTTGTATTTTAATTAAATAATGAATTATCTCAAAATAAATGTATAAACCAAATCGTAATTGATGTTCTTTTCCCCTGCTGAAGAGAATCTTGCTTTTCCCATTCATGCTTATGCTTATACCTACACACCTATTAGGGTTCTTCCTAGAAATACGATTTTAACCTATGAGCATCTTGCTCTCCTCCCCCTCCCTGCCCCCACTGTACCGCAGATGGCTCTGGTGCCTTTGGCTCTGCTGCCACCATGAGCAGCTCTGAGCATCTACTGTTGGCCCTGCACTGTTTCCTTGGCAGGCGGTGTTAGGGTGATTCCACATGTGCCTAAGACTCTGACCATAGCACTGTGTGAGTGTGTAGATGAGTGGACACCAAGGTAAGGGGCAGGAACGGGAACAGGAACCCTTCTTCTCCAGCCTGGATCAGTCAGCTTGACTGCTTAAAACCAAAGCTTCTGTGTTAGTATGTGGAAATCACTGATCTCTGTACAGAAAAATGTGCTGCAGCCTGGTATGTCTCAGTTTGTAGTTCTTGGTGTGCATGCATATATTTATTCTTAGGCATCGTGTTTCATTTACCTTTGTAGCCAGTTGTTGTCTACAAAACACACTCAGTAAATACATGATAACTAGATGGATGAATTCACATGCGCATGTGCTATTTATGTTTGATTTCTTTTTTTTTTGGTTAGTTATTTTTGGGACAGGGTTTCTCTGTAGCCCAGGTTGGCCTGGACCTCAATATGTAACCCAGACTGGCCTTGAACTCATGGTCCTCCTGTCTGCACATGCTGATGTTGGGATTATAGCTGTGTGCTGCCAGGCCTAGCACTGTGTTTGATTTAAAGATAGTGATATAACTCAGGCTGTATCTGAAGCCTCTATAGATTCTGTCTCTTATGTACTAATGCTCAGAAAAATATTGAAGTGTATTGATTTAGCCCACCAATACTGTTTAAAGCTAGGAGCTGTGGGGCACATGGAATATTGCACTGTTGGTCACCTCCCTTTAGAACATACTTTGTGAAGCAGGCAGGGCCTGACAAGTGCTAGAAGAAATTGAGAAATTTCTAAATTTCTGGGGAACCTGGGGTGCTTCATGGAGAAAGTGGCATTTGAGTTACTGCTGGGGGTGGGGGCCTTGGACAGTGAGGATAAGGGAGACATTTCACCTGGGGCCAAACTGAGGACAAGCATTTAATCAGGGAAGCAGAGTTCAGTAGGCCAAATATGAAGGGAAAAAGTAGCCAATGAGATGAATTGTGGAGAGGCCTAAATGCAAGAATAAGAAGTTTAGTATGTGTATAAGGGACACAGCCTCAGGTAAGTATGGCAAGACTGTGAAAGAGGGATTGGGGCAGCCAGAGACCAGGAGCCTGTGAGAGGGAGCAGGAGATGCCACACCTATGCCAGAGAAGGGACATTGAGGCTAACTTAGGCCCAGGACATGGCAGTAGTATGGAGGAAGTGTTGGGGAAGGACCTGGAAGATGGAAGAGACCTGGTGTAGCACAGCTGTGTGATGCAGAGATTTACTAGCCACCAGGAGGATAGTGAGGGATGGTAACAGGAGCCAAGAGGAGATGGTGAGGATGGTTACAAGAGCTCCTGCTGCAGGGTGTTGCAAAGCTGCTACCGAGAGGGGTGGGAGCTGTACTGAAACCTGCATTCCTTGTGTGGGTTCTTTCTGCTGAGGTTCACAGTGGAAACCAGGTGTGCTTGCTCTCCATGATTAGTCATCAGTGTGGCCTTTTGTTTGTCACTGTCATCCACAGACCTCACCTTAAACTGAGCTTTTCAGTATTCAGAACTTTATCTCTTAGGGCTAATCCTCACAAGTCACAACAGATTACTATGTGCCTTGAAGGAATGCCAGGTCCAAAACAAATGTTGAACTGTTTAGTCCTAAGACAAAAGTTACCAAAAAAACATTTCTGAAATGGCAGTCACTAATTGACCTCTTCCAGGCAGAATTGGTTGTTGGAACAGCATTATTACATACCTTAATGATATTTGTCAAGTGAGTTTGAAAGTTTCATGTGCAGAGCATGAATAGTGTCTGGAAATCATATATAGTATTGCCTTAAAAATGGTGCCTGTATTTTACCTTCCTGTCGAAAGTAATTATACTGAAAATAGTTTCCTTTGCTTGACTTTGAGAACAAATGTGGAGGTTCCAAAGTCCTCCCTCCCATTCTTTTTGTAATGTGGATGCAGCAGCCGAGTGGCACAGCCTGGCACTCTTGCTGTTTGAAGGTGTGCCAAGCCTGGGGAGGAGCAAAGAAGGTCTCAGGCCCATTTTCCACTCGGGGAGAGAATCTTGAGGCTCAGGACACGAGTCTGTGTGTGGAGGATCTTCTGGTGGGAGCTGTGCAGCTTTTATTTTGATCAGGTTTGAGCTGCTGTCAGACAATCTTGCTTGCCCTAAGTGTGCCCTGGGTTTGTCAGGAAGATTTAATTCCACTCAGTTAAAGTCAAGGTGACAATTCAAGCTGGTGTTTCTTGCTTCTTGCTATAGGGAGAAGCATAAGGGGCACCCAAAAGCCTCTCCTTTTCTTGGTTGACTCCGCTTTCCTGCCACAGTCCCTCACACACTCACACCTATATACGTCACACGCATGGACATACCTACACCCAGACACCCGTTACCACAGACATACTTATTGATACACTCACAGTGCTCCTTCACTCCCTGGCCTCCACTTACAGTCACACTCATTTCTTCTCTCATTGCACTCAGCATTCATTCACATGCCTTCCTGCAGATAGAAGCCTGGACTCTGCCTTCCGTTCGCCTCCATGTTGGGGGTCCAAACCCAGCACAGCCCACCGTGAGGTTGCACCAGTGTTGACAGTTGAAAATGAATCTATCTTCCTTCCTTCCTTCCTTCCTCCCTCCCTCCCTCCCTTCCTCCCTTCCTCTCTTTCCCTTTCTCTCTTTCTTTTCTCTCTCTCTCTCTCTTTCTCTTTCTTATTTATTTATTTAAATTTTAAGGGATTGGAGTTTGAACTCAGGCCTCATGCTTACTAGGCAGGCGCGCTCCCACGTGAGCTACTTCACCAACCTGGATATTCCATTTTCTTCCAAGCTCTGTAAAGTCATTCTGTCATTAATTGTTTGAATGATCATTAATTGTTGAATGATTCTATCATTCCAGTGTTTTTTCTTCATTGTAATTAGGGTCATTTACAAACTTCATACCATAACAATATCAGGTTATTGTGGAAAACACACAGACATAGGCCTTTCGTTAGATACATGCTCACTTGTATCTAACTGTCATACTGTGCTGGTCAGGTTTTGCCTAAGGATAAACTATTAGCAAATGCTCTCTAACATGCTTGCTACCCCTACTTTAGACTGAAGGGAAACTGACTAAGAATATCCTTTTTGGTTTGTTTTTAGATTCAGAATATGAACAACATCATCTCCTTCCCTTTGGACAGTTTGCTGAAGGGGGACCTGAAAGGAGTAAAAGGGGTATGTTACACCCTGCTCGTCAGAGAGTTATGTCACAGGAGTAACAGGGTTGACCATCAGGGTAGCCACCCATCCACCCAACAGGGCTTTTTGCTCCCTGTTCCTTTGAACTGATATTTGGACACCATCTTTTGGCCAACCTTTTTGGTCATCCCGTTGGTACTACAGGCTTGGTAAAGCGAAAATGCGAAGGGGAAGAAGTAAGCCATTTTGGGGACTAGATACTTCAGGGTTCCCACAGGTGAGCAGGGAAACCTGAGGGAAGAAGTCTGTTTTTTCCTGCTGTTGTGTTGCTGATTTACCACTGGGAGAGAGCCTAGCACAGAGGAGTTCCCTGGTGGGAAAGTCACATTTGTTAAGACATGAGTTGACTTTGTTTCTCCGTCCTCCAGAGGATGTTGGCAGTGTAGGACGTGCTGGCTGTGCACTGCTTCACGAGGGTGGGAATGAGGAGCATTCAGGGCTGGAGGAGTTTGGCTGAGTCCCTGGGAGACCTGAAGTCTTTGATTGCATCTGCATGTGATTTTTGAGTCAAGACCCTGGGCATCTCTGGAAGTATGTCTGGTCCATCTTGGGTCTTCTGCCAAGACCTCTTAGTATCTTCCTTATAGAGCATGCCAGAAGAGAGCTGTTCAGACAACAAGGAACGTTACCTATCCTTCCTGTGGAGGCTCTGAGAACAGTCAACTTAGCTAGCCGGAAAAACCAGAGGTAGGGAATGCTTAGCAGAGGAGAGGCAGGTCCAAAAGTGGAAGCTTGCATCCACACTGCACCAGGTTGCCAAAGTACAGAAGAGTCAGGAGGTATCAGTGGCAAGGGCCGTTTCACAGAGGACTTTGTATGGCTGTTGAAGAGCCAAAAATAAGCAAAGTTTGTCTCTTCCAAAAGAACCCTGTTTGAAAGAAGCATAACTTGGTGGGAACCATTTGATAGAATTTCAAATGGTTCAGTAATTTTTTTGAGCTAGGCTTTGTCAGAATTAGTATGAGTTTTAAATTTCAGACAGGAGACTAGGTGGTTTTTAGATTCTGATTCTTAGGTTCAAGTCAGGGTTCTATGTGTCAAGGAGATTCATATATTGTTAGAAAAGTCAGAGTCCCTTTCTTTTAGAGACATACACTGAAACACTGGCAAATTCAATGTTGTCTTTCTTTGTTTAATTTCAGGGTAAACCTAGGGTAGACGGGAGGGTGTAGGTGACAAGATGGGCCAGAAGTATTACAACTGGCTGACGGGCACATTGTATGGTCTCTTTGATTTTGTATGCATTTCATATATTCTATAATAAACATTAAAAAAATAGAAATGCCACCCCACCTGTATTCTAATTAAAAGCCTTTGTCTGGGCTCTTTATTTTTCATGGGATTCCATGGTCTAGGATAAGGAAATTTGCCTCTCACAAAATTAATGATTAGCTCTGCTTAATTGTCGCCTCTCTGTTTACAGGACCTGAAAAAGCCCTTTGATAAAGCTTGGAAGGACTATGAAACAAAAATGTGAGTGTTGCCATTTTTAAAACAGATTTCAATTTTCAAGAACGCTTTTATTGCTAAAAGGGATTGTCTGAACAAACCTTAGTTCCGGAAAGAATTTAACCCAAAGCCATGTCACCATGGTTTGTTAGGAAGACAAGTGCTTCCATGCCTGGTGTCTATATTCAGAGATGGTGGCATTTTTCAGCAAGGTCCTGTGCCCCTCTTCTGTGGTGTTCTGGTGGTTATAGAGTGTTAATGTTCAAGAAAGTTCACTGAGGAGTTTGGGGCAATTTCTCTTACCAGGTATTTCTTTCCTTTCTTGTTTTTGAATGCTTTCTCCGTTTTAATTACCACTTATGACAGCAATGCAGTTTTAAATTTCATCTTCCTGGTGACTTGTACAAACCGTCTGCTTTTAGCTGTGGGTCCTTGTTTCTCTGAAAGACCAGCTCCCTTGGTTTTTAGAAAGCTTCTGCAATGCATGTCTCCTTCAACTTTACTTGACTGCCTCTGTTGCCAAAAAAGAACATAAAGACTGTGGACCACAGTTCCTACTGAAGACACCCTGCTCCTGGCTGACTGCAGGCATCACACTTTCTCATTCCCAGGGCAGGGAGAGTTGACCTAGCTGTAATCTAGCTACCTATTGTGGGGAATAAGGGTTTTAATTATTTTAAATACTTGTGAAACAGAAAATAATTTAAAAATACTCTGTAATCTTTGTGCCTTGGGGAATGGAGAATATTCTGAATGGAAGCAGAAATTTTCATATGAAGCCATCTGGTAAAGTGAGAAGTGTTAGGCAGGAAGTTACTTCAGATGTGTTTAATTTGGCTTTTTTTTAAACCAGCTTTGGGTATCTTTTTAGTAGTGAGGATCACCAAGCTTGAACCAGTGAATAGCACACACTTGATACTCATTCTATCCATGGAAATGATGAGTTTCCATGCTGGGAGCTGCTTGGATCCCAAGTGTGGAGTTTCACCGATGGCATGCATTCACGTGTTGGCCTGGGGGAACTGTTCAACCCAGGCAGACTCCCAACTGGTTATCCCTAGCCCTTCAGCATCCTTTATCTGTGACCAGTTTGGTGAAATAAGTAGGGTCAGCATTCCTACTTCACAGATGGGAGACCAAGACCCAGTAAGAGGGTCTTGAGGTGGGGCTAGCAGGTGGGTCTGCTGGCTTTTGTCCAGCTGCTTGTGCTGCCCCTCTGAGAGCCTACATGAAACTACTTCTGTATACACTGGACCAGGGTGATGAGTAGCTGCTGGAGAAGTCTGCCAGAGAGAGACTTGTGGTTCTGAAGAGAAGGGTTGGGAAGTAGAGAGAACATTACCTTCTGTAAAATCAAGACACATGTAGATAGGGAAGGGATAGAATTGCCCACAAAATCCCAGATTCTGAGGAGGTGTGGCAGTACCCTTTAAACTTGAATGATTCTAGAATATATAAAGGAAGGCGTACTTTACTTACTAATGCACTGTGGATTCTTTACTTGTCCAAGAGGCCTTGGATTTAAGATAGCTTTCAAATTCCTGGACAGTGATTCCAAACAGATTACTAAGAAAAATGACTGGTCTGGACTATGTCTTGGTCCCTTTTAGGGACTATTGGGATCTTTGAGTTGTATAAGGTGAGTCCAGGAGGGGCCTTACAGGACCCTGCATTCATCGCCTCTTCCAGGTACCTGATTCATCAAACAACATCCCTACCAAATGGTCTCTTTCCTATTTCCATTCCTGTTTCTCCTTCACATTGTTGAGTACACCCAGTGTGTGTGCCCAGAGAAACACAAGAACAAAAGGGTTACACACACACACACATACACACACACACACACCTCCCCCAGATGGGAACTTTCTGGAATCCCAACTAGCCTGTTTCATCATTGAATGATTTTTAAACAAAGCACCACTTTGAGGCTCTGCAGAAAGTGCTTCCTAGGCCTCATGGCAGCTCTTTAGATTGAGTGCTTTCTGTTGCCTTTCTTTAGTCTCCTTTTCTCTAGAATAAAAACTCCTCGTGGTTTCCAGCCCTTCATACCTGAAGCGATTTTGTGGCTCCTTTTACCTTCGTCCTTATCGTCTGGACTTGTTCCAGCTGGTCAGTTTAAGCCTGAGCTATAACCTTGACATTTAGGTAATAGAGTGCAGCATGGGGTCACCATGAATAGGGGTGTGAACCAGATAAAGGATGAGCAGGTCATGCTGTAGTGCCAAGCACTGGGAAAGGAGGAGGCTGGAGAACCTGGGCGACTTTTCTAAGTAAGAAGGGTGATGAGAGTGCCAGAAGAAGTCAGGAGAGAGAGGCCAGTAGGGATGTGGGAGATCTGTGGGGACCGTCTACCTCCACTGATGGACCCAGATGGACTCAGCAAGTGTTTAGGAAGTCTTTGTTGAGTGATTAGTGGGAAGGCCAAGTTTTTATGATGATGGTCAGTTTCCTTTTGAGAGAGTTAAGAGACTCTCCTATTCTGAAATGCGTGGTAAGCATTTGTCTACAGGCCGGGTAATAGGACAGCTTAAAGGCGATCTCAGAGTGCCATGCCAAGAGAGCTCTTGACTTATCCATGCTTTTCTTCATGCACAGAACCAAAATAGAAAAGGAGAAAAAGGAACATGCCAAGCTCCATGGGATGATACGTACCGAAATAAGTGGGGCTGAAATTGCGGAAGAGATGGAAAAGGAGAGGAGGTTCTTCCAGCTACAGATGTGCGAGGTAAAATACTGCAAAGGGCAGGTCCCCAGTTGAGCATGGGGACCCCTATACCCCCAGCATGGTCATCTTTGCTCGGACCTGTGGCCTCAGAGCAAACACCACAGGGATTCTTGGACTCCATTTCTATGATGACATACTTTTACTAGGGGAGTCTTAGTCTCCTAGTAGTAGAATTCTTTCATTAAAAGTAGAGAACATAGAGTGGCCTTTCGGGCGTCACATAGTTGCTCTCTCAGACGTGTCTGCTCTCCCTGGAGTTGATTAAACTCTTGCTCCCGAGGTGTGTTTTGATGAAGGATCTGGGCTCCCATTTTACCAGTGGAGTCAGAGAGGGATGAATCATCTGGAGAGCCTTCATGGCCCTCCATGCCACGGGAAGCCTTCACCTGCTCCATGCCAGCGGCCCTCCTGCCCTGTGGCCTAAGCCCTTGCCACGGGGATAGGCAAGCAGCACAGAGCATGTCTGCAAGATCAGACCATCCAATCATGAAGGCCATTTCTTGAGTGAAGCCCTTCTGGTTTGGGACCTGATCTTCCAAGCTGTGCCAGTGATGCCTCTGGCTGTGGGTGGTGCTGTGAATGGCATTTGTCCTCCCTGGCAGCACCTTCATAAACCCAGCTGTGGTGAATCTACTTTGCTATTCATTTCTGTAAACGCTTCTGATTATTTCTTTGAGTAAATTCCTGTAAGTAGAATTTCTGGGCCAAAGAGTACATACATTTAAGGTTTTGATACATTGCCAGCATTTTATTAGTGATTGTATCATTTTGATACATTGCCAGACATCCAATTAACAGTGAATAAATATCAAAAATGAAGAAGAGATACACATACGTAGTTTTTGTAGAGGAAAAAAAAAATTGTAGCTTATGGTTTCGAGCAGCTTCCCCTCTCCTTACTGATTTACACAGTAAATCAGGAAGTGCTCCTGGGGGAGCATTTGGATGTGGGTTCAGCCCTTTGTGACAGCTGGAAACTGTGGGACTCTGACAGGCATCTCGTTTCAGAGATGAGGGGTTCTTCAGGGTCCTTTGTACCACCACCTAACAGTGAGGGGATAGGAAGATTACAGCATTCCACCTTTTGTGAGCCTTTAGGAAAGAACTGCATTTCTTGATGCTGGCTTTATAAGATCCTGGCACTTCCTGATGTCTTAGTGATCCTTAATGAATTCTCCAAGTTAAAAATGGCTTGAATTAGTTTCAGTTTAAAAGTTAAGCAGTCACACTTAAGGGAAGTACCTTGGGATTACCAACATGGGGACAAGGGTCTTAGGTTTAGAATTTTAGCAGTTAATGTTCTGGATAATGACCTGAGGTCATTGGGACAGAGGTCTGGGACAGAAAACCTGTGCACAGGAAGATACAAAGTGGCTAGCAACTGACATTGCAGCCATCTTCCTCCTTCTATGCATCCAGAGTGAGACTTTCTCCTGGTAGGTAGGATGAGACAGAATGTCCTGTTAGTAGGAGTTTTTGGTTCTTAAACACTTAATTAGCTGACCTGCAGGTAATTCATATGTCACCTAACTAAAAGAAACATCTAATTATGGCATGCAGAAGGTATCAAGTGTTTGCCATGAGTTCTGCCATTTGTAGAAGAGAAGAAAGAAGTAGAAGAAATAAATCTGTCTTCAGAACTGAGCTACTATTAAGCTCATTTTCTGCTCACTTCTGTGATGGGTCCCTTCTTTGCTTCTTAACAGTACCTGCTGAAGGTCAACGAAATCAAGATCAAAAAAGGAGTGGATTTACTTCAGAATCTGATCAAATACTTCCATGCTCAATGCAAGTAAGTCTTTTTTTCTTTATGAGCTCAATATGAATGCTTCTTCCTGTATGGCAGCTTCTGGTAAACTGTAGTATTGAGGAGGATAAACACACACTTAGAAATCTAAGTGGAAGGAACAGGTATCAGTACGTGCTCCACAGGTGAATCTTGAGAACAGGCAAAGGACAGGGAGGCTGATCCAAACGCTGTAAGACTCTGGGTACTTGACAAGCCAGGACTAAGCAATTCAGAGAGACAGGAAAGCAGATTAGTAGTTGCCACACTGTGAGTGAAGGAAGAAATGGGGATTGGCTTGCTGATGGATATGGGGTTGCTTTTTGGGGTAATGGTAAAATTCTGGAATTAGTGCTGATTGTATAACTTTGTGAATATACTGAAACACTCTATACCGTACACTTCAAAAGGGTGAATTTTATGAGTTGCGAACAATATCAATAAAAAAATAAAAGTATGCATGCAATGTAAAAAACCTACAGTGATTACCAAATGTGTTTTGTTTTTGCTCTTTTTATAGACAGACAAACTAGTTTAATCTGACATGTGGTCTCAGATGAGTTTTATTTGTTAAAAGAGAATTGAGAAGGTGTTGATACAATGTATTAAGAAAAAACTTTCATATATTACTGATCCTCTGAAGCCAGTGACCATGGGAGAAAAGGAGGGTACAAATAGGAGAGAAAGAAACCTCCATGCTGAAGTTTTCAGCACTGCCCTAGATGTTGGCCCCTCGTAATCTGGCCATCTCTCTTCTCCTGACCCCACAGCAACTGGTTAAACATACCCATGGTTGTCTACTCACTCACCTGACAAACTTTTACTAGGTATGTGCTTAAGTCAGACTCCATGCTAGGTGACAAGATAAAGTGATGCACAATATAGGCTTAGTTCCTGCCTAAAGAATCAAGCTGGGGAATTGGACTGAAGAATTGGATGTTTACAGCTGGGTGTGATGGTACATATCTGTAATCCCAGTACTTGGGAGGCAGAGGCAGGGGAGATCATGAGTTCAAGGCCAACCTGGACTTCATAGCAAAACATCAATAAGTTGGATAGTTCCAAAAGTATTTCTAAGTATGGGAGTCTGAGAGAATATAATAGGAGCACTTAACTGAGACAAAGATTTAGGGTTCCCCCCTCCACACATGCCTTTTCTATTTTGTTCCCTGTTGCATTCTCCAACAGTCAGAGCGTAGTGCCTAGCACATAGGGAGTACTCAGATTCTTCTTGAGTTCACTGCAGGCCTCTTTGAGGAGACATGGACTTTTCAATTTAAAGGATGAGCAGGAGCCAGGAGATAAGGAGTGTGTGCGTGGAAGTGGCTGTTCCCTCCAGGACTGAAGGTGGGAAAAGACCAGGGTGGTGTGATCTTAAGTGAGTGGGACAATGGGGTGAAATGAAACTGGACAGAGAAGCCTTAGGTGTCACATGCCAGGTTCAGGATCTTATTGCAAACGTGTTTGAAAGCTGTGGAACAGTTTTAAGCATGGGATTCACTTGCGTGAAACTCCTACAGTTGTTAGGCACTGCTTGAAGTTCTGGCAAAGAGGGCAGAAAACCAGTTCTTTCCCTTGTGGGTCACTGAGTCTGCTGGGGCAGACATGTAGGAATTGCAGAGTAGATACTGAACTGAGTTTGTGAAAGGCACAGCAGCATGTGAGTGGGATGGTATGAATTGAAAGCTGCTCTATTGGAGCAAGAAGGAACAGATGAAACGAGTGGACATGGGTACCTAGTGGCTACCCTAGAGCAGTCTGAAGAAGATGGTAGCATGGCTGAAATAGACACCATGGGAGTGGACGATGTGGAGTCCTTTGAGAAATTTGTCAGAGGTCAACTTGCCTCACCTGTCTGCTCACCTGTGCCTGAATGGGCATGTCTCCAGCTATGGTCCCTGTGCACACATTGTGCCTGTTCCTAGAATGTCACCCATTCTTGTCTTCCCTGAGGGAATTGCTCCTCATCTTCTGTGCCACCCCCGTGCCTTCTGTGTGTCTCCTTGATAGCATCCTCTGGGTGGGGTCTCTGGCTTCCGCTGAACTACTTACACTTAGGGGCTGTGTCATTTATTTGTTTCCACCTCCATGGTGTGGTGCAGGTACCTTGTCTGTGGCAGGGACTTACATTGTCACCCTGAACAGACTTTGCTGTGGATTTTCAGTACAACTGTGATGTCACTGTGTTTCTCTGAGGTTGAGGTCAGACATCAAAGGAGTTGTGCTCACTGGCACATTCAACAGTAAAAGAGGGCCAGTCTGGGAAAGACCATCGGAGGGCAAGAGGACCGGAGTCTGTAGAATTTTGAAGGTGAACTCTTTGATGGACTCAGCACACAGATCTCCTCCTTTGCTCTTTCCATGACCTGACATGAGACAGTGTAGGAAGTGGGTTGCTTCCTTGCTGACATTTTATTTTTAGGAAGACGCTATTCTAGGATTTCCTTTTTCTTCTTTATTTTGCCCAAACTATCAGTTGGGTAGCAACAAAATGCTTGTGGAAAGTGAACTAGCTGGCCTTTTATGGGCATGAGCTCAGTAACCTTTTCTACTACTTCCTCTTGGATGAGTGTGTGTGCATGTGTGTGTACCCACTGCACGCTCAAGGCAGTGGGGCAGCTCTGACTTGTAAAATTCATATTGGAGATAAAATGTGTGCCTGAGAGTGTTGACCAAGGGATGTCAGGAGCTCATGGCTATGGACGTGTTCATATTCCCTCATCAGATGTTCCTGGACTCCAGTTCTTGGCTCCAGAAGCCCAGCTTTGCCTGATGGGCAAGGGCTCACTGCTCAACCCCTGCTTCTTCCCTACAGGCCATCCTGTAGGTGTGAGAGGTCACTGATCCCAGATCCCAACCAGATCCCAGGAGCCATTGGTTGACCCTCAGAAATATTTAGATTTGCATTGTTGTGTTTACTCAATTTTGCTTTTTTAGTTTTTGAAGTATTTTGAAAGATGCTGCATGTTCTTGTTCTTTTATTTCATTTAAATAAGAAGCTTTGCATTCCTGCCTTGTTCCTGAAATATTCTGAGGACTTGTCTTCTTGGCTTGTACTACTGTTCTCTAGAAGAACTGAAGTGTAGGGTAGACTTTGAAACAATAACTGTAAAACAAGATTGTCTCCTGAGTGGTGGAAATGAGGGTGGAGTTGAGTAAGTCTTTGTGCTCATCTTTGACAAGCACAAAGATGCTGGCCAGCTGTTGCTTGATCAACTTGGGATGCTGAGTTGATGAGACTTGGGGTCAGGAGCCCTGAAAGAGCGTGCAGTCACGTGAGGGAGGGGTGGGTGCAGCAGGCAGACTTTCAGCAGACAAGGTGCCCTATATGATGTGTGAAGGCCTGGGAGGAGGGGAGTGATGTTGTCCCAATGCCATGGGGTCCAGAAGGGGCCCAAAGATTGTAATAAGTGGCTGTATTATAAAGGCTTGAAAATCTGGTCAAGCAGGCTAGAAAATATTTAATAGAGAACAAAATGTGGTTTGCTAATGTTGGTGGTGAGAGCTCTTTGACTAAAGTTGGAAAAATGTTAATGGACTTGCCTTAGGAAAAGTTCCCCGGGCTTGGACTTAGGAATGTCATGGTGCTGTCAGCAGTCATTGAGGCAACCCTTGAGCCCCTTTTCTTCGAAGCTTTGCAGTACTAGCCTGAGTTCATTGAAGTGTACCCGGGTGCCACAGTGTGTGTCAGTAAGGAGGGTACAGGCAGACGGGTTGGAAATCAGAGAGGAGCTTTTCCAGGTAGACAGGTAAGACTGTGGAGGCTGTGACAATGATGAAATTCACATCTTAAATCCAAATTTGTAGCATTCTTCTGAGTGCACTGTTCTGTGTGATGTGGAAATGACACTGGAAATGTCGCCTGTGGTAGGAAACTTGTCTCTGAGCCCTTAACTCCCCTCTGCTGTCTCCCACCACAGGGAGAGTTGCCAGGCTGCACACCTGTCCTCCTCCCCAGGGGCACCTCTGTGTCTATCTGCTGTAATATTTTCCTATTCCCTATACTAGCTCTCTCTGTCTCTCTCCCTCATGTTCTTTTCCTTCCTTTTTCTCTTCCTTCCTACCAACTTACCAGAATTGGAAGCAGTTAAAGAAATTGTTACATAAAGAAAAAACAAATAAAACATAAGAACCAAATGAGTTCATGACAGAAGGGAGTAATCCAGTTTCTTATTCATGCGTCTGTAATTCTTCCTCCAAATTCCTTGTCAGTTTAGAAATAGCATCTGCTCCTTGCCAGCCACATTGCCAGGAGTGTGGGAGGCACAGAGAGGTGGGGGACCTGGTGTTTCTGTCTTGACCATGGCACAAACATGCATAGATTTTTGTAACACTCTGCCACAACTGCTAGGCCAGAAGCCTGGCCTGTGTTCAGAAAAGAAAAATAAGGCAAGATACAGGATCAAGAACATAAAATATCCCTAGAGCAGGCAGAGTTTGAGCATGCTCTGAGGAGAGTTTGCCTGACTCCTCATGCTTTGCCAAGTGCCTGGAGGCTTTTCAGACCCTCTGAGTTGCCCGTTTGAGATGAGGAGAGTAGCAGACCTAAAGGCTGATTGATGGCTTAGTTCACTTAGGCTCCCACCTGCTCAAGAAATAAAAGTTCACTTCATTCTGTGCACATTAAAAAAAAAAAAGCATAATAAAGAACTACGCGTATAGCTGAAGAGTGAGGTCAGAACATTCTAGCAGCCTGTCTCCATGTGTCCTGTCAGCTAGTTGTAGTGGTTTGTACCCCACACCCTTTGTGTACTCTCTTCCTTCCTCCTTGGGATCTCTGAGTTGAGTGCCAGTCTGCATTGTTTTTGCCGCTCTTCTGTTTGTGTTATACTTAGTATGGGAAAGTCCCACAGGGCCAATTCTGAGTTTAAAAGGAAAAAGTGTCACTTGACGTGAAGGTGTGAGCTCCAGATCACTTTTTGGAGATAGTCTCCTTTGCATCCATCAAACTGGCAGAAGTTGACACCTCCCCTCCCTCCCTATCTCCCGTCCTCCTCCTTTTCCTCCTTATGCTCTTCCCACGTAAAAGGTCTGAGTAATGGGAGAATCATGTATTAAATAATCACACTAGTGAATGCACATAGCTTCAGTGTGGCAAGTGTTTTGAAACAAATGACAAAATGTTCCGAGAGAATGTAGCACTTTTAAAGTGGAAAGTTGCCAGGCATGGTGGTCTGTACCTGTAATCTCAACTACTCCAGAGGTACAGACAGGAGGATCTCAAGTTAGAGGCCAGCTAGCAAGACCCTATATCAAAAACAAAATACAGAACACAAAACAGAAGAGCTAGGATGTAGCTCAAGTGGTAGTGTGCTTGCCCAGCATGTGTGAGGCCCTGCATTCAATCCTCCCAGTACTATCCCCCACCCCCCCAAAAACGGAGAATTATGGAAGACCTAATAACGAGGTATTATTTACCTTAAAATTTGAAACGAAGCGTGAGCGGAAAGTCTGGTAAAGTAGACACATTGTAGGCAGAGGCCTCTAAGAGTACAAGCAGCATATGCAGAGGGCCTGAGGCAGGAAGAATTTGGTGGCTGTGAAGGTATAGAGAAAGGCTGGCTTGTCTAGCACCACAGTATTGAAGGAAGTAAGTGCTGTGGATTGAGACTGGAGACAGCTGAGACCAAGTTGCATAGAACTTTATCGTGAGCCCAGTGGAAAGCCCTTTCTCATCCACCCCAGCAGGGTCATTATATAGCACCCTTCGGAGGCAGCACTGAACACCAGCCACCTGTTGCTGTGGAAGACTTGTCCAGCTTCTGTTGTGTCTCCTAAACCCTTTGTCAAAAGTGACTTCACATTGAGTCCTGATCTTAGAAAAGAGATTCGCTTTGATATTTGACCTTAGGTTCTCCAGCCACACTTCCTACTCTGTAGATGGAGCCTGGCCATTCATGTGCAGCAGAGTCTCCCAGTTTTCTCCTGCAGGCTTCCTCTTAAGAAGAATTCTGCACTGTTGTGCAGAATAATCTTGCTTGCACACTGTGACTTACTGGCCTTAAAAGACTCCTCAGTTGACGCCCTCTCTGCCATTGTCGGGAGAATCCTGTTTCCCATTACTAGAAATTAGGTCTCATTTTATGTGGGTTAAAAAAAAAAATCACAGATTCTCTGGCTTATTATGATTCCTTTTCTGTTCATTTCTCCTAATTTTGAATGTTATTTTATTCTTGGTTTGCCTGATATTTTAAGTTTCCGTTCATAGAGACTTTCTCTTGGGAATTACAGTATGACTCCAGTCACTTTCCTTGGGAGAAGTCCTCCATCTAACACAATCATTTTCTCCTTTCTGAAGTACACTCTAGGCATCTTCTTTTTCTCCGTAGTTTTTTCCAGGATGGACTGAAAGCAGTAGAAAGCCTCAAACCTTCCATTGAAACATTATCCACAGATCTCCACACAGTGAGTAGCTTCCCTCCTCGGCGGGTTAGCTGTCTTTATGTGACTGGCATTTTCATTGTTGCTTCTTTTGTATATGTAAACTCATGTTTGCATGCTGTGCTGTCCAGAAAGAAGAGCCCTGTGGTACCAGGGAATGGGCTGGGAGCAGGGCATGGCTATCGAGGGAGGCATCATGGCTTGAGGGTGGAAATGCTGTGACTTCAGCATCTCATTGTGCCTCGGTCTGACTTTTCTGCTTTCCTTGGTTTTCAAAGATCAAACAGGCCCAGGATGAAGAACGAAGGCAGCTGATACAGCTTCGTGATATTTTGAAATCAGCCTTACAGGTTGAACAGAAAGAGGTGAGGGGGTTTAATATCAAAGGATCATTTTTTGTTTGTTTGTTTTAAAAAGTGAAGGATCTCTGCATGAAATCCATGTCTACCAGGTGTCTGATGATCACTTTGGAGCTGAGTCAGGCAGTGCTCAAGTGTTTAGTTTGCTTTTTAAAACTTAGTTTTATAAAACCATCTTTTAAAAATATGTTTGGTTCAGGGGAAGCATCCACCCAGGCCTTCCTGGCAGTGTGGGAGCCTTTCTTGCTCTGTCAGTTGCTTGTAGTTCTCAACATCTCTGTCACATTGATCATTTGGCATTTATGCATTTGTCTGTCCTTGGGCCTTTGGTTCCCCTGCTATGACAAGAAATAGGCACAGAACAGGTGATCATTTGGGTCCCTTTCAGCTTGGTGACTGAGTTCTGTATGTGAGGAGAGGTCATGCACATCTGTAATCCCAGTACTCAGGAGTCTGAGGCCGGGAACATCATGACTTCCAGGCCAGCCTGGCTGCATAGTGAGACCCTGTCTCAAAGAAAAAAAACCAACAAAAAAACCAAAAGATGGCTTATGACTGCACCCAAAGGCCAGATATCCGTGGCTCTCCCATCCTTCTGTGTAGTGACATCTTTGTATACTCACATAACAGCAGTGACAATTTTTTGGGTGTTTGTTTTGCTCATGAAAGAAACCATTAAAAGGTAAAATTTAAAGGTAATTTTATGGTATGTTCATATAATACGGGTATTACAATGTGAGTTTTTTCTTTGCCCTTGAGATAGGGGTCTCACTCTGATGCAAATTAAACACAAACCCACTTACTTGCCAGTAAAAGTGTATGTCTGAATGTATGTATGTATGTACAGTAGAGTTTGGATAAGTAACTAAATTCTCGACAGCATAAAGTTCACTGTTAGTGGTTTGTTGAAAGTTCTTATACTATAACTGAACATTGTTGTTTTTCTCCCAAATGCATTTACCTTTTGTGACCGAAGTCTAGGAGAGTAAGTAGCTCAGTATTTTAATAAATTGAAGAGTTCTGCATGCTTTGTTCATGAATTTCAAAAGTATGTATTTCTTCTTTGTATATCTCAGTGGCTAGCAGCACTTTAAAATTCCTCTTTCATTCTAGTAGATTTTATTAAAAAGGCTACAGAGCTCTAATGCACAATTGTTATGGAAAGGGAAAGTTTCTAAGTTCACACTTATGCTGTGCTCCCTCTGGAGGATCAAGCAGCTCTCTCCCTGCCCTCCCCACAGGGCTGAATTCAGCATACCCTTCTCACTGGTTGGGAGTCCTGCCTCTGGTCACCCCTCCTGAAGTGATCGGCTTGCTTGTCTGAGCCTGTTCTCATTTAAACGGTTCTTGTTTGTTACTGGCCCAGACACCTTCTCCAGCTAGCCCATGAGCAACTTGAGGAAGTCTCTCACCTTCTCTGCCCTCCTCCATCACACTGCAGTGTTGGGTGCTAGTTAGGGGCTGTTGGTAACATGGGTCAGCTAACTGAGGAATTATGGAATAGCACTAGAAATAACCCACAGTATGGTGACGTCCTCCCAGTCTGGAGAACTCAGGTCCTAGCAATTCAAAATTTCCAAACATGAAATATAAGCACAAAAAGAGAGAGAACTAACTTGTAAGAGAGAGAAAATTGTGGCCTAGTTGTAAGTAGAACAGGCAGTCCAGGCCTGGGAGCCTGAATGCCACCTCAGTGATTGCTCTCCAGGCACTGGGGGGAATGTTTGAGAGCTGCTTTTTTCTGACAAGAGTCCTGCCCAGGAAACTAGGTTCAGGTTTAAAATCAGGAAGAGCGGCAGGGGGATCATCAGCCCTTAAGGGCACAGACTGGGGTGGTGTTTGCTCTGGCTGTGCAGAATTAGGAGGTTTGGGAAAACTGACTGCCATCACAGAGTACCATATTTATAGCTTTGCAGAAAAGTGTAACAAACTTACTGGCACAGACCATAAGTCTCTGATGCTGTCTTTATTTTGTGGATTGGGTTGACCATCCTGCTGCCCCAGATAGCACCTGGGGATTAGTGGACTTTCTTTCCTTCTCTGGCTTTGTGCCAGTGACTCCTGTCAGGACAGAACTCTACAGTCTCCTGGTTGTGATTGTGTTCTTTCCTGTGTATCACTCTCTGCATTCCTTTTTGGTGATGGCACTCAGTAGATTAGACAGTCTCTGAGCGCAGTTGCGAATAGCAAGCAACTGTGAATAAGTTAAATTTTACATATATTTAAATGATTTCAGTAACTGGGACTCCCATCTTGTTCCCCCTGTGTTATAATTGGCATGAACCATGTGAGCATTGTTCCAGCTCTCTTTCCCTGCAGTTGAATTCTGTTCTGTGACTTAGAAAGCTGAAGGTGTTGGATGGTTTTCATGCAGCATTATGAAAATTCTGTTCTGACTGTGTAATGTACAGTGACTGTTGATGAAAGTTGGGTAATGTGCCAAAAGACATAGCCTTGATGGTTAGTAGCAGCCACTACTCCTCATTTCCTTCTGTAATCTCAGCATCAGTCATTACAGAAATGCAGAACCTGGCTGGTACAGTGCAGTGGTTCCAGGCTGCTCTTCTCTGTCATCCTGCAGCTCCACTTTGGAGACTGAGCTGTCGAGATCCCCGTGTACCTCACACCTCTCAAATTCATTTCTTCTTCTTGATATTTCTATTCTCTGTAGAAAACACTCCTGTTCAACTTTTTGGTGATTATGACGAATTTCAGGCTTACGGAACAGTCAAAAAATTATACCGTGACCACCTAATGCTTCATTTTCAAAAGATCCCTTCTACAAAGTTAAGACCCTAATTGCTGATTTTTGTGGGAGCTTTCTCCTGAGCTGACTCACTTTCTGCCTTCCTCATCCCACATGTGCCCATATCAGTGGGTTTCTTCTGAGATGTACTTGCTGTGATGCTGGCAAGTCCTTCCACTGTTTGACATTGGGGAGAATCCGAGTCTAAGATATGATCTTGGAAGATCTGAGTGCTGAAACCACATTGATGTTCTCACTCCACAGCTTCCCTGGGTGGTTTTTCTCTTTGCCAGCTCTGCTTTCCCTCTTCAAGGGTCCCTGTCTAGTGAGAGGGTGGTTGAATGGTCTGTGCAACAGGTGCAGAGATCCACCATTGCCATGGTCCTTTTCCCATTTAGTTGTGAACCTGATCGTGTCCAACTTTGGCATTGTCAGAAACCTCTGCCTCCCCAGACTCCTCTCCTGCCTCAGTGGAGGAGGACTTCTCCATTGACGAACACATTCAACTGTCCTTTTCTCAGTGTCACTTCCCAGCCAGGCACTGCAAGTACCCACACATCCACCAGAATGAGGTGGATACACTTTTCACCTCTTCAGGAGATCATGGTCTGGAGGTAGAGTGAAAAGCAATTGGGGATGCAGTGAGGAGAGCTGTGATGGAGTGACAGGTACTGTGGGGGTGACTCACCAGTGGGTATGTGCCTGAGCTGGGGCTCTGGAGGATGACTAGGAGTTGCCAGTCTCAGCAACTGAGGCAGGTGGACTGGCTTCTGACCCAGACTAGGGGTTGCCCAGCAGCTGTCTAGCAGAGTGGAAGAGCAGGGGTCTAGGTCTTCCATGCCTACTAACACCACAGTGACCAATTCCTGGACCTTCCCATGCCTTGGTCTCTGTTAAACAGAAAGGAGTTGTTAGGAGATCTGAGAGAATTTCTGTCAAGTACTCAGATCATCTTAACAAACAGGTACCAGTTTTGAGCTCCTAAATGGTGAAGATAGCATAGTGAAGAGGTGAGGCCAAATTCCTTATCCCTCAGCAGTCACTCTCTCAGTGGTTAAGTAGTATGAGACACAGTTGTCGTCATGGTCTCCCATGAAAGAGAGTCCTTTCCCGCTAGTTTGTCCTCTGCCCACTGCTCCTTCTCCTCTAATCCCAGGCCCAGCTTTTCAGGCTTCCTCTGCTCCTTTCCCAACCGTATCCAACCAGCCTCACTCCTCTCCACCAACCCCTCTGGGAGGTGAGGGAGGAGATGCCCCTCTCTGTGGCCTGGCATTTCCTACTTACCTCATGTTTCATGTGTTTTTAGGACCCTCACAAGTGTGACCAAGAATCCTTACAGCCACCTCTCAGAGTAGGTCTAATTATTAATTACATTTGCAGTTTGAGTCAGGAGAAGGAATAAACTCATTTCTGGAGCTCCCTGCTGCTGCCCAGCCAGGAAGTAGGCCTGAATCTGTTCCACTTCAAGCCGCCCCTTTCAACAGGGTCACGTGACGTCAACACTTTATGTTACTGTTTAAAAACAGTAATGAGACTTGAAAACACTGCTCTTGGTTTCTACTATGCCCACATGGATGGACTCATTCCCCTTGTGCCTTCCAGTGATCACGATGAGTGGGACTTTGCAGTGGCTACCTGCAGGAAAACCTTAAGCTTGAAGAGATGAACCCTAAACAGTTCATCAGTCACAAGAATGGTCTGAATAGAGACTTTGTGAGAGGTAGACAGGCGTGAGAGTTTTTGTGATCTTGTAGACTCTCAAGACAGCTCGGGGCTGTGAGCACACCTGTGTGTGATGTGTACAGTGTAGGCAGCACCATCTTTCCCCCGGTTCTGAGGACTTTGGGTATTGAGCCTATTACTCACCTGGGCAGACTATCCTGGGAGGACCCAGGGGCTACCCAAAAGTCAAGCTCTCTGGGATCTGAGAATGTGTTTGGATGTCACAGGGTAAGAGGGTATGTGGACATTGACAGGATTTTTGAGTCCTGTGGTTCTGTAAAGTGCTCACTGAATCTCACACACAGTCATCACATGGTGACACTCAGTAGAGGCTCAGGTTGTCCTCTTCTCTTCTAGGGAAGCAGAGCCTGATTTGGGGAGTGCTGAGATCAGGGCATCATGAGCCGTCCCGGCCAGCCGCCTCTCATTTGTGAGCTGATTCTTCTCCCAGAAGGGGCTCTTTTCCTCCTAGTTGTGTTCCATCAAATGGAAGCCTTGGGCACATGAGCAGGGTGGCTGCCTTTGTCAGCCTTCACTTTATCAGGTTATAAAGGCTATTGCCGGGTCACCTGGAGGTTACCTTGAAGATGCTAAAGTAGGTTCAATTTTAGGTTAAATAGGTTATATTCTTCTTTTCTCCAAATATTAGGTTTTACATGAGAGCTTAGCTTCAGATTTGCCTGCATGTGTTTTGACTGATTCAAGAAAGGCCCGGTCTCTAGAACATGTGACGCAGGGTATGATTCTGTAGAGAAGGGTATGCCCTTCCTTCTGCTCCTGAGACCTGGTGAACGTGGCATGAACACTCAGTATGTGACTTTTCCACTGATTTTACACGTAGGTGTCTTCGCCCTAAATCAAAAGGCATACTTCTTAACTCCAAATGTGTCAAAGACCTCAGTGTAAAAGCTAAAATTATAAAGCTCCTAAAATTTATAGGTACAAACCAAGTGATCTTGATTTAGGCAGTGGTTTCTTATGTTTGATCCCTAAAATATAAGACAACATAAAATTAAAAACACAAATTAGAAATTTTCTGCCTCCTAATCTTTCAAACTGTCAAGAGTCCATGTGGTTCACTGCTGTTTGGAGCTGATGTCTGCAGTCGGGCTCCAGCCACGCTGCCTTTTATCCTCCTGGCTGTAGTGTTTGTCCCTCCTTCCCTGCGTGATGGCTGCACCTCCCACTTGCCCTCTCTGTGAGCTGTCCCCTTTGCCTCCAGTATCTCCCTCTGCTCTGTCTGTTCTTGCCGTCACCTCTAGAACACTTTTCCAAAATCTGTTCTTGTGGTTTTTTCCATGTCACTTGCTAGCTCTTGAGTACTCTTCTCATTCAGATCACGTCGATTTTCACGCGTTAGTTCCTTCATTGTCTGCTTAGTGTTCTTGAGGATGATCAACTGCTTGCTGTCAGGAAGCCATTTTGTACTCTGCACTTGCTTTAAGGAACTCTGCCCCTTGAGCAAATAACTTCAATTCCACTGTATCTCTATTTCTTCAGTTATGAAATGAACTGGTTCAAGAGGTTCTCAGTAAACAGAAACAGGCAGATCTCAGCTCTTCTGTGATGTCTTCATCTATGCTTTACTCCCTTCTTGCTTCTTTTAGATCTTCCAGAATTTCCAGTGCTGGCCCTAGTAGCCCTTCTGTTCTCAGCTTGGGATGTCTGATTTCATTTGTTAAATACCAGTTGAGCACCTGTTGAAGGCCAGACACTGGACTTGGGCTCTGGAGATTGTTGCTGTCCTTGCTCTAAGAAGCATGCAAGCTGGGGTTTCCCCAGTGTGGGGTACTCAGTCAGATTCTCCGATGACCCCTGGATGGTCTTCCTCATGATTGTGGCACGCCTTGGTCAGGGTCAGAGCACTTGGGTTCAATGGCAGGCCCAACCTCCTTGAGATTGATAGGGTGAGGAAGAGATTATTTAGTCAATACTGTTAGGAACCTGATGTTTACTTGTGTGATCTTACTTAGGCCTTAGTGTATTTATTGTCTTATATAAGGCATTGTTTTCCTGTGTCCAAGAAGGAACCAGGCAGAGAGAGACTAAGCAACTTGTCTATAGTAGGAGGCAGGAAATAGTTTCCTTGTTTTGCTCGAAAGTCTTGGCCATTTCCAATATCACAGCACCTAGAGGCTGTGCCACCACCTAGGACTAGCCATCACCATGGACTGAATGCTCACAGCAGAATAAAATGTGTTATTTGTAAGTGGCTGCTGCTTTCTGCCAGTTTGGATATACTGGTTTGGGGGTTTTTTTGTTTTGTTCATTTGTTTTGCAGTGGTGGGGATAGAACCCAGGGAACTGCACATGCTAGGCAAATGCTCCACCCCTGATCTCCACCTGGAAATACTGATTTTTGACATTTCCTTGATGTGGTATGAAGGGGAAATTTTTCTACTTACAAAGCATAGGCATAATTTCATGTATTAAGGCCTGGACAATATATTAAAAAGCAATTTCTTAACCATTTTTAGGACTCACAGATTCGCCAAAGTACAGCTTATAGTTTACATCAGCCTCAGGGAAACAAAGAACATGGCACGGAGCGGAATGGCAACCTGTACAAGAAAAGTGATGGGTAGGTAAAGTGGCTTGCTAGTTGCTAAAATTGAAATGTACATTCATTATCCCATGTCCAAAATGTCTAAACTTTTATTGTTTTCCCACTTATCCATAAGGATCCGAAAAGTGTGGCAGAAGAGGAAATGCTCAGTTAAAAATGGTTTTCTGACCATATCCCATGGTACTGTAAGTATTATCTTTTAATCCATGGTCTTCGCTGTGTGTAGTTAGATAATGTCTGTGCTGTAGTTTTTAGTGATGTCAGGACACGAGGACTGTGTGTTTATGTTACTGAAGATGCATTCTGAAGATTTTTCCCTGTTAGGAAGCTTGTTTGTTTCCTTCTCAATTTGGTGACCTGCACCCAGTGTATGCTGTTTTGGGCGGGGGTGGGGGGTGCGGCTAGTTACCCTTTATAGCTTCAGAGAGTCAAGAGTGATGATCATCCAGATTCTCTGTAGAAGCCTGTGGCTTCCAGAAACCATGAAATAGCAGACAGTTGTCCCAGCTGTCCTTGTGCTGGAAACTGAACATCCTACTTGGGAAGATTTCTACTCTTCCACTAATGAAAAAATGTTTAAGTAGTCAGAACTCTAGGAATTAGAAATCCAAGAGAAGAGATTCAGTCACTTTGTCATAGAGAGGCCTGTGCCCAACCTTAATCAAGTTCTTTTTCTGTCATCCTGTTTATAAGAATCCCTGCAATAAAATCTGAACCCTGTATGTTTAGCTCATGGAAAAATCAATCGGCCAGGCAAGGTGGTACACACATGTAATCCAGCTACTTGAAAGCAGAGGCAGGAGGATCACAAGTTGGAGTACAGCCCAGGCAAAGTTGGCAAGACCCTGTCTTAAAAACAAAATACAAAAAAATAGCTGGGACTATGGTTCAAGTGGTAGAGCCACTTGCCTAGCATACATGGGACTCTGGGTTCAATCCCCAGTACTGCAAAAACAAAACAAACAGCAAAAACCAAATAGAGTAAAATTACATACACTCTGACATTAAGAGGCCAGGAACAATTAATCACAGTTCCAAGCGCAGCTCTTCATGCCGTGGTATTCTTTTCATGGTGGCATTAGTCCTATCATCCTTTCACCTGGTATGACTGAGGCTGGTGGAAACTACCTGGGCTGGTAGACAGGTTTGGGAAGGTCTCAAAGCTAGGGTCCCTTCACTTTCACCGATTTACTTAGTGAAGGGAGAGTGGGACTAGAAGTGGCACATGCCAAGTCTGCAGAGGTCGCTTGATGACCTCTGTCTAGGGGATTCACTGTGTCTCTGGACTAGGCAAATAAAGATCATTCCCCTTTCCAAAACCCAGCCTGCACTAGTATGTGATCACAACCTTGCAGTTTATATCTTGAGGTGCTATGCTTTCCATGTAGATAGCTTCATGCTGGTGTGTGTGTGTGTGGTGGGGGAAGGGGTTTATGAATGTTATAGATTAAGGGGAACAAATGTACTTACCACATCATGTCTTTAAAGTTAAGAGTCTTGGACAGGAGATGGCCAGATTCTCTTATTGGTCTACCATGGTTCACTTTTAAATTGTCTGCTTGGTTGTCTGTTTTGACTCAGAAATAATCATCATAAAATAAGACCAGGTTTCTTTTCATGTTCTTACAGCTCCCAAGTTGTGAGGCACATTTGCTTCATTGAAGTCCCAGAAGCTCAGAGCCTTAGCTCACACCAGTGATAGAGGAGCAGGCTGGTGACCCTTTGCTAACAGCATAATTTGCTTTGAGTTACTTTAGCTGCCGAACTTCCTAGAAGACATGGAAGCACAGTGCTCTTTAAATTTTGATGGGTCTCCCTAGTTTTTGGCAGATAAAAGTTATTACTAGCTTCAGTGGATGCTGAGGGCTCTGCTTGTGGCACAGAGTGCATATGTAATAAGAGCTTTGTGTTTTAAGCCCAGCCTCTTCAGGGACCTCCTTTCTGGATACCTCATTGTGCCATAAGCAGTCACTTCCTACTACAGATGTAGAGGTGACAGATGGGCCCAGGCTGGCTCTGTCCCCACTGCCTTACAGGAACATGAGTAGCTTGCTTTCCAGCCTCCCTTCAGACATTGAGGGTTCCTTTTTCTCCCCTTTCCTGGGTGTTGATGTGTAGGCCCTGGTACTCAGAATCCTGAAGACCTCGAGACCTGAATTCCCTAGGCTGAGGAAGAGTTGAAAGATGCATCTTTGGTTAGGTTTGGTTTTGATTTGACTCCTGTCATAGGTTACCTGTTTAACTAAGTGGTTTCTAAGTGTGTTAGTTTACCTTCAGGAGAAACGGGCAGACTTCTAAAGTCCTGTCTGAAGAAATGGGAATCTAAGAGCTGGACCTAGCACACAGCTGGGAATCAGGTCTGTAAGAAGCGGGATGCCCTCACAGTGTGTGTGCACTGTCAGGAAGACCCTTCCCGGGAAGCTGGCAGTGTTTAGGAAGTGAAATTGCTATACTGTGTTCTCAAGCAGGGGGCTGAGGAACCATCTGAGATGGATTTAGTGAAAACCCACGTTGGTATTCCCCAGTAGCCATGGCCAGTTGTGTTTATGGCACTGGGAAGAGTGGTCTTTGGGGTGAGACACTCTTAGTTAAGTGTCCTCTTTGCCAAGTTCAGAGCACTGCCACGCCATGAAGGGCTGTGTTATTCTGGAAGAGTTTCCACCTGGCTCTTACACATTCTAAAAAAATTTTAAGTGATCATCAGTCACGCAGAAAAAAAATGCAACATTCCTTTTAAAAGCTTGACAAATTGCTAAAAAGTATGATGAAAATGGCAGAATCACTAATAATCTGTGCCTTCAAGGCAGGCACCAGGCTGTAGGATCCCACCCTTCCTGCTGGGTTTTCTACTACACCAGGGCTTCTCAAAAGAGCACAGACTGGGCCTGGTGCCGATGACTCACACCTGTAGTCCTAGATTCTTGAGAGGTCGAGATTGGGAGGAATGGAAGTTCAAGGCCAGCCCTGGCAAATAGTTCAAAAGAACCCTCATCTCCAAAATAACCATAGCGAATGGACTGGAGGCATGGCTTAAGCAACAGAGTACCTGCTTTGCAAGTACAAAACCCTAAGTTCAAATCCCAGACCCACCCAAAAAAAAAAAAGCATAGACTGCCTTGTAAACGAGATGAGGCTGCTGTTGTATGGATGAATGGAACAATGGCCTCTTGTTCCCAAATTGCATCAAGGAGGAGATTTAATGGCTAAAATTTTCTCATGAATTTTCCTTATAGCTTTGCTGTTAGCTAATACTTAATTCACATGGATAAACAACACACGGTTTTTAATGTAAAATTTAGGACAACTGATACTACATAAGATTGCCAGCTTATATGTTTTTGTGGAGTCCTTTTTATGGCTGTCATGTTTAATATGTCATTTTTATGCTTGTCATAATGAAACCTTGTTCAAATGAAGGCACTGGGTCTTTTTCAGTATTTTTTTTGTCTTGGTACTAGGATTTGAACCTTAGGGCCTTAAGCTTGCCAGGCAAACACTTTACCACTTGAATCATGCCTCCAGCCCTTTTTGCTTTAGTTTATTTTTCAGATATGGTTTTATATTTTTCACCAGGCCAGCCTGGGACAGTGATCCTTTTACCTCCACCCTGTGTAGCCAGAATTACAGGCATGCATCATCTCTCATGACCCTATTTGACAGTTTTCATTTGCTGTGAACTGAGAAATCTGCCTTTGAGGATAGTTATTTTTAGTAAAGAATGAACAACTTTTCCCTTGCCACAGGGAGGAAAGAAGGCTAAAATATAGAGGTGGGGAAGGAGAGTAGGTGGTAGTAATTCCAATTGTGGTTCTTTGCTGCTCTCAAGATGAATGCAGGTGAGCCACTGCCTTACCTGCATACTGTGCTGTGACCAGGGAGAGTGACAGTGAGAACTTGAGCCCAGGTGGCTCCTTGGAAAATCCTAAGTCCCCAGCTTCCACACACAGTGCCCTAATCAAACTATTTTAATTGTCCTGATCATGTCATTATCTGCAGCGTAGGAGTAGTGCCTACCTCAAGGGGCAGTTAGGAATATTGAATGAATTAACTCATGAAAAATGTTTATGGCAGTGCCTGACTTGTAAAAGTACATGACAGTAGCTGAGTAAATGTAACTCTTCTTATTCAAAATCACTGTCTTGTCCATGAAGTGTTTTACATTTCCCAGAGGGCACTGGAGTTTTTGACTGTTCCTGGGTCTAAGACTCAGCAGACACCACAGTCTGGAAGTAACACTAAAAACTGTGCCTCCCCTGTGTGACCATGGACATCACGTGGGCTGTATATCTGTGTTGTGGTCACATCTGTGGAGGGACGTCTGCTCAGCACTGTAGAAATGAATCATTTGTGTTGGTTCCTGGATGATCTGGCATTCCTGTTGATGAAGATCCAAAGTTAATGATACTTTTACTTGGAACTGTCTGTGTTTGCAAGAGCTAAAGACAATAGAGGTTAAGATATCCAGCACTTCCATACAGGAGATCAGATGAGCTTGGCTGTGAGCCAGGACAGTCTAGGACAGCCCTGCTTATCCAGCTCATGCATATCCTTCACCCTTTTATCAAACCCAACCTGCATACTGCAAGGACTGGGCCCGTTTTAATGGAGCTATGGCATCCCTCGCTCTGTGGAGTCATTGGCATGAACCCCTAGGTGTAGGAACACAGGAGGGTCCACAGGCCTGTTTGTGTATCTGGATTAATCCCAAATCCAGGTCATTTATCTTGAAGCAGCCTGTGTTCTAGGGAACTTTGGAATAAGAGAACGATTAAGTTTGAGAATTTTTATTTGATCTTTCCTTTGGCACTTGGTAGTTGACTAAAATAAGCTCATTCATATTTGAAAGTTTCACCAAGATTTCGAAAACATTTTGCCATTCTGAATTTTTGTTTCTAAAATTATCTCCTTACTGTTTATTGAATTATATTTGACATTTTTGAAACTAATAAAATAGCCATTTTTGGCATACCTTTGACAAAAGTGTGTTGTGATCTCTTGTGGGTGGAGGCTGGGGTTATGTATGTGAATGAAATATGTTTTCTTGAAACTTAGATGACAGATCTGTTACCAGCTATTGCTTCAGGAAGTAGGGAAAATTATTTCTCTGCCATTTTTGTGCTGAGATTTACTTTTCCTGGAAGTGAGGTTTCTACTTAGAAAAACAATTTTAAGAGTTCCAGAAACTGGGCTGGGTGCCCAAGTCACCCAGCAAACCATCTGTGTCATTTGTGGGGTCAAAACCCAGTGTTTCAGGGCTTCAGCCCTGGAACATTTTGATCTGAGAGAATCCATTGCCACTAGCCTGGATGCTGGCCCTGCTTTCCTTGTGTTCTGATGGGTTTGTGTAGACCACCATGCATGCCCTGGCAGGGAGGGCAGTGGCCCTCTTGTGCAGCTGTGAAGTTCCAGGACCCTACAGTAAGCCTCTGTCACGCTTCCCACTTGAAAGTCTGCCTCTGACAGCCACTTTGCAAGTTCATTAAAAAGCCTGTTCTTGCTATGTTTTCATGAGTGGTGACATGGGATGCTCTTTACACCCCCACCCCTAACACTCATCTCATATTTTTTGTTTGTTTTTAAACAGGCTAACCGGCCGCCTGCAAAGCTCAACCTCTTAACCTGCCAAGTGAAGACCAACCCCGAGGAGAAGAAGTGTTTTGACCTCATCTCGCGTAGGTTCTTTCTAAGGCGCTGTGCTGTAGAAAAGTTATTTAATACTCTTCCAAGACATCAGTCCCCTGTCAAACACTGCATTCCAAAGAGCTGGTTTGGGAGAGAAAGGACATTTGTTCAAATGTCCTGCCTCTTCTGTCTTTCCCTGGTGCTTGGCTTGCCAGTCTCTCCAGTTGAGGATTGGACTTTGAGGACGGCCCTGTTCCGGGGCTGTGTAAACCCAGGGATACCCTTTATCTTTCTTGTTGCACTAGATGCACCTCAGGCCTAAAATCCCTTCACCCATCTTTTTTAAGGGACAATTTTGTTGTCAAAAGCTTCCATAACTTATTTGCATGATGTTAGAAACATTATAAATTGAAGTTAGATCTTGAAACTTTAGGTTTTGAAACTGTTTATCTTCCCCGCCACAAAATTAATCTTTCTGCTTCTGTAGGCTTTTCTTCTTTGTGGTAGGCACAAAAGAATTGCCATGGAACCATCTGTTACAGCTGTTTACTTAACACCCTCCCCCTAAAAGAAAAAGGCTCGTGTTGTCTCAGAGAAAATATGGCTGGGCATGTAATCCCAGCACCTGGGATGTTGAGGCAGGAGGATCACAAGTTCAAGGCCAGTCTGGGCTGTGAGACTGTCTCAGCAACAACAACAGAGCCTGTATGTGCCCGGGTTGTAGTTCAGGGAGGGCTCAGCCAGTCTCCTGTCGGTAGTTGGATTTGCAGAGGGAAGCTTGATCCTATGCAGTGTAGGGGCGAGGGGGCTTGTCAGCACCCAGCCCGAGAGCTACTTCAGTGTGTTGAGTATATGATTGAGGACCCACTGGTGACTTAACATGCACATCAAACCTGTAGGGAGCTTACTGCCTTCTCTACTCTGTCTGCATGGCTCCTGCCCCTCCTCCCTGTTTCCCTTCTCAGACCCACTGTGCTGAGCTGCAGGGGTGGGGCTGGGCCCTGTGGTGTGGGAGAAACATCTGGAGACTGTCTATCCTGTTCTTAGAGCCTAGACTGATTTTTAAAATACCAGGTAACTGTCCTGCTTCTCCAGTGTTTGCAAGTCAGAATACAGAATTAGCCATTGATCATCTGAGCTGTGCCTAGTCTGGCTGTGAAATAGCTTGGTATTGGACACAGGGCGCCAGCATTACTGACCAAGTCATGGCTTCTTGGGAGTTCTGAGACTCCTGTAGCAAACCCTCTGGGTGGAACTGGGACTGTGGATCTGTCCTTCCCGGTCCTTCTTCCCAGGGAGGCTGTGTACATCAGCACAGTACCTGGGAACAACACTTCAACTTGGCTTAACTTCTGACATTTGAATCACAAAACCAAGTTCATTTTTATTACTTGAAACAGTTTAATACTTCACTTAAACCCAGATCCTCTCCTCAGTATCACGTAGGATAGAGAAATGTCCCATTCTCACTGGTATTAAAATAGGAAACAAAAAAGTTGGCCTGGTATAGTGGAAAGAGGAGCTGGCCAGGATTCAAGAACCCTGCATCCTCTGCTGCTGGTTTCACTGGTTTCTGCCACTTAGCCTCCCTGGGCCTTGGCCTTTACCCAGAAAAGTCACCAAGGGTTATTCTAAGAAGCAAGGTGCTTTCAGGAGTAAAAACCACTACTGAATTTGGCCTGTCTGCTCATTTGTAGGGTTACAGATGCTTATTGTGTGTCCCCAAAAAGAGTCACTGCTTGTCACCACTCTGTCATCTGCAGAAGTTAGACCTCCTCTCTTTTTTTTTTTCTCTTTTTCAAATTTAATTTTCTTTTTTACTTTGTTTTTTGACTGACTATATAGACAGAGACTTTCTGTGTATCCTTCACCTGGCTTCCCCTAGTGTATATATCGCAGTACAGTTATCCAGCAGTGCAGAGTACAGATTGTCAAGGAGAAATCCAACCTGAGGGATCCACACATACTGTTATGAAAGCCAGGAAGTTAATATTGGCACATGCAGTTAACTAAAAATCTCGCCCAGATCTCACAAGTTGTCTACTAGTACCCTTGTTCTGCCCCTCCAGGACTCCACATTGCATTTAGCTGTTACTTTGCTTCCCCTGCCGTCTGACAGTTTTGCAGTCTTCCTTATCTCTCATGACCTTGATACCTTTTGAAGAATATTGATGAGTTCTGTTGTAAAATGTCCCTCAGTTTGGATTTCTCCAGTGTTTTCTCATGACTGAACTGGGGTTTTATTTCTAGCAAGAATAACAGAAGTGACACTGCCACCTCACTTTGAACATCCTCTCCTATGCACACTGAGGCCAGCAGCCCACAGAACTCCTGGAAGCAACATGACTGTGGCATTTTGTATTCACCCATCAGTCAGTATCCTCTCACTTTAGCCAGAAAGCTTCTAAGATACTCTCTTTAGAAAAAGACTGTTGTTCAGAGGGCTGTAACAATTCCTTTTGGGGGGCAGCTCTGTAGTGAGTTTAAGAAATAGAAGTTTTTGAGAGGGTAGCAATGGTTTCCATTAAATAGCTTCAGTGACTTGAGGAGAACTGGCGGGTTTCTTAATTTGCATTACAAAGCATAGACATTTGAAGGGAGTGCTTGATTTTGTACAAATCACTAATTTCCTGGCAGAGAGCTAAGATTATTCTTGAGGTGAATGATAAACCACTTTCTTTTGGTATTGCTATGGACTCCTGTCTGCTCACAGCTGACAAATTTCCTCTTGCTGTGCAGATGACAGGACATACCATTTTCAAGCAGAAGACGAGCAGGAATGTCAGATGTAAGTTATGTGGAGGTGGAACTCAGGGCTGGGACCCAGCAATTGTTCTCAGATGTCTCACTTGGCCACTATGGTTTGTCTAGATGGATGTCTGTGCTGCAGAACAGCAAGGAAGAAGCTTTGAACAATGCGTTTAAAGGAGATGACAGTACTGGAGAAAATAACATAGTCCAAGAGCTGACCAAGGAGATCATCTCGGAGGTGCAGAAGATGACGGGCAATGACGTGTGCTGTGATTGCGGGGCACCAGGTGACCGGGGACCCCTGTCCACCCCCTTCCGGGCCTTAAGACATCCAGATTTCATTCTGAGTCACAGAATCCATCCATTGATTTTTCACTTTCATTTCAAACATGAAATTAAGTGCAGCTCGGCCTGAGTTCATCCTGCTACACAGATGCTCGGTGAACCATGTGCAGACTACAATGGGAAATGCTGGCCTGCCAGCCAAGAGTGGGACCCAGTGAGGGCAGACTGATGGAGATGAAAAGAGCCAATCCTTTTTGAGAAATGAAAACTGAAGGGCACAGTGAGTGTGAACTGAAAGTCATGTGGTCTCATAGGAGCTCTGAGAGGCTACAGATACACAGAATCTAGGATTTACTCCAGCCTCTCTCTGTCCACTTTGTAGAACTTCTGAAGTAACTTTCAGTCACTGTCTAGCTCCGTGACCCTGGAAGAGCATGACTTTGTTAGATGACAGCTTTCCTTTCCACAGATTGCAGGAACAAATCCGTCCTACGTGTCACATTCTGTGACACAAGACATTTACATTTGCATTTTTTATTAGTGTATGTTAATTATACAAAGGAGTTTTGAGATGTTTTCATACACGCATGTAAATGTACTTTGATGAAATTTATCCCCCTCTATTACTTTTTCTCATCTCCCCCCCACACACTTTTTAAACACTTTTAAGAGGTTTCATTATTCTCTTTTCATACTTGTGTAAAACACTTGGATCATTTTCAACCCTCCACCCCCTTCCTGAGAGTCTCACCTTCAAACAGTACCCGTTTTACCCTCCTGCAATTGATTTTTTCAAGGTCTAGATCTGCATATGTTTGCATTTTGACAGAACATATCAGATGCTTCATTTTAATGGATATAGTCTCTGTTGATTTTAGCAACTGGTACTTTAAAGTTTGAGGAGTCCACTTAGTCTAAGGTGGTTAGGTGCTGAGAAGCCTTTTGGGATACTTGGAAACAGATTGTGGCTAGAATAGTCAGTTAGCCTTTCCATGCTTCTAATTCTGTGACAGTGTCGCTTTAAAACACAACCAAAATAGAGTGGGCAATTGAGAAGCGCCATTAGGTTCTTATTTTCCTGAAGGCTATATTTGGTCTTGGATCCATTAAAAATACCATTTTGGCAGGCGATGAGTGATAAGTAGTGAACTGTACTCTTTCTTGAGAAAAGGTAAGGACAGTGAAGTACTTAGATGTTTGAAACACTTTTATAAAGAAGCAAAACCATGTATGTTGTTATCCTAGCATCCTAAGACAACATAGGTGATGTGAAAACTTGACCTGAGTTATCTGAACGAACCATCTTGAAGCACAGTAGAATAGGCCAAGCCACCTGCAAACACAGATGCCCAGAGCACTTGCTAATGTGGATGTGATTTTTAAAACTTCAGCAGTTTTAAAGTAACTTACAATTGCTTAGCAACCAAAGTTGTAATCCTTATCTATGGTGAATTTCTTCTTTCTTATTTTGGGGAGCAGTACTTGGAGTTGAACTCAGGGCTTTGCACTTGCTAGGCAGTCACTCTACACTTGAGCCACGACCCTCTACCCTTTTTGTGTTAGTTATTTTTGAGATAGCATCTCCCTTTATGCATGGGTGGCCTAGACTGATTCTCCTGTTTCCTGCACAGATAGGTGCATCACCACACCCAGCCATTGGTTGAAATAAGGTCTCACTAACTTTTTGCCCAGTCTGGCCTTGAACTGAGATCCTCCTGATCTCCGTCTTCTGAGTAACTATGATTATAGGCTTGAGACACCATGCCCATCCTCTGGTAAATTTCTAAGGGCAACAGCAGTCTGAAAAGAATTATGCTAACACACTGTGGGAACGGGTCCCAGTACATGTTAATTTTAAACTCGTCATTTTTTGTAACTTCAGCATTCATCTGTGAAGCATTTCCTGGGTCTGCATGTGTGCTGTAAGAGGAAGGTGTAATTCGAATCTGATTTCTGCTCTGGTGACCATAGTCTGAGTGTAGTAGAATTGTGTCATCTGCATAGTAAGAAAAGTATCCCTATCCTAGGCATCTCATGGGCCTCTGGTATGCACTAAATGAGTTATGATATGAAAGTGCTCTTGATTTTTGACACTCTTACAAAGCTATTAGAACCAGAGTTCTAAACACAGTGTATCACAGCACCAAGTATTTGTTCTCTGTTACTGTTCACATCTACAGACATGAATGTCCATGACAGTGCCAGACATTGAAGGGTCTCATTTGTTCTCCTGCCCCACTCTGCTGTTATGACCAGGTTGGTGACGGGTGTCATCTTTATTCAGGACTGGCCCTAGAGGAGCTATGGTCACTCAGTTGCACTGTGTCCTTGTTTTTGTACTTACAGCACCTGTCACTTAAATGAATGGAAGGATGAAGAGGTGCAGAAAGACAGAAAAGAGAGAACAGATTGTGTATATGTGGATCGCATGTTATTTAGTAATGGGTGATTGAAGGTTCTAGCTGTGTCAAAGCTGAAAAAATCCTATGCTGAAAACCCACATTCAAGTAACTAGCTGGAAAAAAGTCCTTCCTCTTGGCCCTCTTCTGCCAGCAAGCTCAAATTTGCCCTGTTCTCTTTGGCAGATCCTACGTGGCTTTCCACCAACCTGGGCATCCTGACCTGCATCGAGTGTTCGGGGATCCACCGAGAGCTGGGCGTCCACTACTCTAGGATGCAGTCCTTGACCTTAGATGTATTAGGAACATCTGAGCTGCTGGTAATTGGATTTTTGGGTTGGAAGTAAATGAGGAGAAAGCTTTGTTTTTTATTTTGGCATTCTGTCCATTCTGGTTTCTTGAAATTTCAGTGTGCTGATGGGTGTTATGTTGCCAGATGGGTTTGGGTAATTAGAAACTCATTGATAATTCCTCCTTCTCAGCTCCTAGTGAGGGCACTTTTGTTGCAACTCTTAATTTTTAAGTGCAAGAAAGGGAAGTAAACCCAAATAGGAGTGTTGAGACTGCAGTAGGATTCTACTGAAATGGACTAGGATGGCAGCACGATTCAGTTCACCCCACCCATTAAACAACGCAAACCCCAAAGCCTAAGGACAGTAAATTCTGAGTCATCAGCTAATCTCTGATGAGGCTGTGGCCATTTCTTGCCTCGAGCCTCCAGTAGACTTTTCACTGCCCCATATTGTCCTTTGTGGGACAGATACTGGTTTTTACTTTCGCTGCCACTTTTCTTTTAAAAGGGCTTTTCTTCTGGGTTCAGTGATAACAAAAGCCTGTGGTGGAGAGCTGAGGAGGCTGGAACATCTCATGTGAGGTGGTTTCCAGAGTGTGAGTCTGCGGCCCTACTGAGTGCTGAAGTCAGTCAGGCTCACGGCATGCTTCTGGCCGCCTATACCCTGAGCTCCTAGTCCGTGACCACTGGTTAGAGAGCAGGGCGGGCTTGAGATTCTTCCTTGAGATAGCTGGGTGTTGGACAGTAAATAGTAAGTGGATATTGACTGCCATTGATTTTGATGTCAAGAGCAATCATTCGACAGAACATCAATTACGAAAGTTAGTATTCCTCTCATGGGGCCATCAGTCTTCTTGATGACCACTGAATCCAGCATGTGTTTACTTCTGATGCCTTCTGAACTATCTCGTGGAACCCTTCCGTCTTCTCAGGGAATCCCTTTGTGGTCTTGGGAGACAGAGTTGGGAGAAGCTGGAGTGGGATGTGTGAACATCCCTGCTTACTTCAACATTAAAAATAAGCTAGACTCAGCATGACCCCAGCAACGTGCTCTTTGTTGTGTACTGTGGTTGTTGTTGATGTAGGGATGCCTTGTAGAGGTGTGTATGTGTGTGGTGGGGTGATTGTTGATGGCGTGGGTTCGAGGCCATCACAGCATGTTTTCAGAGAAGCACAGATCACAGCTCAGTAAACACTGATGAGCTGTGACAGTTGCTGCTTTAACTGACTGACTTCTAGCCAGTGGGACACTCAGTGATTTATGATGAGATAACTGCTTATTTTGTATCAGGCACTTTGCAAAGCACTTTGCTTGCTTTATCTCATTTGATCTCTACAAGAACCAGGTGACCTTCTGTATCACCTGGGACTTGGGCTACTTAGGTTACTTGAATATGCCCAGGGCTGTCCACCCATTACGGTGACAAACCTGAGATGAGGGCCTCTATAATCTGATTCCAGAACTGGCATTTGTGGTGGGCTAGCTTGTCATGTGGTGCGCAAGTGACCACTACTGCTGTCCCTCCTGCAGCCCATCCCCCACAGATGACACTGGTTTGCAGCCTGCCCATCCCTGTGGTGTGAACACTTCCCCCACAGTCCATTCCAGGCCACCCATGTGGATGATGACCGTGCGCTGGGAAGAGGTGTTCAGCAGCATATTTTTTTCCATAGCATATTCATCATACAAACATAATGGATGTAAATAACTTTGAGAACATAAGTAATGGTAAAAAATTAGGAAATGATGAGAGATTTTTGTTTGCACTTGCTAGGCAGTGCTCTACCACTTGAGCCATGCTTCCAGCCCATTTTTGCTATAGCTACTTGTATTTTTGCCTGGGACTGGCCTCAGACCTCCATCCTCCTTCCTATGCCTCCCTGTAGCTGGGATTACAGGTGTGTACCACCACACCTAGCTTGTTGGTTGAGGTGAAGTCTCATGAACTTTTTGCCCAAGCTGGCTTGGAACAATAATCATCCTGATCTCTGCCTCCTGAGTAGCTGGAATTATAGACATGTACCACCTCACCTGACTTTTTTTTTTTCCTGAGATAGGCTCTTACTATGTAGACTGAGCTGGCCTCTCACTCATATCCTTCTGCCTCAGCCTGTTGATTACAGGCACCATGCCTGCCTAAATGATGAGTTTTCACTGCATGGTACCCTGGTTTTTTAATATGTTTTATTGTGCGTTTATATAATGTAATTTTTAACAGTAGCAGTGTTTAACAGCTGTTATACACACACACAGAGAGAAAAGCAACAATTGACTCTATGACTGGCCAGAGCCTGACTCCAGCATCTATTTTAATTACTTAACTGCATCTCAAAAATCTGTTAATGATTTTCCTGAGATTCTGTTGCCTCCTGAAGAGGAAAACACCAGAGCATGTTGAAAGGAATGTGTTTCCATTTTGATGAAATGCAGAAGTAATGTCTGATCCCAGATTCGGCCCTTATGTCTTGTCTCCCAAAGCCTGTCTGTATTGTCATAAAGGCTTAAAGTTTGACCTCTGCTCACCCATTAAGAGAGGTCAGGCAAGCCTTTTTAATTAACACCTGCAGATATTTTCAAAATCTAATGTCTGCCATAGTTTTAAACTCTCCCTTGCTTAGGCCTCTTTTCCTCAGTGGGTATCAGAAAAGCATCATGGATTGGTGCTGTGGTGTGGGCTTTGTTCCTACCACTCTCACCCTGAGCTCTGCTTGTCCTCTGGGCTCAGAGGAGGTGACTGCTTGCTGCTTCTCCCCCAGGATGTCGGCATGGCAACCTGTCACACTCCACTCCTCACCCCTCATCTCAGGTTTCTCACAGCACCTGGGTTTATTGTGCTTAGACAGATGCCTAAACAAAGAATTTCCTAAAGTCTTGACACCTACCCCTCTCTTTCTCTCTCTGTGTATGTGTGTTTAGAATTATGTCTGGCACATAAGAAAGAAATCCTGTGAAACAGTAGCTACCATTAGTTTTTCCTCCAGGGTAGTCTTAACAGCGCTTTCAGAAAAATGAAAGCGTGGGTCCGTGGGTGAGCCCTCCTGCTGTGTCCCAGCTGGCCGTTCTGTGGCAAGCCTTTCCAGTTCACAGGGCTGTGGCACAGGCACCTTTGGTTGACATGTCTGTCACTGTGGGGCTCCTTGTGCACCAAACATCAGCTAGACCTCACAGTACACTATTAATGGAGACCGGTGGGGGCAGCCTGGATGAACCGGCTCAGCAGTTTCCCATCTTTTAGGTAAATAACAGAACGGCCCACGGTGAGGGGAGGTGCTGGAGCGTGAGAAGGTTCATTAAATTTACTTTTTACTGTATTGTGATACATAGCTGTGAAATTTTGAGACAGTGTAGCCTTGTGGAATGTTAAGATACTTACCATATCCACCGTCTCACATGCTTGTCATTCTTTCGTGTTAAGAACACAAAATCCACTTAGCAATTTTCTAGTATCAGTTATTAGCAACTATAGTTCCTGTGTTGCGTTAGAGCTCCAGAATGTGTTCGCCCTGATTAACCGAAATGGTGTGTCGTACAACCAGCACCCTCTGGTAGCTCCTCTTCGCCCCTTGCTTCAATGAGTTTGACTTTTCACGTGTAAGATAGGTCAGGTATTTGTCGTACTGTGCCTAGCTGAGTTCACTTAACAGAATACCCCCCACATTCATCCGTGTGGTCACAGAAACAAGATTTCTTTCTTTTTCAAGGCCGGATGGTATTCTAAGCTGAATATGTACCACATTTTCTTTCCTTTCTTTTGGGTGGTATTTTCTTTTGGAGTTGAACTCAGGGTCTCATGCTTATTAGTCAGGTGCTCTACCACTTGAGCCAAAACCCCAGTCCTTTGTTTGCTTTAGGGTCTTATGTTTTTGACTGGGCTCAGCCTTGGATTGTGATCCTCCTACCTATCCCTCCCAAGTTAGCTGGGATTACTCCTGGCTCACATTTTCTTTATCCATTCATTCTTGATTGACATTTAGGTTGATTCCATATCATGGCAACTATCAATAGTGCTGCAATAAACATGGGTTTATAGATGTCTTTTTGGGCATACTGATTTCATTTTCTTTGAATATATATCTAGTAATGGGATTGCAGGAACAGAATTTTTTTCCATAATGGCTCTACCAGTATAAATTCCCACCAACAGTGTGCAGGGGCCCTCCTCATCCTCACTGATGACATTCTGGTAAATGTGACATTCTGGTAAATGTGAAATGAGAACACATTGTGGTTTTACTTTTCATTTCTCCAGTGATTAGTGATATTGAACATTTGGTCATATATGTTGGGCCATTTCCATATCTCCTTTGGAGAAATGCCTATTTTGTTCCTTTGCCTATTTATTTATTTATTTATCTTGGTAGGACTGGGATTTGAACTCAGGGTTTCACACTTGCAAAGCAGGCGCTCTACCACTTGAGTCACACCTCTAGTCCGTTTTGCTCTGGTTATTTTGGAGATGGGAGTCTCGCGAACTATTTGCCCGGCTTTGCCCATGTTTTAATAGGGTTATTTGTTTTCTTGCATTTGAGTTGTTTGAACTCGGTATATATTTTAGATGTTATGCCTTTATCAGATCGAGGTTTGCAAGTACTTTCTCCCATTACACAGGCTGCCTCTTCATTCTTTAGTTGCTTCCTTTGCTATGCAGAAGCTTTTTAGTTTGGTGCAATTTCACTTACCTAGTTTTGCTTTTGTTGGTGAGGAAAGGTTTTTAAAGGGCCTAAAAGAGACAGCAGGTCTGTGAACAGGTTTGAATGCATTTTCATTTTCTGTTTGGCACTGTATCTAAATAGACAGATGCTCACCCAATGAAACGTCACTCCTGCCTGCCCACATGGCCTTGCCATATTCCTCTGATGAGAGTCTTTTGCTTAATTCAGTAAATTATTTTCTGGCTTCAGGTTTGCAGACAGCTTCATGGGATGCTATGCTGTGGCTGTTTTCACCATTTCCCTTTTAATTTGCTTTTGTTTCAAAGCACACTGATTTTCACATTAGTTGGGCGGACTCCAGCAGCACCCACAGAAGCAGCTGGTTGGTGGTCATCTTTTTTTCCGTTTGACTGAGTTTAGAATCCCCCTCAGTCTGCAAGAGAGGATAAGCAGACTAATTGCTTTAGGGAAGTCATCATCTAAAGACTAGCATACAGCAGGTTAGTGCTTAGATTTTCACCAAACCTGCTTTCAGAAAACCTCATGGCAAGCATCAACTTAAGAGATAAATTTCCTCTTTGACATAGAACATCATGAGTTCAGCACTGATTTTTTTTTTCAGGTCACATGAAAAAACAGTGCCAGTGGTACTAGGGCACTGGTATCATATGATCTGTTTTATTGTCATAAGTGAAGTTAATGAAGGAAACCTTGATGTTTTGAAGTTGAACTTTAAAACCTTTCATCAAGTTGGAGAACATGTATGGGAAGCTGAGGTGAAGATGCATGCTGGCTCAGCTGCCTCTCCACCATCCCCTGCTGCCCTTCTCATGAGGTTGTTTCCGATGTGTCAGACACTGAAGCCGGCAGCCCACAGCCAGGCCTGAAGAGTGCATGGAGGGAAAGCCTCTCAAACAACAGATCACTGCTCGCTAGGACTAAAATCAGTCACTCTGGGTACTGAAAGCAATAACTTAGGGCCGTGAGAAATGACCACCAGCTGCCATTTGCTGAATCTTGAATGCTCTGGGCACTTTCCTTGGAGCTCTCTGTGCATTTTGTCTGATCTAAGCGAGAGCTCTCTTCGAAAACCAAGGCTAAGAAACCTGGTTGGTGCAATGTAACTGAGCAGCATTTACACTCCAGACCCTGAGACCCCAGGGCCTGCATGCCAGCCTTCATTATCACAACTCTGAGTTGTTTTTAGCCACAGCCTTATCACAAAAAATTGAGCACCCAAACCAATACATATGTTGCGAGATAGTTCAAAGAGAGAAATTTCAAGGCTCAGGCAAAAGCCCAGTTTGTGAACTTCTTTCCTGCAGGAAGGTGTTGTTTGTACTCTTGCCCACTGTACCACTCCCTGCATTTCTTGGCTCTGGCTGCACTGGTCACACCCCTCATGTGCCTGCTCCTTACCTGTGTATGACACAGGTGTGCTTTGCTCTCCAAGCCTTCCACCCTGCTGGGAGCTGAGGGGACCAATTAATAACACCCCCATGTGGGAACCAGTAGGGAGCAAGGCCAGGAAGTTGAAAGAGACCTAGATTTTATTGTTAGCAAAGCCCAGTTGGCTGCATGGTTTCCACGTGTGGTACCTGTGTAATTGCTGCCAAGCCCATCCTGCCAGGTAGCTCGGGGCACTGAGCCCAGGACACGGCTGGGAGGAAGAGGCCACGATGTTATCCCCTGTGCCAAGCCACACCAGGTTCTCCTGAGTTGAGTGCCAGGGAAATCTTGCTTCCCTTACTTCTGGTTCCGTTCCTCGGGTGAGTCAAACAAAAGTGGAGAAAGTCACAGCAATTCCTGTACCTCCCTATGGAAGCATGGAGATGGAATAAGATGTTTGCCCCATCCTATCCCAAAATGATTTCCACGTGAAAGCTGAAGCCTGTTTGTGGCTCAGAGTGTGACCACAGGCATATATGTACACACACACCCATGCACACACACACATGCACGCACACGCACGCACGTGATTATTTACATGATCCTCCAATGAGGAAGTCGGTCCTCCTGACCATGTGACTGCTGTCCTTGCCTGAACTTGGTGTCTCCATCGTCGTGGGGCTCAGTACAAGCTTCTTTTCCTGTTCCCTCACACTGTCTTTCTGTCTTTATTTTCAAGTCATCTCTTGCTTAGCTGTTTACACAGCACTTACATTATGTTAGGTATTACAAGTCATCTAGAGATGATTTAAAATAGGCCAGGATTGTGTAGGTTATATGCAAATCCTCTGCTGTTTTACATAAGGAATTTAGTGTCCTTGGATTTTATTGTCATCAATGGATCCTGGAACCCATCCCCTGTGAACACGGAGGGACAGCTGTACCATTAAACACTCTGACCTCTTCTCCTAAATCCAGTCTAGCTTGCATTCTGCCTCAGCACAGCAGACACCTCCTTCTGGTTGACAATGACAAGCTGTTGATACTAGTTCTCTGTTTAATACCCCATCTTCGTGCTCCATTGACTTCTTCCCCCTGGCCTACTGGGGCCCATGTGGGATCCTGTGGTCTCCTTCTGCAAAGGCTGTGCCATTGTTGATGGTTCCAGAGGGGTTCTCTGTAGGCTAGAGAGTAAACTGTGTCTTGGTAGGCATGTTTCTCCAGTGTTGGGTGTGTGTGACGCATGGATGCGGTGGCTCCCTAGACCAGCTGTCCCCTCCTAAACCAGCCAAGTCAAGCAGAAGGGAAGCAGCTCTCTGGTTCCTGGGGAATTCTTCTGCCCACCCCACCTCCCATCTGCTTCACACAGACTAGGAGGTATCAGGGTGACCCCTCACTCACAGGGGCTGCTGTGGCTTCTGTCAGTCATTTGCACAAAGTGGTTGGGCTCAACGAGGGGATGGTGTTCGGATTGTGTTGTGCAAAAGGGGATTGGAGCATGCCTGCGGTAAACTACGGGCTCTAATATTGAAGTTTAGTCCTGGATCTGCCCCGACTGCCAGAGAAGTCCTTCTCAGGATGTCAGCGCCAGGGTATGTTGGCATTTGTCACCTTCTCAGGATGTCAGCCCTAGGGCTGGCATTTGTCACCTAACTGGTGTGCCACCCTGATCATTAGCTTTCAGTACTTCATGTCCAGGAAACTTCAACCTGGTAGCCTGGAATTTTGTCCTGTGATTGTGGCTTGAGGCCCTAGAGCCAGTGCTGAACAGAGAAGTGGAGTTGGTCAGTGTGAAATGCTTTGGCATTGTGTGTCTAGGCAGTTCTCTTCAGTTTGCAGGATGAGCTCAAATTTAGGAAGGTTCACTACCTACCCAAGTGTTAAGCTACTTACATATTTATTTCTTCTGCATCTTTCCCTGTTGACCCCACTTCACTGTCTGGGGTTACTTCCCAACAAGAAGTTCCCACATATCAGTCCCTTGACTTTTCCTTAAGCCATTTCCCCTGGAAATGATCAGACTCTTCAGCCAACGGCCTCAGCCACCATGACCCCTTTGTCGGCATAATTAAGAAATACCAGAAATGTCACTGGCTGCCTCAACATGTTGTTTTTAAGGTAGAAATTGAAATATCTGTTCTCTCCAAGCACTGTGCTCCCTTCTAGTATTATTTCATGAAATGTAAGACTCTGACCTGGGGGCCAGGGTGCAGCTTAGTGGTAGAGCATTTGCCTAGCATGCAGGAGGCTCTGGGTTATGTCCTTAACACCACAGAAAAACAAAACCAAGGAATCTGACCTGGAAGCTGATCTCTATGGCAGTCGATAAGCTGGGTGTTTGGAGCTCCATGCTGTTATGGAGCTCCTGGTGGTTCAGTCAGTCATTCTTCCAGTGAAGACCATTGGTCTTCATGACATATATCTTTGAATCTGCTGTATCCAGCACAGTGCCTGGTGTTCAGTAACATTCAATTAAAAGATGTCAATCTAGTATTTAACAGGTCAGAAGACTGCCACATACAGGCCTTTCATTTAGGCCAATGCATGACTTTTACAGTGCTTTAGTTTACTGAGTGTTTTCACCTAAAATAGCTCATTTTATTATTTTTGCAACCCTATAAAGTGGGCATTCTCCCCATTCTAGTGATGAAAATTGACACTCACGTGGACCCATCTGCCTGTGGTCACACAGCCAGTGGTTGGAAGCTGAGTTTTGGCCTCCTACCCCTGTACTCCTTCTACTGTGTCATCGTACCTCACAGCTGGTATGAAGAAGGTTGTTTGGGGAGTGTGGATTAGACCCATTTCAGTGGTAGTGCAGGTTTGGGGAGGGAAGGTAAGAATGGAATTTCACAGTGGGCCAAGTTCCTGCTTTCTCTGTGACTGCTGACTGTCCAGGGATGTTTTATGTGAGTTCTTTGTAGAAGGCCTGCTATGCTTCATTTGTCATTTTGCAGATACCTTTGGGCTTTGGGTTTTGTCCTCTTCATTAAGGCAAACCACTTTATTGCTCTTTTTCTTAGTGGCCATTAAATAAGTCATCAAATGTGTGAGTAATGGGCAGCAGTGGAATGTATTAATAATTGAGTGCCCTGAAATAGACTTTTGTTTTTGCAGCTTGCCAAGAATATTGGGAATGCAGGCTTTAATGAGATCATGGAGTGTTGCCTACCAGCTGAGGACTCAGTCAAACCCAACCCCAGCAGTGACATGTGAGTATGGGACTGGCTGTCCTCATTTTCTGAACCAAGATTTGTTTACCCTAGCCCCGAGAGGCAAGGGAGCAGGTTTTGGGTATGCCAGTTGTTACTTCTTTGGAAAATAAGCCAACCTAAGGCTTTTTTCCCCTTTCTTCAGTCATTTTTAGCCTTTTTGTGCCCAAATAGAAATGTGTTGTGGCTGTGTTTTTTTAGGAAGAGGACATGAAGTTTAGCAGCTGCTCCCTATGCATAGCATCACAATGCTTCTGCTTGCATGTGGGCCCCTGGACCTTCCCTCTGCTAGCAGTTCATCCTCTTTGGCCACTTCCCTGACTTGATTCTCTCTGCATGAATTCTAAGCCACTGAGTGGCTAGTCATCATAGATACACAATTATGCACCATTTTTTTTTTGCCAGTGGCCTCCTTGTAAGTGTAGAGTGTGTTGTTTACTTCCCAATTTTTGTGTGTGTGTGTTTTATTGTTGATAGAAAACTAGGTTGAGAAGCTTTTGGCCTCATCATACATCTAGCTGGTACATATAGGGAAATTTTCTCACAGTTTTATCAAAGTGTAAGTCACCCAGACCACACAGGAGATGGACAGAGAAACCCTCATGTCAGGGCAGTGCCTGTCCTGCACGTTAGACCTCAGTGATGTTTCTTACAGTGGCCTGCCTGCTGCAAGAGGACTCTGGTAGGGTGTGACACAAAATGAGGCCTGGTTCCAAATCAGCAAAAGAGACAATACCTGCATTTGAATGATGTGACTAGGTCACAGTGTTCTGGCAGTGGAGGGAAATGGCAAATACAGGATAAGAGAAAGTTTAAAAGTCCATTTAGAGAGACAACAACATTTCCTTAGAATGAGCCTGAAATAGAATTAGCAGCCTGAGTCCTTCCCAAGGACATTGAGTCCCTGTGACCAGTATCTTTGACTGGTTTTACAAGTAGGTGGGAATGGACCAGCCCATTATAAAACAGAAAAGTTAGATTTTTGTAACCACTTTGTTGTGCTGGGGAATCTGAGGCTGTAGACCTACAGTTCCGTTGCATTCTGGCGATGTAACTTGACATGATGAGGAAGCAGGGACCTTCTAAAGGAATGGCTCTCAAATGTGAGGTGCCTCAGGTGAGCCATTTGGAGGCGTTGGATTAAAGTCAGTCCATGTTTGCATCCTTTAACAAGCATTTGTGATCCAGCACTTCCCAGGGATTGGATAATGTATGGTTTTAGATGCTAGGCACAGGTTTAACAAAGTTATTATTCTCTCAGTGTGAAAATCTGAGTTTTAAATTGGTATTGTTACCCAGATCTGGAGAGGCAGTAGGGACAGACAACCAGTCCTAGAGTCCTTTTAACTCCTCTGAGCCTAAGTCCCAGTTTCCTCTAATATAAAAAGGGAGAGCATGCTGACTGCCTGGTGAAGGCATTGGGGAAATCAGTGAGGTGGTTACCACTTAGTTGTGATGCTCAGTTTTACAGTAATTGGCATTGGCTGCTCTGCTTGTTCTTCATCCTGTGGATGACAGAGGCATGGTAGGGACCTGCTCTGATTCTACCCAGCTTGAAAATGTGCAGTTAAGTTTCTGTTGGGCTTGCCCAGAGGTGAACAAACCCTTCTGGGACAGCTGGAGGATCCTGTTTAGTGAAGGAAGTGTCATGGTCAAGTATGGACAGTTCAGTTACAGCTGTTAATTGACACATGTATTTCTCATCAAAGGTACCAGTCTCCTGGATTGCTGTAATATTGATCAACTTTAAACAATATACATAGTAAATAGTTTCTTTCAAGTACTTTAGAAAAGCAGAGTACTTATTTGTTTGGGGGCTTGGTGATCCTAAAAATGAATACTGCCTATTTGGAACTTTTCAGTATCAATGTTCTGTCTACATTGAGACCCACCCCCAACCTTGGCTCTACTCAAAAGAAAGTTTATACTCCCCCTTTTTCTCAAAATTAGTGTGATAAAATGGTCACTCACATCCCTTCCTCTCCAGTCGAAATGAATTGTGCGGCTCTCTGTGCTCCTTTAGCATTTGGCTCTGTCTTAAAATGTCTCATTCAACTTTATATTACACCTAGGTTTTTCCAAATACTGTTCTGACAAGTTGCCTCTTACTTGTTTTTTTTTTATTTCCCACCACAATATGTTGTTTGTAGTACATTAGTAAATATTTAATGAATAAACAGGTCAAAGAAATAGCCCCAGCTCTGTGCCTGCTTCAATTAGTGAATATTTTACTTCTAGATGGAAAGGAATGTGCTGTTTCTAGCTTTATCTAAGAACACCATCTGCAGATCAGTCTGTTGAAGAGGAAGCCAGAGACACCCTCTAGTGGCCTATGAATGCCCAGGTGGATTTTAGGGGTGTGGAGCAGGCGTGACTGGGCCGCCAGGGGCCAGGCTTGAGTCTGTTCACAGAGGCCAGGACTTTTTCTGTGATCTGAGGCAGCACAAGGGAAGCCCTCTTAAGCACCAGAAGGATTGTTCTGTGGAGCTAATTGCTTTTCTCCACTGCCTCAGCCTGTAAATAAAAAAGGAAGGGAGAGCACATTAGTGGTGCAAACTTCCTCCACAAAACCAGTGAGCACAGTGTGGGTTCCACAGACCTCATGTGGTGTTTTGATACCTTCAGGGCACCTGGAGCCCTGAGCAGGTGAATAATCCATTAAAAAAGAAGTAGAGAGCTGGATATGGTGGCACTTGCCTCTAATCCCAGCATTCAGGAGGCTGAGGCAGGAGAATCTCGAGTTTGAGGCCAGCTCAGGCTACATAGTGAGACCCTGTTTCAGTAAACCAAGCACTTGGTCCCCAGGACACACACACACACACACACACACACACACACACACACACACACACACAGGAACTCATCTGTGAGGGTTATAGTGATTGTCCCACAATGGTTGCTGAAAGTATGTAAAACTTGACAGCTGACCTCTCATAAGAGTTTTAAGTTATTGAATGGGCTTCTGCATATGACATGTCATCAAGCTAGGAATTGGGCAGCTCCTGGGAGTCCCATGCTGGGCTCAGAGCCTGAGAGAACTCACTAGTGAAACGGGATCTGTCTGGGCGCTTGCTGACTAAGGAAACAGCCTGATTTCCCCTCTGTGAGCTTCTGTGTACTTATTTGCAAGGTGGAGACAGAACCTCCTGGTACTGCTGTAGGAATCCAGTGGACAGAGTGTCTCTACTCAGGTCATCAGGGATCTCCATGGCAAGTTAGCACCATGTGAACAGGGTAGTGTGTTGAGGGACATCAAGGCTCTAGCCTTAAGCTAGGCCTCAGAGGTGGCAAACTGGGGCTAGAAGCAAGAGGGGCACAGAATGATGAAAAGTGCTTGAGCACAGGGTCCAGGCATCTTTGGAAGTCCCTCCATGCTGTGAAACTTGGAGGAACTCAGGTGGAACCAGTACTCTGAGATGAGATGTCCTAATGATCTGCCTTAGGCTGTGGCCTGTCTGGGAGCAGCACACTTCCAAGGGCAGTGGTCAGGCTGCCCGTTGATGGTAGAAGAGAGCCCAGCCCAGTGGTTCAGTGTCCTTTTGTGGGGCAGTGTCTTCACATTTTAGACTGGCTAGTCTCCAGGGGTCCTAGACCCCTGCTTGGCGTTTCATTCCCAGAGGCTCAGGCATCTCTGAGAGAGGGCAGGTCATCTAACATGTACCTTGGGGAGGAGGTACAGGTTGTGGTCTGTTGGCCTGGTGTGTTCCTGCCTTGCCCTCACCCTCTGGGGTGTAGAGGGTCATGTAGGCTGTGGTTTTCAATTTTCAGTGAGCACCAAGATTCCCAGGTTACCTGGACTGTCTGCATCTTATAAACACCTGGGTGACCCGAGGCCCAGGCTTAGAGAAATACCATCTGTAGGCATTTGGTGGGGAGACAAAGAAGAGCCCCCTCTGTCCATCCCTTTTCCATCAAGCCTGAGGAGAGAAGGCAACTACAGTGCTCAGTAGTGCTTAGGTCAGAAAGAGGTCAGTCGTGTGTTTCAGGGCCCTGTGGAGTTAAGGGTTTGGTGAGTAAGCAGTAGTAAATGCAGATGGAGCAGGGTAGAAGGAAACAACCCCTGAACTAAGAATTGCTAGCCAGGTCCCATGTGCATGGCCACCTTAGACCCTCTTCCTTTGAGCTGGTGATTCGAGAATGCTGTGCTCTCTTCTTCACTGTGTTATCTCATTCAATCCTGCAATAGCCCTGTCAGCTCCCAGCTTATAATTTTAGAATATTTTTTCCACCCCCAAAAGAAACCTTATACCCATGACCTACTGAGTCTCCTACATACCCAGCCCTCAGCAGCCTACTTTCTGTCACTATAGACTTGTCAGTGCTGGACATTTCATACAAGTGGAGTCCTACAACCTATGGGCTTCTTGAGTCTGCCTTCTTCCACCTTGCATGGTGTGCTCGCAGTTTAGGCTTGCCTCAGTGCATCAATCCCTTTTGTTGCCCGAGAACACTGACTGTGCTGTATATGCACCACGTTTTTGTTTACCCATTCTCAGCTGAGGTTATTCAGCATTTTTTTTTTTTAATCATTACTAGTAAACAAACTTTTTTTTGTGTGTGTAGTACTGGTGTTTGACCTCAGGGCCTGTACTTGCCAGGCAAATGCTCTACCACTTAAGCCACTCCCTCAGTCCTGTTGCTGTTAAGATTATTAATATAACTGGGATTGCAAAAGGCTCAGTCCTCAGACCATGAGCTGCTGTTTTTCTTGTTCTTCCTCTTTAAGCTGGTTATCATTTTCTGTGGTCCTAGGACCTACTACATGATCCACTTACATGTTAACTCACGTACGTCTCCCACTTCTACTATGAGGATCCATTGTGTGTATTTTTACAAAGAAGAAAACTTGAGGCCTAAAGAGATGAAATTTTTGTTCAAGTTCAAACCATCAGTACGTGGTATCTGTGGGATTTGAATCCTGACACCCTCCCTCCCTCTCACCTCCGCTCCAGGCTCCTTGATAGGATGGAGTCTGGACACGGCCGTTTAAAGGCCAGAAACAGGACACACAGACTGATGGTTCCCTTTGGTTCATCTCACAATAAGTGCCTGATTTGCCAGGCACCAGGCCTACAAAGGAGAGGAAATAGTCCATGCCCTGTTGGGTAGGCAGAGCAAAAGGGAGGGAACTGTAGCAGAGGGCAGGAAAGGTGACCAGCCTGGGAGGTGGCCCAGGAACAGCTGTGGGAGAACATGGATCATAAGCAGAGAAGGATGAGCATGTTATGTTGAAGGGCTTAGGTAAAAAAATGTTGATATGTGTGTGGTGTAGTGAGGATGGTAGTATGGTGAGATTAGGGCAGAGAATGTCAGAATGAGGCAGAGGTAGGCAGCTGAGAAAATGTGAGAAAGTTGTCCAACTGCCCGCTGTCCCTTACATGTGGGTGACACTCAGGACTGCTGCACAGGGCTGTGATGCCTCTGATGTTGGAACTAGAGCTGTCCTTTGCTTCTGGAAGAAGCTCAGAGGGGTTGCAGTGAACAGGTGCTTATGGACTGTGAGGTACAGCTGTAATGAAGAGGGCGGGCAGGGTTTCTAACGTAGATGAGTGGATGGATTGAGCAGAGGGCCTTCATGACTTACCTGGCAATTATTTCTGGTTTCAGGAATGCAAGGAAGGACTACATCATGGCCAAGTACATCGAAAGGAGATATGCAAGGAAGAAGCACGCAGATAATGCAGCAAAGCTCCATAGCCTGTGTGAGGCCGTGAAAACCAGAGACATTTTTGGGTTACTCCAAGCTTACGCCGATGGTGTGGACCTTACAGAAAAAATCCCACTGGCCAATGGACATGTAAGAGTGTGGCTGCTACTTACTTAAAAAAAAAAAGAAAAGAAAAAGGGGAAAAACAGAGGCAGTATAACCAGTCATGTAATCACCTAAAAAGACAGCACTTTTTCTGTAGGAAGAAACTAGTGGTTTATACTTTTTTTTTTTAATTGGCAAATAGTTTTACAAATTGAGCATATCTTATCCTAAATGCGTGGGACCAGAAATGTTTTGGATTTTGAATTTCTTCAGATCTGAAATACTTGCATATATGTAATGAGGGAACCCCGTCTAAACACAGAACTCATTCATGTTTAGCACATGCTCCACTCGCAGAGCATGGAGGTGATTCTATGCAGTGTTCTACTGCTCTTGTGTTCTGACTGTGACCCATCACAGGTCAGGTGTGGGATTTTCCACTTGTGTCGTGTTGACAAAGAAGTTTTGTACTTTAGAGCATTTTGGGTTAGGGATCGTCAACATGCATACATATTTATGGGGAACAATGTGATGTTTTGAGACATTCACATTGTAGAATGAGTAAATCAAGTTAATTATCATATTCTTTACCTCATATACTTGTTTTTGTAGTGAACACATTTCCAATCCACTATTAGCGATTTAAAAATACACAATACATTATTATTTTTAGCCTTAGACACAGAGCTGTGCAACAGAACCTACTCCAGAACCTACTCTCCCTTTCTAACCGAACCTTCGTGTGTTATATAAATAAATAATAATTTATCATTAAACCAGATAAATGACAGTTCTGTAGAGACAACCCATCCAAGGGAATGCCATCTTCTCAGATGCCTGAGAGCCTGAGAGAACCCTTTCTTCCACTGTCTGGTTTAGTGAGAGCCTCACACTTGTATAGGGAGATGGTCACAGTGAGTTTCAGGGCCAGGCCTCTGCAGCCATGCTGAGAGGGAGTGCCCTGATAGAGACTGCTTTTTAGCCTGGCCCATTTACTCCTTCCTGAGGAGGTGGAGAGGAGACCGCCCCCACATTCCTGAAGGAGTGGGTCTGCAGTAAGCATTCAGTCCCTAAGCAGCAGGTTTCCTAGTCTCTTCCCTAGATTCGACATGGAAACACACTCTGGACCTGAAACCTCCCAGCTGTAGGACTGGGTTCCACTCTTATCAGTGCTCAGACCCACGCCAAGCTCTGCAGGCAGAGATGCTTAGAACAGCAACATTTTCTCCTGGTGGCTAAAACTGTCCTCATAGACATAGCCAATGTACCTGCAGGCTTGAGAAAACTCAAGCCCTGCAATCCAGAGTGGAGTGTGCCCAGACCTGTACCATGCTGTGGCCAGAGGACCAAGCAGGCGGGGCAGGTGGGAGAGGAGGTGAATTTTTCTGTCCACATCTCCTGTTCCTTTCCATTCTCTCACTCGCTTACCCATCTGGAATAACCCCCATTCATCTCACATGCCAAGCCAACCTTCAGAAAGGCAATGGTAGTTATGTTCCCTTAGTAGGAATCAAGGCCAGGACAGGTATTAGTATTCATAGCCTTATTTGTGAGTGCCAAATGAAAAAGTTGAATAAAAATACACTTTTCTTCTTATTCTGGGAACAGATATAGGGATTAGGTATAGGAGGCCTGGGGAAACCTTCTGGATGCTTTGAATAGGACCCGTGCTTGCGAACACCATTTTATGCAATTGATACAGGGACAGGGACAAGGGACACAGTGATCAAAAGGACTTTGGATGTGAAACCCCTGAATTTCTTGTTTATTTCCCTGAAAAGTGAAGAGGAATCAGGCCAGTTATAAGTCACATCTTCCCTCTGGTAGATACCTGCTGTGGAGATCAGAGAGGCACTCTGTGTCTTGGAGATAAGTTTTTTGGAAGAAAAGAAAAGAGACTTTTGCAAAGGGAGATACCCATGATTTCACTTGCTGGTCTGATGACTGAACACTTCCGCCAGAATTGTAATGCCTTGGTTTTGTTTTCAGGAGCCAGATGAGACAGCCCTCCACCTTGCAGTCAGATCTGTGGACCGGACTTCTCTTCACATTGTGGATTTCTTGGTTCAGAACAGGTCAGTATAAACTAAGGGGGAGTTTTGTTCCCGCCCTCTGGGATTTCTGAGGATGAATTTTGTTGCCAAGACAGATGCTTGTGTATTCAGGTCTAAACATGAATTATGGGGCAGAGGAAGTGTTGCCAGGTATGGGGCATTTCATGGCAATCCTAAAAGAAGCACTGGAGTATGAAAACAGAGCCCTTAGAGTGTGAGTCTAGGTCAGTGGTAGAGAGCTTGGCTACCATGTGCAAAGGCCTGAGTTCCATCCCCAGCACCACCAAAAAGTAGGAAGGGCTCTTTCTGACATTTAAATATTGCTGGTTTCCTCCTGATGGGAGCAGTGGGCACTGTCCCCTGAGATTGCCTCTGACCCCACTTGTCTGTCCAGAAGCACAAGGCCCTCTGTCCATCCTTGGTGATGGTGGCACCACCCATGGATGGCTTTTCCCACATCTGTGGAGTTTATGCACCTTTCTTGGATAGCCTGTCCTTATTCTGCATTGAGCAGATTTATGTATATGTCCCACACACACATACACCTGGAGGATGTGTGTATCTTGTCTCACCCACTGTGGGGACAAGGTAGAAATACTGTTAACTCATGAGTTCGCTCTGCGTGCTGGCTGCTGGTCCCACATTCCCTGCAGCATAGTCCCTAGTCCTTTAGCCTGTGATTCAGTGTTCTTTTTCTTTTATCTGTGCCGGGCAGTGGGAATCTGGATAAGCAGACAGGCAAGGGCAGCACAGCCCTGCACTACTGCTGCCTGACGGACAATGCTGAGTGCCTAAAGCTGCTTCTGCGGGGGAAGGCCTCCATCGAGATAGGTGAGCAACTGGGTCCCATGGGGGGTGCGGCTTGCTTGACTCTCCCTCCTACCTGCAGTTTGTGCCATTGTTGGAAACAGGGCTGACCCTTCGCTCATCCCTCAGAGGAGAGAGGGCCCCTCCCTACAAGTCCTTTAGGGCTCCTTGGCCTGGGTTTGATGGGCAGTACTCACTGTCCATCCCTTAGACTTTTATTGCTTCTGCAGGCTTACAGGAAGGCCGAGGCTGGGCCTTGCAGCTGTGCTGATCTGAGTAAACCTGGGCAAGGCTGGGAATGGTGACCTGCTCACCAACCCTGGCTCCTCACCAGAAATCAGGCTTACTGAGGGGAGATGCTGTCACTACCTCTTCATTTTGTTTATACCCCCACCCATGAGGGACTCTAATCTTGCCTGGCCTTTGTTCCTCCCTCTATCCTGGAATGCTGACCTGCTGTCAGTTGCTGAGGCATCAGTTATTGTTGGTTCCTGGGGAAGTATTTTGGAGGAACGTTATCCAAAGAGGAAAGAGTAGAAAAAGGTACATACCTGCTGGAGAGCAAGGCTTCTTTTCTAAATTAGTAATCATACCTTGTTGATGGAGACTTAAAACACAAATTTCAAATGGGTAGGCTGCTAAAGAGTTGAGTTCAAGTGTATTGGGCAGGGAGGCAGTACTCTGTGGGAGACCGAGGATGCCCTACTTGTAATGGGGATGTTGATTTTAATTAGTTGACTGCTTCAACAGTTTTATTTTTTTAATTAGCTCAAACTTTGCTTTTTAAAATCATAGCTTCTCCACTGTATTGCATCCTACACACTCACAAGACATGGTGAGCCCCACCCAGGTCAGACTGTGAGTTGTACACAGTTTCTTAGAGAGGCTTTACTGTATCTTTGTTAAATTGCACTAGAGAGCAGCCCCTTGTCAAGTGTGTGAGTCTGCTTTCTGTTACTGTGTCAAAATACCTGAGAAAATCAACTCAAGGGAAAAGGAAAGAGTTCTTTTGGCTCGTGGTTTCAAAGGTTTCATTCCAAGGTCACCTGGCTTCATCTCTTTGGGCTCGAGTATCATGGTGATGGGATCTTGTAGCAGAGGAAGCTGCTCACCTCATAGCAGCCAGAAAGCAGGGACTGGGGACAAGATATACCCTTCAGAGTCATACCCAATGACTCACTTCCTCCAACCAGGTCCCACCTTCTAATAGCCCACTCAGCTATGAACTCTTCAATGGATTGATTAATTCATTGATGAGGTTAGTGCCCTCTTGATCCAGTCACCTCTCAACAGCACCACCAGCTGTGGACCAAGCCACCAACATGTGAGCCTGAGGACACTTTGTATTCAAACCATAACACCGGGTTTTGCCATCCTGTCTCCTTCCCTCTGTCTTGATTTTTAGCTAATGAGTCAGGAGAGACGCCGCTGGACATTGCCAAGCGTCTCAGGCACGAACACTGTGAGGAGCTGGTGAGTCCCTGTGGGAAGGCGGCGTGGGCACCTCCCTCCGTGGGGAGGGTGTGTGCCAGCCTTCAGCATGGCATGTGGCAGGAGCAGATGTTGTCCTGAGTGGAACAAGCTAAGCATTGGCCTGACAGGAGCGTACTGGGGGAACAGGCAGCCACCCTCTGGTGGTGAGACTTGAACTTGAGTTGTGTGTGGTGTTTGGACATGTTGGTGGCCACCTTGAAGTGGAGGCTGGGTGGTCACACCGCCTACACACCACACCACACTGGCTTCCCTACTTTGTTCATTCACCCCCAACCCACATGGGTTGCCATGCACCAGCTGTTCTGACAAGAGAGATGGTGTAAACAGGGGAAGGAGCTGCTGGATCAGCAGGCTTAGATTTGCAGTGGGTTGTGCCCCACTGTGGCTTGGGGAAAACGTTCACCATCTCCTAGGCTGTTGTCTCATTTGTGAAGTTGAGTCAGTTACACCTCTTTGCAAGATTGTTGTGAAAATTATTGTTGAGCTTGCTAAAAACCCATTGGCCCACTAAGTGCCCGCTCAATAGAACTATTAATAATAAATGCTGTACAAGTGTAAGATAAGTAACAGATAACATTCTAGACATGTTAGATCTGTGAACTCATTTAATCTTTGTAACTACTTTATGACAGCTGCTACTGTATCTTCATTTTATAGATGAGGAGGAAGCAGGCCCAGAAAGGTTAAGTAACTTGTTCAAGGTGACACAGCTACTGTCTAGCTGTGGGAAAAATTTGACCCCAAACACCATCGTATATAATGAATTAACCTCTGTTCTACACACCTGGAGTGGAACTAGCTGTCTACTTTCTTTGAGATATTTGAGGAAATAGTCATTCAGATCATTTTCTGCATGATTTACTTAATTCACTCCCAGTAGTTGAGAAGGCTGGGTTAATATTTAATGATTCCTTCCCTTGAGATTGAGTGTGAGTATATGCAGTGTTAATACCTGCAGGCTGGTCCTCATCATTTAGACCTCAAATTCCACTTGCCTGTGTACTGTACTTTTCAGTTTACAGAGCACTTCCTGGGAGCTACCAGGTTGACTGTCGAGGATATCCCATGAATCGGGTGGAGGGGGCTTTTCCCAATTAATTTTTCTTAGACAGAATGCAGGCTTCTTGCCTAGATATTGGTCTGAACACCCCATGAGTGCTTGCCACTGATGGCTGACCATCCCTCATTCTCCACAGCTGACCCAGGCCTTATCTGGAAGGTTTAACTCCCATGTTCACGTGGAGTATGAATGGCGGCTGCTCCATGAGGACCTGGACGAGAGTGATGATGATGTGGATGAGAAACTTCAGGTCTGTGCGGGGTTGCCTCACGGTAAAAGGACTTGCTAAGCTTTACTCAGAGCAGAATAAAGACTGAAAACTGTTTTGCAAAAAAGACAGTACAGCTTATTTTGTGCAAACATTGATCTCCTTTGCTCCCTGCTGCCTCCTTATTCCTGTGCACACTAACGTAAAAGAGGGCTAGCCATGTGATCATAGTTACATTGGCCCGGAGCTATGAAGGAAGGGCAGGAAGACCTTTAAGTGTGGGGGCTGGAGAGGGAGCCACTTGCTATGAACTCCTGCTGTAAAGAGCCAGATTTGCCCCAATACAGGCGATCACGTCCACCTGGCCCATCTTAAAGCCTTGACTGGAATCATTCAGTGGCCTTTCGAGTTCATTGGGTCCCACTCCTTCCTTGATTTAGTGAGAGGTTGTCTAAAGGGACACAACTATTTTCAGACAGCCTTGAAACAAGAACAAGGGCTCTTGCCTGGTTCAGTTCCCTTCTAACCACACACTGCCTTGCCCACATGAATAGACTGCTGTCACCTTCACACAGGTCTCTGAGTAGAGAGTCAAGCTCAGGCAGCCACCCCCAAAACCCATACTCTGGGTGGTCACCCCATCCTAGCTCCCACCTCAGTGTGCTTCTCGGTGTGCCAGGAGTCGTCTTTGTTGACATGAGAGGAAAGGCTCTAGTGAGCACATTTTAATTGTATAGTATTCTAATGAGTAGTAGATATGGATGAAAGAAGGCTAGCATCTCTGAAACCTATTGGACCATCTCTGCTCATGAAGCAGTTACCACCTGTACTTGCTTGGAGTACAGAATAAGAAGTGAGAAGAGCTCTAAGTTCATATTTACCAGAGTGCCTGTTTGGTCACACATCACATTCCGGTCGTATGAGCAGGTGATGAAGCAGGTAGATAGGCTTGTAATTAGGAGTACAAAAGCTAGGCTCGGGTGCAGAGTCCTAAGACTGAGACTTGCCCACCCACGCCCTTTGTTTCCAGCAGGGAGGTGGGTGCAGTTTGTCCCCCCCCACCCCCAAGCTGGGGCTTAGTTGGAATTTAGAAATCTGAGTGAAAAGCCACTGGCTGCTGAGTTCTGCACACCTAAGCCTGGTTTGAACTCTTGGTTCTGCCAAAGCCTGGAGTGGGTGGGCCATCCTGGGGGGGCAGGTGGAGAACTGAAGATGATTCTGTGCTACCTGACAAGTCCCTGGCACTGTGCTTGAGAAACAGGGAAAGGTGAACCCATGTAACAGATGAGAGTGAGGGTCAGCCAGGATATGCTGACCCCTGAGCTCGAGGAATCTCAGGAATTCCCAGGAACATTACCAGGAATGTTGATCCACCCTGAAGAAACTGAGTGCCATTGGAGGTGGAGCACAGCTGGGTGGTCAGAGCCGTGATACTGCTCTGTAGTATAAGGCAGCATGTCTAGGAAGGGGACCTTAGAGGCGGTGAGAACTAGGTTGAAGGAACTCTGGCTAGTGAGATGAAATAGCTTCTATTTGAAATCCTTCACAGAATGGAGAATTGTAAGTAATAAATCATTGCTTTTTTGGGGGGGGGTGTTGTTGTATTTCAATTTCGAGATGCAAGAAGAGTGTTTTAAAATCCAAGTTGCTCTCATGCAACGGTTGAGAGTTAAAATGGTTTTCATGGTCACGTCAAGTGTTATCACCCAGAAAAATCATTTCTCCAGCTCACCTTCACCCCAACATTCCTCCGTAGCCTAGTCCCAACCGGCGGGAGGACCGTCCTGTGAGCTTCTACCAGCTGGGGTCCAGCCAGCTTCAGCCCAGTGCTGCATCTTTGGCCCGAGATGCTGCAAACCTCGCCAAGGACAAGCAGAGGGGCTTCATGCCCAGCATCCTGCAGAATGAGACCTATGGAGCCATCCTAAGTGGCAGCCCACCCCCCTCCCAGCCCGCAGCCCCCAGCACCACCAGTGCCCCCCCACTCCCACCTCGGAATGTCGGCAAAGGTATGCAATTTTGGGGTTCCTTTCAAATGCATAGAGGAGTTGGTTTTGGTCTTTGGGAAGTTTATAGCTTTTTTATCCCAAACTAGATGACATTTGGGTGCTTATTTTGCAGTTATTTTCTGTTTGCATCCTTAAGAAATTATATCATTCTTGAGAAGCCAAACAGTGGTAGAGATCTTGACTGAATTCTTACTCTGGCAGAAGTGTGGCTGGGCAGGGCAGAACATTATCAGGGCAGGAGGTGTGCAGGAGCCAGGGCTCTCTGCAGCAGTTCCTTCTGTTCCTTTTTTCTACCATTTCTACTTACTTCCTCCCCTGCCTTGATTCTCCCTTTTCTCAGTTCTCTTCTGCCTTACATCTGGGCTGCTTATGGCACTTGGATTACTTCTTATCTCTGTAATCCCATGAAGTGAAGGAGAAAATGATAATAATTTGGGGAACAATGCTCAACCTAGTCGTAAAAATACAGAATTGTCCTCTTGATGCCTGACGTGTCAGAAGCTGGCTACACTCAGTTCTGTCTCAGCATAGCCAGTTTGATTCGACAGGTGGTATTTTTTGTTTTTACAAATATGAAAATATAAGTATGGAAGAGTTAAGTAGTTGGTCTGTTAGTGAAGGCCACCTGGCCACTGTGCAGACCCAGCAAATGATAGCTCAGTCCAGGCAGTGGCCTTCAGGGCTTCCCAGGTCAAGGAAGGGCTGCTTGGACTTTGCCGGGCCCAGGAAAGACAAGAACCTTCACAGAGCTGTACCCAGGCACTGTGGCCACTATGAGCTACTGATGGTATGGAGCCTACAGCGTAAGATACATCCTAAATTGTGTTCATGCTGTGACTGAGAGCTGGGGAGGGAAGGGATGGTATCGGGTACTGGAAGACTAGGCTGGAGGGGTGACAGACAGCCATGTGCCATCTCATTGTATATGTCCTTGGTAGTATGGGTAGGCTCCTTCTTGCCCTACTGTCCTGGGTATCTCAAGGACCCTGTCCTAGAACCTTGCCTTGTCACTCTTAGAGGCCCAGAAAAGTTACGCTGAATGATCATGTGGGTCACTGAATCACAGGCCCTAGGAGCCAGTGCACTGAGAATGGCCCTGCACCTGGCAGGCCCAGAATCCAGCCTGCTTGCCTGCTCCACACCCCAGACCTCCCAGAGAGCGTATATGCTTAGGCTTGATGAGGATGCCCTGGGCAAAGAATGCAGCTTTGAGATGAGTTGTATTCCCCCCACCCCCTCACAGGCTGGCCAGGGTGATGCATGGTCGCAGTGTTCCTCCTACCTTGCTTTCTGGAAATGGGTGTTAATTCTGAACAACCCAGTCAGGAGGACTGGGCATCTTTGTGTGGCTTGTGTGCCACCAGAGGAGAGGTTTCATTTTCTGTGTTGGGTGAGTGCAGGAACAGTAAGCTCTTCACGTTGATTTCTTGGTTTCCTACAGTCCTGGAATTAGAGGGTTTTGATTTTTTCCCATTCTTTTTGCCATTCTTGTCTTTACCTTCATTTCTTCTTTAGATGAAGTAGATTGCACCCTTCCTCTGCTTCTCCTCTATTTAGTCCACACTTGGTAGGAAGATGGAGTTCCCACATACCAGGTGGACAGAGGAGGTGACATTCTGTCAGTTGGGGAAGACCCTGCTCACCACAAGTGGGGTGTGAAAGCTCCCTCCTGACCCTGGGTCCTGGCCTGGGAGCGTGAGGCCCATTTTCACTGTCAGACCCAGCCCTCCCCATGGGCTGTGCACAGGCATGACACAGGGTCACATCTATGTACTTGAATAGATGATACTCGGTGGGAAAGAACTCAGGGCTTCATATGGCAGAGGAAGGACCTATGACCAGGGAAAGTCCATCTCTTTCAGGGGTCACCTGAACCTGCTGGGTCATCTGTGTCATCCTTTAGCCAGAAATGTTTGCAAGAGATAGAGAGAGAGCCCCCCCCACCCCACAGCCAGTGCCTGATTTCCACTACGACTGCCAGCAGTGTCAGCCAGGACACAGTACTCCTGCATGGCGTGACTCCTGGTGCTCACAGGAAGGATGTAATGGAAGGGCAGAAATGAGCACAAGTCCTTTAGGCCCCCAAATGCAATGCTCAGAAGACAAATTTGTGGCTATTTATTTCCCTCTTCAGTAATAAATTTGAGAAGTAAAATCAGGAATTTAAAAATTATCACCACTGAGTTGCAAAAAGCCATCTAGGAATGTGCCCTGGAGCATCTTTGGTTAACTGTGTCTTCCAGGTACAAGAAGCAAGAGTAAAGTTCAGGTTTCTATTTGCTGTTCTAGAAGGGTCATACTGACCTTTTTATAAGTGAGAGGATCAATAACACAGTGTTTTGTTTCTGTTTTTGTTCCGTGTATGTGCATGCATGTGTGTGCATGTGTGTGTGTGTGTGTGCGTGTGTGCGTGTGGGTTTAGTTCAGACAGCCTCCTCAGCTAACACCCTGTGGAAGACAAACTCTGTAGGTGTGGACGCTGTAAGCCGGCAGCGATCTTCGTCAGATCCGCCAGCTGTCCACCCACCGCTGCCCCCTCTTCGTGTGACATCTACCAGTACGTTTTTTTTTTCCTTTTTCCTTTCTTGCCAGTGGGCCTTGTAGATCTGAAAGGTAGGGGACAGAGTTGGCAGCCACCTGGGGAGATTGCCACAGGGTTGTACACCTTCTCACAGATAGATACCAGGTGGCTCTTAACAGCTGCGAACCCTGCTGCCTCCCCAGCAGCAAGCTCCTATCTGTGCCCCAGCCATACTCCCAAGGTGGCTCACTCTATTCTCTATCTCGCAAAGCATTTGAGCTGCATTTCCTCCTCTATCTACTACCCTAAAGCTTCCATTTCCTTTGGCCATGAGATGGTTTTTGATATTTGGGGACAGTCATTTTGATTATGATCTGGCATTTAGTTTTCACTGCCAGCATGTGGTTGAAATTCCCCAAAGTCTTAGGGAAGAGGCCTTGCTCCTAGTGCAGAGCTGAGCGTGTGTCACTGAATCAGTGACACGAGCCCAAGATGCTACCCTGTTTGCCTTCTGCTCTTTGTTGGCGTGGGGCAATGAGGAGTGCAGCACCTCTGGGGTTGCTGCCTCCAGAGACCTGGGAGTATCCGAGGCCAGGATTCCTGTGGGTTCCTTAAGTGATTAAAATAAAAAGCAGCTCACTTCAGCTGCCGTAAGTGCCATGTGAGCACACATTGACAACAGAGTCGGGGACTGTGTCTGGGAGGTTCTTCAGAGGCTGTCCATGCCCATTAGGGGCAGGGAAATGGTTCAGCTGAGACATCCATAGGTCAGGTAGCAAGGGGATTCACAGTAGGCCTAAAGCCCTGCCTCTTAGTCAACATCTCCAGGGTGAGATTTGTGAGCTAGTCTAGTCTGCCTTTTGATTTTTCCTTCAGAATGGAAAAAGGAAAAAAAGAGGAAGGAAGGAAGGAAAAAAAAAAGCCTATAAACTGGATTCCTTCATTTTTCCCAACCTTTTTGGTCACCAAAGGCCTTGTTTTCACTGGCTTGTCCTGTGCCCTTATATGTTAGATCCCATCCCAAGGTAAGTTACCACCTGTAACAAGGACCTGGAGCTTTGCCATTTGTCAAAGAGGAGGAATGGAGTGAAGAAAACTCCAGCTCAGGACCTAGCTCCATTTCTTAACAGCTGTGCTACCTGGGTCTGTTTGAGTCTCAGCATCCTATCTATAAAATGTAGATAATAATAGTACCTTGGGACCTTTTATTAAGTTGGTCATTGCATTGTCCTCAGAATGGGCCCTGCTTGGCAGCCTGGTGGAATGGGTAGAGCCTATTCCCCTCCAATGCTGGGCCAGCTCAGGCTGAAGGAGTCCTGGCTCAAGAAGGCCCAGCCCCTCATGCTGGAAGCTAGTGCTGGCCTCTACCGAGCAAAGCCAGGCCAAAGAAGAATTTTGATTGCAGTTGAGGCTTGAACTTTTTGAGTGGTTGGGACTGGACTCCCTGTCCCTCCTTTCACAGTTTCCAAGGTGAGCTGTAAGCATCAGCAAGCACTGCTCAGGAGGAGCACTAGAAAGAGTCCTTTCTGGAGAAGGCTCGGCTCAGTGAAGGTGGGCCGTGGAGCCTGGGAAGCGCACCCTGTTTCCTCTCCTCCTCTCTCTGCAGATCCCCTGACCTCCACACCTCCCCCTCCTGTGGCCAAGCCGCCTGGTGTGCTAGAAGCATTGGGCCAGCCCAGCAAGCCTACTCAGCCTGGGGCTGTGCAGAGCAAGCCCCCACCCCTGCCGCCCCAACCACCCAGCCGCCTGCCACAGAAGAAACCTGCTTCTGGGTAAGCTCTGTCCCTTCTTTGTGCTCACTGCATCATCCAGCCCTTTTTCTTCCATTCAGAGGGCTTCCAAGTGGCCATGGCCCCATCACTTCATCTGCTAAGGTTCCTGTCCAAACCCTGCAAATCTCTTATGCTTCTGGTACTATAGTGTGGGGGCCAACCTGCCCATAACTTACTCATCAGCTCTTGAGAGTCTTAAAATTAATTCTTAAAAAATTTTTTATCCATGAAAATTTCTTAGAAATGTGTATCTTAAATCCACATAATGAATTTAGATTTTTGTTTAGTACAGACACTGGAATTTTTGGAGTAAAGTCCTCAAGACGAGGCCCTTTGGGTTCTGTTTGCTGCCCACTGGAAAGGTAACCTTGAACTCAGGAACCCTCTTCAGTGTGAGGTATATGTTTCCTGCAAACACGGATATTCTCCTTCCTATACACACTATGTCTAGCAAAGCCAGGAAATTAACATGGACATGCAACCACCATCCAGCCCTCTCACCCAAGACAGGTTCTGCTGTTTATTCCAATAATAGGCTTATTGCAAAGGCATCCCAACCATCTCTCTTAATCTGAGTCTTTATAGTGGAAGATTAGGTTTTTGTTTTAGCGGAAATGCTATAAAGAAGCCAAGATCTGGGTGTTGAATGTCATTGTTTGTAGCTAGGCCCTCTTCATGGTCAGAACTAGGAAATACACACACACACCTGTATACATAAGTATGTACTCATATGCATACATGCACAAACATGTATGGACACACATTTATCTGTATTCTGTGTCTTCTTTTTTCGGCAGTACTGGTTTGAACTTAGGGCTTCACATCTGCTAGGCAGGGGCTCTACCACTTGAGCCACACTCCATTCCTTTTTGTTCTGGTTATTTTGAAAATAGGGTCTTTCTTTTTGCCTAGGCCTGGACCACTACCTTCCTATTTTACACTTCCTGCTATCGCCAGAATGACAGGTATGCACCACCATGGCCAGCTTTGTTCTGTTGAAGTGGAGTCTTGCCAAGTTTTTGGACAGAGCTGGCCTGGAACCACAATCCTCCTGATCTTAGCCTCCCGTGTGGCCTTGGATGACAGAAGGATACCACTGTGTCCAGCTATTGGTTGAGATGGGATCTGGCTAACTTTTTGCCTGGGCTGACCTTGGACTGAGAGACTAGGATTACAGGCATGGCCCACTGGCACCTAACCTATTCTGTGGTCTTTCTGTATTGAAATCCATGAGTTTCACTTGTTGTACATATATAGATCACACCAGAACTTACTGTGTGAAATACAACTGTTTTGTTATGTCACATTTTATCATTCCTGTCATTGTCAGAAATTTGAATGACAAGTGGGGATAGCTTGTTCTTGCTCTACAGTATATGAGGCCTTACCTGAAAAGACTCAAAGGTTGGTGGGGAGGGCATTTGGTATAGGAAGCCACTCATTAGTTGGGACTGGTGTCATGGAGGCCTCCCCACTCCACAGATCTAGTCACTGGTACTACCTGTCAGCTGGCACCTTGTCTGGGACTGCTGACCATAACCTCTACATGTATGTGGCATCTCCATGTGGTGTAGTTTCCTTGAAGCTCAGGGTATGGGTCCATGAACAGGTCTGCAAAACAGACCTAGCCCTAGATTCTGGCTGGCATTTCTTCTACCATGTTACTGCTCAGGACAGAGCCTAGATGCAGTGGGGCATAGGACTGTGATGTGCCATAGGGCAGTCACAGGCTTGGAATCTCGAGGGTAAGCTGGGGACATAGCTCACTTGGTAAAGTGCTTGTCTTGACTAGCATGTGTGAAGCCCTGGATTCAAACACTAGTAATTAAAAAAAAGACTCTGGAGACAATGTTCAAATATTCATTTTAATTTTTTCCCTTTTCTAAAGGTGAGAACCCTGGCTCCTGTATTACTGACATTGTCAGTCCTCCTTTGGAACAGTTCTGTCTCTGCTTCTACCCTCCCCTGGACTGAAGTCCCCTTTCCCTCTGTGGGTATAATCCCATTCCAGGACCCCCACTTGGACATTGGATGTGCAGTCTTTCGCCCCCTAGCGGGCCAGCTGTCTGCTGACACACTGATGTCCTCCTCGTCCCACCCAGGTTGGATGTTTAGGCCACCCTCCATTGGATAGACCCTCTTTGTTCCCTCAGGCTGACCTGTCCCCCTCCCTCTCTTGGCTGCCTTCCCTCCTGGCATGATCTTTGGTTCTGCAGTACAGATCTGTTTTCATCCAAGCTGCCGGATGGATGATGGTGCCTTTCAAGATAAATTCTACGCCTCTCAATTCTGACAAACTTCACTGATTTTTTTAATACCTTAAATTCTGTTTTTTTTTTTTTTCTGGTATCTCTTAATTTAATTCTGATTCTTCACATGTCAGATCTGCTCAGCCTTTCCTCTTGGTATGTCAGCTTGCTTGACCAAATGACCTAACTGTTCTGACAGCTCCCCCAGAATCTAGGGACCAAAGATGTGGCATGTACTCCAGACTCAAGAGTAGACCCAGAGCCCTCTGTCTTCTGACTCTACCATCAATATCCCTTGGGATCAGGGAAATGGTAGTGGGAACTGCACCCTGGCTGTTCATACTCTCTTCACCAAAGCCAGTCTGGTGGCCCCAGACTTGAGGCCAGATTGGTAGTGAAGCCTGTAGTGGGCTCTGGGGCAGGGGTAGGAGGTGGGGCAGGAGGAGCTCATCTTTGATCATCAGTTGGCCTCTGCCACCAACTTGTTCCATTCCTGCTTTGTTTCCTTGCCAGGTTATAAAATCTACTTTCTGAGACATTTTCTCAGTTTTATCTTGCAATTTTTTATTAAGTTTTCTGTTTCTTTTCTCAAGTCAACTCTTTGTGGTATTTGTTTCATAGCATTTCCTGTCTCAGAATATTAATGATGTGTTTTGTCGGGGAGTTAGTGTTCATTTTCATGTTGCTTTTCTGCATAGTGTGTTTCTTCCCCATCACTTTGGCCTCTTATGTATGCGTAAGGCTTTTCCCTATAAACTCTGCTCTGCACCCATCTGTTCCTGTTGTGGATGAGGTATTGAGAACTGACTAGCAGACTGCATTCTGATGCACAGAGATGCCAAGGTGGGTGTGTTAGACAGACTTTTTTTGTCACTGTGACAAATACACAGTATAAAGGAGGAAAGATTTCTTTTGACTCACAGTTTCAGAGGTCCAGGGTTAGGTGGCTCCACTGCAATATACCTGAGGAAGTAAGGCAGAGCATCCCTCATGGTGGCAGGGCATGGAGGAAGAAAGCTGCTCACCTCATGGCAGCCAGGAAGCAGAAAGGGAGAGTGCTCAGAGAAGGGGCCAGGGACAAAGGCACGCCCCCGGTGACCTACTTCTTCCAACTTGGTTCTCCCTCCTAGTTTTTACCCACCATCTCTCAATAATACTATCAGATTATGAATCCATTGATGGATTGCTCCATTGCTTAGGTCAGAGCCCTCATGATATAGTCGCATCCCAAAAGTTCCACCTCTTAACATTGCATTGGGGACTAAGAGCCTTTGCTCTTAGTGGGTTTCCCTGGGGAGTGCTCTGTTTGAGCTGTTTGCTTGGGGAACTCCAAACGTAAGCTTTTTCCTTAGACAACTCAGGTTCCCTTGTTTCTTACCTGAGAGATGTGAGTTTTCTGGGAGTTAAGTTGGGAAACAAATTAAGCTTTTACTTGATTCTCTTTTTTGTAAGATGCTCCTACCAACTGTACCTGGTATTCTCTGGGCCAGACACCCTCAGCTGGGCCTTCCCCAAGAATGGAAACTGTCCTCAGTAAGATGGGGTGGGTTGGATGGGTTGTTCTGTGCTGGGGTGGAAATCCAGGGATTCAGCAGCTACTTAAGACAGATTTTGAAAAATTCCTCTGTTTATTGTTTGCCTTGTCTCCCTGTTCCAGAGGTTCTTGCCTGCATAGGGTACTCCAGCACACATGGGAGTGTTCCAGGGCTTTCCTCAAAGCAGTGTAGGAAATCCCCTTCTTAGGTCCACAGCATTCTTAAAATTCACCCTTCTCAGCTTCTAAAATTTTGCTTCCTCTTCAGTTCTCTTTGTTATTTTGGTTTGGATTTTCATTTTCAGTAGAATAGGTATCTTTCAATCTGCTATTTTATTATTATTATTATTAAAGCAGCACTGGAGATTGAACTCGGGGCTTTGTGCTTGCTAGATGAGTGCTCTACCACTTGAGTCATGACCCCAGTCCCACGCCTTCCTGTTCCTAAACAGCAATTAGAAATACAGGCAGTTTCTGTGTTATGCTGTAACAAATACGCTCTCATGTGACAGTTATTATTTTTGCCTCTACAACAAATAGCCGCAGGCTGTGTTTATTGGTTTCTGTGTGGCCCAGACCTTGTGTCCACTTCTTTCTCTCTTTTCTTATAACATCTGAGGATTTGCTGTGTCCAAGCTACTGCTCTTTAATGGGCCAAGTTATGTCTTGGAATTTGGAACAAGAAACAGTGAGCCCCAGGCACTTCCCAGGGAGTTGAGAACAGGGTGTTAACTGTCAAGGGTAAGCTCCCTGGCACGGTCTTCCCAGCTGCTTTCCTGATTCCCTGCAGAGTCTGAGCAAGGGCTGCCAGGTGAATTTCCTCTCTAGCATATGCTTTGCTTATTTATTTTTATCCCATTGAAAGGAAAGGTGCAAGAAGACAGTAGGGTCAGGGAAGGGGAGGTGGCCCAAACAAGTGTATACACATGTAAGTAAATGTAAAAAAACGATAAAGAAAAAAAAAAAATGTGTCCAAGATGGATTCCAGTACATGGAACCAGGCTGCTACTGCTTGTGGAGTTACATTTTCAAAGGAAGACATGGTGTGTCCTCTTGAAAACGAAGCAGTACCTCCTCCACATTTTGACTGAGGTAGAGATCTGGATTTTCATATTTGTCCTCCTAGAACACAGAGGGCAAACTCTGGCCCCACAGGCCAGCTTCAGCCTGCCACCTGTTTTATGAGGTAACTCTGGATTTTGTACTTACAAATGGTGAGGAAAAAGAAACAAAAAAAAAAAAAAAAAGGCACATGAGAATTATGTGTAATTCAAATTTCAGTGCCTGTAAGTAAAATTTTGTTAGAACATGGCGCGCTCATTTACTTGTGCATTGTCCGTGGCTGCTTTCGTGTTGTGGTGGCAGACTTGAACAGTTGCTATAGAGACTCCGTAACTCACAAAGCCTGAAAAGTTTATTGCCTGGCCCTTTAGAGAAAAAGGTGGGTAACAGGTCTTAGACCCAAGCCACGCTGTTAGCATTTCGCATTTGGGGTAACTGCTCAGAGGGATTATGTGTGTTGAGACATTTGTACCCAGAGACAGTGAAAATTAGGTGATGAGACTGTCAGGTTGACGGGCCTTCATTTTTATGCCTTTTCAATTCCTTGAAAATAAGAGCAAAACCAATGTCCTGCTCTCTCCATCTTCATCCTGAGACCATAGACATAAGCACCCAAAGGGGCTAATTCCAGGCAGCAGAGGAAGAGTGTGACAGGAGTGAGCATGCCGTAGAAGGAATGTGTCGTGGGCTGCCTCATGCCTTCTGCTTCCCAGTCCCTCTGACTTCAGCTCCGTGCCAGCTCCACAAGGCCCCCAGGCATCTGAAGATAAAGTACTTCCCTTGGCCTATTACACAGACCTTTGTCCCTAGTTACAGTCCTGGTTTCACACCTTCTCAGATGAAAATGCCAATTCTCAGCAGCCTATTTATCCAGGTCTACCAGTAGCAGAGCTGTAGAGCAGAACTGACCCCATCTGCCAGCCCTGAGGACCTCTTCTGTTCATAGAGCCTGTGTGGTCAGCCACATTGGTTCCCAGCAGCAGGGACCACTGAGCACAGAGGTGTGGAAGACACTGACTGAACTGATGGTGCCTGGACAGGTCTTGGGAGACCCACCCAGGCCTGAGTTTAAGATTCAGCCCCACCTTTCATGTGTTTTTGAAACACAAAAGGGTTAAACATATTAGGAGAGGAGCCAGTGGCTAGTGCTCAGCTTCTAGCCCTAGCAGCCTACAGAAGTGCTTTGGAAGTGTCCTGGTGATAGGATCAGGAACTTGGTTCTAGCACTTTCCTCTGGCCTTTCATTCTTCCTTTTTCAAAAATAAATAAATAAAGAGTAGCTGGATGGTGGTTGATAAAATCAACTCACACTGTTTCAAAAACACAGATGAGTCCCTTACCAAATCTGTTTTTCCCCTTCCTTATAGGACTGACAAGCCAACCCCAATGATCAACAAAGGTCAGCCACGAGGACCTGGTAATTATTTCATTTGGGAGACTGAGTCTGATTCTGCTGGGTTTGTGGAGGGAACATTTCCAGGCAGATGGTTAGCCCTAGGCAGGGTCTGGCATCCTCCATCTGCAACTGTCCTTCCCTGCTCAGGGCCTACTCAGGTGCTCTCGCTCCCAAACGAGGCCTGGGGCTCCTCTTGTGCCCCTACTTCTGTCCTGCTGCTTACATTCTTTAAAGGTTGATAGGGGACTTTCCATCAACACACCAGAACTTCTGGAGAAATCTGCTTTCAGACATGACCCTGTGGCTCTGGGGGTCATTGTTTATGACTGTGGTTACAATTTGATGGGGTACCTTATAAAGTTGCTTCATTTTGACCCTAACACAGAAGCTCCAGGTTCTCTGTCTAATGCCGTGACCCTGCAGCCCCCTGCACCCATGCCCAGGAAGTCACAGGCGGTAAGTGGATGGGTCTGCTTTTTTGTTCCTTGCTCTAGCCTGTACTCCAAGACAGCAGGTTTTCCCCATTTTTCCTGATGAGGGAGGGGTAGGGGCTTCTTCCTGGCACTTGTCAGCTGGTGGGCTTGGCCTTCTGGCCATAGCTTCAGCACAGACCCCCACAAGTGCCAAGCCTGCTTCATTTCCTAGTTTTGCCCAGGCTCTTCCCTCAGCTGTTATCTCCCTCTTTTCTCTCCCTGGCACCCAAGTGGACTGACCTGGGTCTGGGACTCCTGATACCAATGGGAAGCAGGAGGCCCACTTTTTTCACCTCCTCCCATACTAGTCTTTGCTTCTTCTCCTGATGCAGACCAAGTCAAAACCCAAGCGGGTCAAAGCACTCTACAACTGTGTGGCTGACAACCCTGACGAGCTGACCTTCTCCGAAGGGGATGTGATCGTGGTAGACGGGGAGGAGGACCAGGAGTGGTGGGTGAGTTGGGGTGGGGCCTGGCAGGAACTTGGGGCTGAGCTGCTTTCTGCCTCTCTTGGCCTTAAGGGGCCCCCATAGAGATGAGGTTCTTGGCCTCAATAGTTTAGTCCTGGTGCTGCTGCCACGCCTCAGGCCCCTGGCTGGCATACCCACCTCCAAGTGGGCCTGGTCTATCCCCCTGGGTGGGTTCCTCTTGTTTTGCTGGGTAGGCTACTTAGCTGCAGTATCCAGAGCACACTGAGGCCCTGAACTGAGAACCCCTTGCATTTTGAGGCCTTGAGTTTCTAGGTCAGGACACTAGTTGCCATGTTAGTGGAGAACTGGCCTCCAGGGCAGAGGCCCCGTGTTGTCTGGTCCTGTAACTAGCTGTGGGCTGCTCTGTGTCTCAATGGTCAGGATGAGCACTGGGGTCTCCCCACAGGGCCTGGCAGTTTAGACTTAACAGGCTGAGGACCTTGGCAGGGTTTTCAGAGTTGTATGTCATTCACATAAAGGGAGTTGCCTGTGGTAGGGATGATAGGAGAAGTACCCTCTAGGAGGGAGGGCTTATCAGATAGGGTATAGGATTAAACAAGGCAAAAAGAAGTATAGGCAGAAAGCACTTTCAGTATCTGCCACCCAGTGGATGCTCTTGGCTCTGCTACGTAAAATGGAACTCTGGTGTCCGATAGTTCCAACAGATGCCTCAGATAGGACTTAGGGGAGTGGCTATGCTTTGTCAGGCACAAGTTTTGACCCTGCCTGTAGTCACTGTCCCTAGCAGAACTCCTGCCTGTGTTTCACCCTCCAGCACTGTGGGACTCAGCCTTGTAGCACTGTCATTGGCAGGGCTGGGTTCCCCCTTTTGTACTGTGGATGAAAGTATCTGTGGGTCAAGGGCTCCTGTCTCCATCAGCCTTGTTCAGCATAGGCTATGTAGGGACACAGCTCCTGGGTTCCCTGAGCCCATTTGCCCTTGTTGCTGAGTTCCTATCGTGTGGCCGTGCTGGCTGAGGAGCTGCGCGAACCTGAGTTCGCTTCTCCCCTGCCTACACTGCACCCACTGAGACTCACCCACCAGTAAGGAGAAGGAAGCTCAGGTCTGGTCTCACACTTGCCTCCAACCCACCATCCAGATGGAGCTCCAGCCAAGTACCACCTTAGCTATATGGGAAGTGCCTGTTTATTCCCCAAAACATGGGAAATCCCTAAGGGTATAAAAGAAGAAAATAAATGTTACCCATAATCATAGCCCCTGCCCCTGTCAAAGAACCAACTATTTGTATTTCGGCAATTTTTATTTAGACTTTTATTTGTCCATATAATTTACATTGCTAAGCTTTTATTTGGACATTTTATATATATTACTTACCCAGAGTGAAAAATGGGTTTTTTTGCAGCTTTCCATAAATGTTTGATGAAATTTCACTGAAGCTAAGTCACACCTTTGCCATTTCCTATAACTCTGCAGCTCACAAACTTCTGACATTCAGTTTAACCATTGAGTAAAATATATCTATATATTAATAAAAATTAAGGCAAGTGGGGAATGGGGGGCAGATGGCTGGTCCAGTGCCTCCGAGACTGCCAGGGCTCAGGTGTGGCATCGTGCTCACCTGTGGACACCTGAGGTTGTGTGAGGGCTCCTCCCGCATGCATAAGAGGCATGCAGTATAGCAAACACTAGAGAGAAAAAAGAAACGTTGCAACTGTTTTACCCAAGTAATCCTTTGGCAGAAGAAATTCTTCTGAACAAATGTCCTCTGAACGCTATAATGTCTTTCAAAGCTTCAAAATTTGTAACTTTCATAACAACCTAAATTTGTCCATTTCAGATTGGCCACATTGATGGAGAACCCAGTCGCAAAGGAGCATTTCCTGTGTCATTTGTGCACTTTATTGCTGACTAAAATTGCTACCGAACAAAAAGCCTTTCTTTAACCATCATGTTCCTGTTTTGTTATTGGTACCAAAATTCTTACCCGATAACAAGTTTTATGAATTATTTTGTATGGCAGTCCATTTTCTCATACCACTGTTGTTTTAAAAACTTGAAGGCAGTTTTTATATATAAGTGAATTGTTTTAACAATTTGTGGCTTTCATGAAACACTGTTATACTTTCATGAGGAAAAACTGAATTTCTTAAAAGGTGAACTGAGAAATTATTTTAACTACAAAACCGAGATCTTGCATCTACAGAATTACCTAAATGTAAAACTGTTTAAATGAAGAGTATCAGAAATTCTTCCCGCTTTCCTTGGCCCACTTCTGGAGTTAGTGATCTTTAGTGCAGATATTATTCAGGAAGCCAGTAAGCTGCTCCTTCAGAGTCCCTTGCCCTGCCTGGACTTTCTCCATAAAATGCCATCAGTTCACCTTTAAAGACAGATAGTCCTTTGAAACCCACTCAATGTCTGTTAAAAGCAAGTTGGAAATTTCAACATTAGCCTTGTACTTTCTAGCCCTAACCTGTGAAGTTGCAGCTGTCATGAGCTTCTGCATGTGTGTATGACCTGTTGTTGTGAACAATCATACTTAACAAAATTACTCGTGGGTTATTACAACATATGGATGGTAATAGCAGTTTATTCCCTTCCAGGAGCTTGTATCAAACTGCATTTCCTGAATTTGGTTAAAAACTAAGGATGATGGATTGCAAAAACAGTTCTTTAAACTAGTTTATATGCTTTAGGTGTTTTAGAATTTGCCTTCCTCAACTTCCCCTGTGGCACAGACCACGACACAGTAAAACATTCCGTGCTGTTTCCTGTTCAGTGTACCACTGCCTTCCCATTCTAGTTCCCGAAGGCTTTCTCTCAGCTTAGCGTCTTGTACTTATCTAATAGGCCAACAGGAATAGTAGCTACACGGTCTTAAATTCAATCTGTCCATTTGTTTGTATTCAAGAGCATATCAGAAATCTGTAGGTCCTGGGTAATACAGTGCTCCCAGACATCCCAGTCTTAATATTTAAGGGCATCATATCACTCTTAAATGTACACTACTTGGGGAGAGGGATGGGAATTAGGTTGTAAATGATAAAATCAAAACTCATTAGTTTTAATGAACTTGACTGTCATGCCTCTATTAGTAATTGTGAGCATAAGATTCATAGTATAATATTGGGGATGATGACACTTTTAGAAAAGGCATGTGATGCCCACCTGACTTTGAGCAAAAGTAAAGGAGTAAATTTAAGCATAGGCTTGTAAAGCAAGGCATCGAAGCTGTTACGCGTTTGCCATGATGGTACATTTGACTGAAGCAGCTTGTCGTTATCATGAAGACTCCTGTACATGTTGAGCTTTTTTTTTTTTTTTGGCATTGTATTTTTATTTTTAAAGGAAGACAACAAACTGGAACGTTTTATGATGTATAGGGATTGATTTTTGCCTTCAGTGTCCAGGTAAAAGCGTGTTTGCTCTGTAATTTTTTTTTTAAAGCGCTACATTTGTTTTCACTACTTGTTCATTTCTGTTGTTTGAACCCCTTCATTTAGTCAGTTTTCTCAGAGATTTAAGAGTGTGAACAGATGCCTTTTGCACAGTGCACTTCATGTCTGTTGTTTCCTCCTCCCTACATTTGGATCTCAGTGTCTTTGATGACCTGGTACCAGCCATCCAAGAATCATGTTGATTCACATCAACATTTGAACTCAAGTCCCAGTCTAATATATCAGGTTCACTGGTACATAAATACCTAGGAAATATGTTTCCAGACTACAATTAGCTGGTGCTATTGTGCAGTAATTAATTGTACTCTTACCAGAGGAGAAATTCTATCACTTCCCTGCTAATATCCTTTCCTAGTTATTTCCTCTTTGCAAATTAAAAAGCAACTGAAAGGAAAACATTGTAGATATATATTTATATTTAAAGTTGACATTTCATGAACTTTAGGTGGAGGATTCTGGCATTTTGCATGCCACTGTCCATTGGATCGGACTTGTGGGGATGGTGACTCGGAAGTAGGTGCACAGATGAGCACAGTCTGTGCCCCTGTGATGGGTAAGGGTGCAGAACGAGCGATCTACAGCCTAGAATGCTATGTTGAGATGTAGGATATTCAGTTCCTTCTCCTGATGACCTTGGCTAGTCGCAGCACAACTGTATGTACTGCATAACTTAAGTGGATTATTCTCATTGCCCTAATGCTGTGGCCCATAATTAGAGCATGTTTAAAAAGTTCACTCTTCTCGTTAACTAGTCGTTTGACTGGAAAAAAATAAAGTGCTTTTAAATGGACATGGTTTTATTTTAATGCTTTTAATCTTCTGTGTTAGATGTTGATAGTCCTTCTCTCAGTAATGTACACAGTAGCATACTGTCCATAGGAGCCTTTAAATCCTACTACCTTTCACACGCACAGTAATACTTTAAGGTTCTCTTAACTCTGACATAAACATTGGTTTGCTAGCACATTACCTTGACAACAGACTTCTGAAAAGGTACTTTGTACATCTAAAGCTGACAATGGCACTTTCCAAGCCAGCAGAAAGTGGCTCCCCGCTCCAAACCAGTGGGAAGCCAGCCACATGGGGCAGGTTTAATCAGTCTTTCACAGACGGGTCCTCTATGTTACTATTCAGAGTCAACATGCACTTCAGTATTAAGCCTTCTTGCATTTTAAAATGACAACTGAGGTTTTTTCTTATCCCAGAAACTAGACAGTTTATTGAGAGTTAATTTGCTGTTTATCAGAACACAATTTAATGTAAAAATAATTGATATTTTATACATCATACTTTCCTCAGAAAATTGAATCAGGGCATCACTCCCTATTTCCGTAATAGTTCAGCATTGCAGACTGAAAGCAGAATGATTTAGAAAATGGTTGGTCTCTCAGATGAAGGTGGCTTCCACTTGACTGCAGAGTTCAGGACTTCTCAGAGGTTAACACAGAGTCAAAAGCCGTGGATAAAACCTTGCAGATTGCTTGTGCTTGCTCCTGTATTACATGAAAAGACACAGCAAGAGTGGAGTTTATTTTTATCTTCCCAAATTTGACCCTCATAATATCTCTCCCTTCAAAACCTATACGTCAATGAGTGCCTAGCCCGTGAGCTCCCAAAAAGGTGGGCCAAGGCCTAAGGCAGGGAGGACAACCCAGGAATGAATGGAGCCCCTGGCCTGAGGGACTTTTTCTCATCTGCTGCCTGTTCACCCTAAATGTTTAGGTCCAGGCACAGATGAGTATGGCTCCTGGGCCCAACAGGAGTTGTTCTTAGCCTGCTCTTCAGTCTGGATGGTTGTTGACCCAGGGCCTCATATCCATTCGTTCAAAGGTAGTAGGTGCCTAATGAGAGCATTTTCTCAGCCCTCAAAAAGGGAGTGAGTAATCTCAGGTTTTGCCACTTTACTTGGTAATTAAGGAACTAAGCGTATAATCTCACCAGGCTGTTGCACTGATAAACCCACAGGCTGTATTCTTCATTGCTTGCATCTGTAGTCTTGAGAGCTAGTAAGCTTTTTCCAGCCCCCAGGCCATCATCGTAACACACCATCCGGATGATTAAATACAGGGCATGTCTATGCAAAACATCCTGCAGAAATCAGAAGCCCTTCAGAAAGATGACAATTATCTTAACTGTTTCTTGGTTCTTATGACACACTTTCCCATGCAGGATGTGTTGTGAGGCTTCAAACAGCAAACCCATGGATCTGGCAGAAAGTACCTTCATAGCTTCTCATCCCAAGGGACACTGTGGTATGCCCAGTCAGGGGCAGTGGGCTTTGGGGATCGTACCTTTCTATTGCAACCACAGAAAGAGAAACAAGGTGATCTAAGCTCTCCGCATCACTGCACCTGGCTTCCAAGCCAAAGTTGCCTTTGATTGATGTGGGGTCTCTAGCTGAAAATGCGCTGGGCGCCTGCGTGTAAGCAGGAGATAGAAAGGAAGCCCCTATTCTCCCTAACACGTTGGTCATGTGTAAGACTAGCTGCCAGCCAGTCTGCAGCACTCTGCAAACAATGGACCTAACTACAGTGAGTGAGGATGGCCTGTATTCCCTACTTCTTAAAGCATATTTTCCTTAATAAATTTTGTTACTTACATACTGATCTGATGTTGAGACTTTTATACCATACTTGGAAACTCCCATAATAAATTCTTCCTCCAGAGGAACAAAAGGCAACTTTCCATCTTGCTTTAAAGTAAAAATAAATTGCATTATGTACATTAAAATCATAGTCTTAAATCTGATTAGTCACTTTTAGTATCACAGTCCCTAGCCCTTTAGAGAATGTGGGGTACATGTTAGCCCAAAGAAGCATAAGAAATCTTACCTGCCCCCCTTTAATTTTGACAGTTCGCAAATCTGAGCAAAATTCAGATCAATCTACTTCCTGTGCATTTTTCTATCCCTTTGTCTTGGTCTGAACCCTAACTCCAAACTGAGATACTTTTCAGATCCTGGTGAGGTCAAAATATTTACATTAGAAAAATAAAGGTCTTTAGATTTTAAAGTACTCAAAACACACCCCAGTTAGGGCATGGAACAGTCAGGAAGCTAGGCCACCGGAGCCATTTTTTTCATTCTCCGTCCTAACCAGATGGTAACATACATCTAGTTGTCCCCACGCCTGAGGCTTTGAGTAGCCAGCTGCTGCTGAGTTACTCAGCTCATAAGAACATTCACCAGCATTTTGAGCTATGTAGGAACAAGTCAAACAGTGCACGATAAACAATGCAGATTAACTGGTTTTATCTCCCAAGTCAGAATGCTGCCTAATTTGTCTTCTCTAAAATAAATAAGACATTATGGCAGTCAGCAGGTGTTTTATAACCTAAGTGTTCTGTGGAACAATGAATTACAGTAAATAAGTCACACCCAAATACCTTAGCTTTTGAGCGTTCAAAGTGTTACAGTAATCTTGCCAATCATTTCTCACAGTAGGTTTAAACCAATTCCAAGAATCAAAATAGGGGATAAAGGTAATGCTATTGTCAATAACAACATTTTAACAAGCAAAACTCCTGTGGTGATGAGAGCGGTTTCGCCATCCTTACAGGAATGAAGGTGATCCTAGCGCGCGTTCCACGGGCAATGTTAGTGATTTTGCACAATACTTGGACTTGTTGTTGGAATGGCTTTCTGTTCCAGACTGGGAGAACTAATTGGATTAGTTCAAACTACCAAGAGTTCTGCTAAATGGCAAATCAGATTCACTGATTTCCCTCAGGCAGAAATAACTCCTTTTACTTTCATGAAGATATAAATCATCATATTTAATATTCCCACTCTCCACCACTCAACAGATTGCACATTCTTAAGATGAACGATTTACAATGTTCAGATCTTAAAATATTCTGTGTACTACACAGCTTTGATTTCTCTTGATTTTCCTGGTAATGATTTCTTTATTTCTTACCTTTGACCTAGATATATTTTTGAAATGACCTCACCTCAATTTTTTGTGGGAAACATGGTATTAAGTAGACATGTTGGGTCAACACTACTGTGAATTCGTTTTTAAAGAGATGAAAGTAGTTCAGTGGAGCTTTGCCAGACTGCTTTAAAGAAAAGCCTGCAGAGTGTAAGCAGCCACCATAATCAGTTCCTCTTTAAGCAAAAATGTCAGCCCCAGAAGTTCTGTGTGTGAAGGAAGAAACTCAGTTTCCAGGACACAATGCACCATTTACAGCCTCAGCGCAGTCACAGGATCAAAGCAAGGCTTGAGCATAACATGGTACGAGCACCATCCAGAGGACACACAGAGTGTCATAACCCACAGATTAAATGGAATGGTTTTTACCTGGGCAACATCTATATAATTTATCAGGTCTAATGGCCCTTCAAGACTTTTTCCTTCAGAGAGTTTCAGTTTCTCAATGGCACCAACGTATTTTATTCGAAATTCTGCACAGGTTTCTGAATTATTGTTGCTTTGACCTAAAGGTAAAAAGAAAAACTGTAATAGAAACACCTGCTTTCAAAAGAAGTAACTGCTCTGGGGCCAGGGATATAGCTCAGTGGTAAAGTGCTTGCCTCGCATGTACAAGGCCCTGGATTCCATCCCCAGGCCCAGAAACAAAACAAAACAAAAGCCCACTTTGTCATTTTCCAAGTAAAAACCAGACTCTGTCATTATAATCTTAAGATTCGATATTTCTTATCCCCCCCCCCCGGGACTGAGATTTGAACTCAGAGCATCATACTTGCAAAGCAGGTGCTATACCGCCTGAGCCACACCTCCAGTCCATTTTGCTCTGGTTGTTTTGGAGATGGGGGTTTTGCAAATTATTTGCCCAGGCTGGCCTTGAACTGTAGTCCGCCCAATCTCAGCCTCCCAAGTAGCTAGGATTACAGGCGTGAGCCACCGTCGCCCAGTTTGGATGGAGTATTTCTTGATATAACAAGGAAAACCTTAAAAATTTCATTAACCTTTTTCCTTAGTGACTCACAGTGTACTAAATGTATAAAGGCCTCAGTAGGAATAAATTAGTATCAATAATCTTTATTTTAAAACAATGAACAGGAAAATATGGTTAACTAAACAGTGATTAGGTACCTTTAATGCATAGTAATATTTATTTATTGTTTGGTTTCTTCTCCCTCTTTATGTTAACTTTCTTTCCTGACTCAGGACACCTGTTCTTCCTCTACCATTGAATCAGGAAGACCAGTTTTTTTTTTTAGTGTAGATGGAATAATGCCAGACAGAAATGCCCTTAACATAACAGATGGCAACAAGTTGAACTGTGTGCTATAAAATCTAACCCATACAAAAACTACCACAAATCTACTTACTAAGGAAATCCTGTGTGGTTACTTTTAGATTATGTTCACATAATAAAGCAATGCCTTTGTGAAGTAAAGGTAATGAACTTAATGCTACAACATTCTCTATTTTGAAACTTCTTAATTATTGTTGCGTGATCTTGTCAAAGTTTTGCTCTAGGATCCACTAAGGGCAGTTTGCTCACATGCCTGAGGCCTGCACACTACACCATACCCTCAATCCAGTCCCACCAAATTCTGGTCCACTTTTAAACTTGTCAAAAGCAGCAGAGGAGAGGAAGAAAACAGCAGGAACCCAGGAACTCACCATGCTACGCTGGCCAAACTGTATGAGCACAAGCAAAAAGCCGTGTCAGTAAATAATCCAACTGTTTCACATACCTGAGCTTTTGGTGGAATCTGTATCGAGGCTGGCGACAGTGCTGGATCGTGAAAGACCCCCAAGACTAGAATCTACAGACTGAAATAAAAAAAAAAAAGAAAAAAAAACAACACACACAGTAAGATAAGAAGCCTCATCTTCTTTGAAGTTCACTAGCAAATGCGGAAATTATTAAGTTGAGCTGACACACAAAAATCAGGTCAATTATTTACACAGATCAATTATAACAGATGTTCTAAGATGATGAATTCGCCAGCAAACTTCAAAAAGTACATAATTCCAACTGCTCTTCTTGCAACACAGCATTGGTTGTATGTGATCTCAACATGTTCAGCCCAGGTCTAAGCTACGAGCTCTCCCTCTGTAATGTGTGGAAGACATCAGACAATCGTTTTAGAAATCCACACCTTGCTATAACTTGCACTGAACCCCCAAATGAACCCTGTGCAGAAAGGCAGGCAGGGAATAATATTCCTACTTCATAAATGAGGGAAGACGAGAGATGTTCAGTGATTTACCTGAGTCCACATGTAGTAAGCACCTCAGATCTCAGATCCCCATCTCCTAATTCCTAACCCAGTGCTTCTGCAATTACCCCAACCAGTTCTGGCCCACAGCAGTAAAAGGCTGACTAGCAGACCAAAGCATAGCAATGTGAACTGACCAACAAAACCCGTAAGCCAGATTTTAAAATCATACTAGTAGTTACTTTATTCTGTGTAATTGCCTTAGAAATAACATTCTGTGAATACTCTTAATTCAAAAGGTTTGTTTTTCATAAACTAAAGCCACTGATACCTTCAAATAACCGTCACAAAGTCTCCATGAAAACCAAATAATATTAAAGCAAACACAGTGCAAAAAGTGGATGTTAAGATACACGCAGTCGAAGACTACAGGACTGGCCAGCTTGCGCCCCCATGCGATACCAGACAGAAGCAGAGCTCTCACCGCCTTATGAGTCTGTTCCAAACCCCACTTCCCTACCTTGCTCTTTGTACTGACTTCACTACTTTGGGAACTGCTACTACTGTGGCGCTTTTTGCCTTTTCGAAACATTTTTCACCATAGCGGGATCACAGAAGTCCTGGAAGAACAAGTTACGGTGTCAGATACGGTGACATCAAGAGAAGCAATCTGGGTGTGCTGGGGCATGCCTGTGGTCCCAGCACCTGGGAGTCAGAGGCAGCAGGACTGAGTTCAAGGCCAGCCTAGGCTACATAGAAAGTCTGAGGCCAGCCTGGACTCCATTGTGAGACCCTGTCTCAACAAAACAAAACAACAACAAAAAAAAACCCACCAAAACCAAAACCAGTCAAATCACCTTATGCACAGTAGGAATAAATTACCCTTGGATCCTATTTTTTTTTCCTATTAAATTACACAAAGCTGGCCTGGAGTGTAGTTCAGTGGAAGGGAAGTGCTTGCGTAGCATACACAAGGCCTTGGGTTCCACGTCCAGCACAGTATTTTTAAAAAGTTAATAAAGAGCTCACCCAATAAACCCAAAAGGCAGAAACCCTGACCTATCTAGATGTCTGAAAAACACCTTTTTCTTAAGAAGCAGACACGTCTTCTAGTTCACAGAAAAATCATGTACTTTCTCTTCAATTGATTTTACTTTAATGCTTTTATTTTGGTAAAATAAGTGCATTAAGGCCAGTTATGATGGTGCATGCCTGTAATCTCAGCTACTCAGGAGGCAGACAGGAGGATTGTGGTCCAAGACCATCCCGGGGAAAAGCACAAGACCTTATCTGAAAAATACTTAGAGCAAAAACTGGGCATGGCTCAAATGAAGGGCCTGCCTAGCAATCTTGAAGCCCTGAGTTTAGGTTCCCAGTATTGGAGAAAGAAAAAATAAATAAAAAAGTGACACATAAGTTTACAACCCAAGACACTAAGACTCAAGTTTCTCAGGCTCACATTTTGTCCTTGGTAGGGCAGAAAGCACACATACCTCTGAGAAACATGCATTTTTCCTGAAGCCTTGAACTAAACTGTTGACATAAGTCATTCCCAAGTGCTAGCTTCTTGCTCGGTGCTCCAGGAGGGCCAGGTAAGGAGGTGACTTCAAGTGTCCTGCCTTTGTAAATACATCTATTTTGAAAAGTTAATGCCTTGCAAATGTCATACTTCCCCATGCTCTCCTCACAGGAGCACACAAACTATTCTCAGCAAATTAACTAACCTCAGGGTGCTGCACCTCAGAGAACTTCCAAACGCTCTTCTATCCTCACAGCAACCTTGCAATGTGTTCATTTGCTTCACAAGTACTTTTTTTTTGTGGTACTGAGGTTTGAACTCAGGGCGTCACACTTGCTAGGCAGGCACTTCTACCACTTGAGTCACTCCACCAGCCCTATTTTGTGTTGGGTATTTTTGAGATAGGGCCACTCAAACTACTTCCCAAGCTGGCTTTGAACTATGATCCTCCTGATCTCTGCCTCCTGCGTAGCTAGGATTACAGGCATGAGCCACTGGTGTCCCGCCTTCACATGCATTTTGAAGGGCTTGCTACACGCCAGGCTGCGCTAGGGGCTTGAAGCCCATACTTAAGGAAGGTGGGTTATAGTCTGCATACAATTAGGAAGCTGTGACCCAACTTTCAAGAGAATTTATGCACAAAATAACCAGACACGTTTTTACCAAAAAGTGGCCACAGGGAAGGAGGAAATGTGCTCACGATAGAATCGAACGCTATCGTTCTCCGAGTTTCCACACACCACAGTCTTCCCAGCAGCTTCCTTTCATTCTGATATGATTAGTCCTTTCCAGAGAACAGTGTACCTACAGAAGGAAAAAGAACAAGTAAACTGGGATCATGCATGAGAAGCCCTAGCCCACCTCCCCGTTTCTCTCTTTGCATTTGCAGACCCACTCTTGGTTCACTTATAGGCCATTTGCCATGTCTGACCCCTGAACCCAGCTTTTTAATCAACCTCATCATCCCATTTCTTTCTAAAAATTTCCTTTCTTTGCAGGATGACAAGAAAATCTGACTCATTCATCACTCCTGAGTAGTCAGCAACAAAAACAAAGCCCCTACCTCAGGTGGTGTATTTTTGGAGGAAGCAGATGGACCAACAATCTAAAACACAATATAAAACATGCAGTTAAGATAGTCATTCCTATCAGGAGAACTCAAGCAAGGAAAAGGTAAAAATGATCACAGGAAGAAGGGAGTATTTCAGATAGACCACAAATCTGAGAGTTGAACCCTGGATGAAGAAGGGAGGCTTAAACAGCCATGAAGGAAACACCCTGCAGGTGCAGAGTAGGGAGCATAAGGGTCCCCAGCTGTATAAGGCCAGTATGGCTACAGCAGCAGCAAGAGAAAGATCCACAAAAGCCTGGCAGGCCACCACAGTGTTTGATTTGAGTTTAACAGGAAGAGCCTAGAAGCTTTGACAAAGCAGTCAAGGGGCACTGTCAGATTTCTGGTTTTTTTTTTTTTTTTAATTACTCTAAATGGTGGCACATGCCTGTGATTCCATCTACTTGGGAGGAGGAGGTACGAAGATCACTGTCAGGGTAAAAGCACAAAGCCCTATCTGAAAAATAAAACCGAAGCAAAAATGTCTTGGGGCATAGCTCAAGCAGTAGAACCCTTGCCTAGTAAGTGAAAGTCCCTGAATTCAAACCCCAACCTGGCCAAAAAAAAATGAAAAAATTACGCTGGCCACTAGGTGGAGAACTAACTATGAGAGAATACCAAAAAGTGGTTAGAAGGCCACTGTGGTCTTGTTGCAAAGGATAACCCGGCCATCACCAGATAGGTTGCAGTGAGGGATGGATGGCAGGAGAAGCTGATTCCCAGGTCTGCATAAAGCTGGGCTAACCCAGCAGCATCAAGTACCATGTTGGTGGTCTCTGGCAGGTTAAAGGCTGGTGTGTAGCACATCTAAGCACACTATATTGAAGTAAAGACTTCCTTCTTATCTGCAGGGATTAGTTCCCAAATCTTCCCACACTAAGTCCCTCACATAAAACAACTCAGTGTTTGATACAACCTATGCACATCCTTTCTTCTACTTTAAGTCGTCCCTACGTTACCTACTGATGTCTAGGCAAGCGTTCTACCACTGAGTCCCGCTCCAGGCCTCATTATATTTAATGTCGCGTAAATGCTGGGGAAGTAGTTGTTATGCTGTATTGTTGAGGGAATAAGGACAAGAAAAAAGTCTGTCAGCAGAACGAAATGTTTTTTTAAAATATTTTTGATCTGGGATTGATTGAATCTGAGGATGCAGAACCCATGGATATGGAGAGCCAAACGGCTTTATAAATACATACTATATGATTGTTTTAAATATGACTAAAAGCGAAACTTAATTCTACTGTTAGTGGAATCTGAAGCAAATCCACAAATTCCTTGAACAAGAGAATGATTCGAAAAGCACCTTTGCAACTCCTTAAGACTTGCCTTTCAACAAAAATGCACTTATTAAAGTCTTTGATATCTATTGATACTCTGCTGCATGCTAAGCAAATCATTTTTTTTAAATGAGCATTAATTTTTATTTATTTTTGCAGTACTGGGGATGAACCCAGCCTCCTGCGTGCCATGCAGGAGCCATGCCCCCAGTCCAAGCAAATCATTCTTTCCTTTAAATTATTCATGCCTAAAAATGAGGCCAATGCTACTGATTGTCACTTGGATGTTCCAGACTCATCAAATGTAAAAGTGCCTAAAGCTGAACACATCATCTTCCCAGGGGGTCAGCTCCTCCCTCTCCTCTCCCACTCAGGACATTGTGTTACTGCTAGGATCAGAAAACCAGGAAATCGTCAATCCCTCCCTGTCCTTCAGCCCCCAATCCAATCAAGCACCAAGGTCCCCAGACTGCACTGAAGTTCTCCCATCCAGCTCTTTAAGGAACCCCACACTGTCACCAGACTATAGTCAATAAATTACACAAAACTATTTTTTAGTGTCTGATGAAAGCAATAGATCCTCAACCTATAAAATGCACATGTACACAGCTGGGCAGATATATACTTACAGAATCCACAACTCATTAAGAGATTTCATGGAGAAGCGATCTTATCCTGAAGGACTCCTTGCCACTCTACACACCTGCCACCACACTTCTGCCAAATGATTAAAATGAATTCTTTCAAACATAAATCTGAGTCCACTGACCTTGCCATCCTTCTCTGGTTCCCTACAGTAGAGACTAGTCAAAGCTCTTCAGCAGGACACACAAGGTCCTGCATGACCTTTTCTTCCCTCTCCACCATCCTTTCCACTCTCTCATCTTCCACAACCTGCTGAACACTTTGCTTGTCTCTTAGGAAGCAAAGCTGCCCGGGTTCTCAGACAGCACTGTGCTCTGTGTTCTCATGCTTTGCTCCTGGCTTGGAATATCACCTTTTTTTTTTTCCCATTTTTCTTTTATTATTCATATGTGCATACAAGGCTTGGTTCATTTCTCCCCCCTGCCCCCACCCCCTCCCTTACCACCCACTCCACCCCCTCCCGCTCCCCCCCCCCAATACCCAGCAGAAACTATTTTGCCCTTATCTCTAATTTTGTTGTAGAGAGAGTATAAGCAATAATAGGAAGGAACAAGGGGTTTTGCTGGTTGAGATAAGGATAGCTATACAGGGCATTGACTCACATTGATTTCCTGTGCGTGGGTGTTACCTTCTAGGTTAATTCTTTTTGATCTAACCTTTTCTCTAGTTCCTGGTCCCCTTTTCCTATTGGCCTCAGTTGCTTTAAGGTATCTGCTTTGGTTTCTCTGCATTAAGGACAACAAATGCTAGCTAGTTTTTTAGGTGTCTTACCTATCCTCACCCCTCCCTTGTGTGCTCTCGCTTTTATCATGTGCTCAAAGTCCAATCCCCTTGTTGTGTTTACCCTTGATCTAATGTCCACATATGAGGGAGAACATATGATTTTTGGTCTTTTGGGCCAGGCTAACCTCACTCAGAATGATGTTCTCCAATTCCATCCATTTACCAGCGAATGATAACATTTCGTTCTTCTTCATGGCTGCATAAAATTCCATTGTGTATAGATACCACATTTTCTTAATCCATTCGTCAGTGCTGGGGCATCTTGGCTGTTTCCATAACTTGGCTATTGTGGAATATCACCTTTTTAAATCACTTGGATACTTGTTACCTTTCATGACTAATGTCAGGCTTCTTCTCTTCTAGAAAGCCTTCCTTGGGTCTCCAGCTTGGGCTAACAACTCTCAGCTTGTACAGACCTGATCTCAGCATTAAAATCTGCTACTGTCTACTTAAAACCATCTCAATCTCCAAACCAGTTCAGGGCCTGGCTGGGTGATTCCCAGTGCACAGTACAGCGGCAGAGAACATGCTACAAGAACCTGAGAATTGTCTTGGGAGGTGATAGCCGAATAACAAGTCCCAGGACTGAACACCTACAGGTCCACGCACAGCACAGAGCTGCGGAAACCGTTAGTCCTCATTCCTGCCCAGCAAGGCTGTAGGAGGACCGCTGAGTTCACGGAAGGTCGCCAAAAGATTCAGTGACTTGCCCAAGGTCACCAGGCTAAGGACCGACGGACCAAGCTTGGGATCTAGATAGACGGCTCCAAAGCTCTTTCCGGACCCCCACTGCCTCGCACACGTCTGTCACTGGTGCGGGGGATGCGACAGAAAACCGCACCATCCCTCATCCCAGGGGAGGGTGCGCTCGCGCCGCGCCATCCTCTCCGCGGCAGACGCGGACCTGGCCGGCGGCTCCATCCCCGGCGCCCTGGCCCACCCTGCACGGAGGCGCCGGTCCCTCCTGGGCCCGGGCACCAGGTCACTGCTCTCCCGCCCGCTCCCCGGACAGCACGCCGCCCCGCGCGTCCACCTCGGGGACTGGGGTAAGGGTGGACTCCCTGGCCACTGCAAGCTTCCTAAGGCCCCACCCATCCGTCCCGACCGCCGGCACCGCCCTGGGGCCGCGTTCCCGCCGCCGCCGCCTGCGAGCCGGGCTCGTTAGGGCGAGGCCCGGGGCTCTCACCTCGAGACAGTGGGCTCAACCCCGGGGCCACCTGCGCCCAGCCCGGAGTCCTGGCGTCCAAACGCCGGTGCCGGGGCGGCTACTCCAGTTCTGATTCCAGCTCCAGCTTTTCCAGCCCTCCTACTTACGGCTGCCAGGTTCCGCCCTCGAGGACTCGCGCAGGCGCAGTCCGTTCCCCAACTCAATGTGGTAAGGAACCTTCCGAGACTGGTTCCCCGACCGGAAGTCGGGGGGAGGAACTTATTGCCGTGGCGGGCCAGATACCGGAAGTTGTGTCTTGGTGGATGGCGTTTTTTCTTAAATTCTTGGTGACTGTTCTTCCAATTTAGAAAGACTTCGGGAACGTGTTCCTCATTTGCATATCTCCTGAGACTTCCAGGATGTCTACGATTCCTGCAGAAGAGAGCGACCAGCTGCTGATCCGACCCCTGTAAGGGACCCTACAAAGGGAGTGAGGCTTCGGGTTTTGTGAGAGCGAGGAAGGGCCGACCTCTCAGTCGCTTCCCTCCAGCATGCCTGGCAGCCTGCCCTCGTCCTCAGTTGCGGGCCAGGCCTTTCACACCCAAGGGGTTTGGAGAATCGTTGATCGGAGGGGCCTGCTAGGTTAACGGGATTGCTTTTTCTTCAATCACAGGGACGGGTATGTTGGAGTTGGGGGCGAGGGGAAGTTATTTCAGGCCGTTGGGTACTTTTGTAAAAAACCGTGTTGTCGATTAGCAGAAACCCAGATCTCGCACATCAGGGCAAGCCTTGAGGGAACCGACAGGTGAGCGGAGGACCATGATAAGGCTGGGACGGTGCAAGAAAAAACTAAATTTGCATCTTACTATCTCCAGGACCTGACAATATACCAAGATATGAGAGAGAGGAAATATATGAGGGCCTTGGCTATGAGTTGCAACCTTCAAAGCTCAGATCCAAGCAGAATAGGGTGGGAAATTGGAAAAGAGAAAAAGCAGAGGTGTTAAGAACAAAAACTCAGGCCTTTATTGCCATCAGGAGACTGGTCTATCAATGGAGTTGCATTCCATTGTGTAATACAAGGGGAACTTATTCCTGTGAGTGAGCAATTTGCATCCATAAATATTTATTGTTAATATTGGTTAAATATTAGCTAGCCCCACAAACCGTACATTTTTCAAAAGGTAGAAAGTATTCCCTTTACACACTCATTCAATAAGCATTCATTGAGCACCTACTGGGAATGTAACCCAAGTTTCCATGTGTTTAATTCACACCTGTCAACTCTCTCATGTTCTGCACACACTGAACAAGTGTCAAATACCTCACCAGACACAGGGTTGGGTTCATAGGTTTCAACCTTTTGGAGGCAATTGCAGAGCCAAGTGTAAAAGACAGTTACATTGGAGCCAGACCTGAAATCTAGTCTCTGCACTTACTAGGACAACCACACTGACCCCATTTCCTCATAAGGAATTATAACATACATTGGGAGGTTAAAAACCATGGGAGGTACTCAGTAAATGACAGCTCTCACATGGTACAAGTAGGCATTGCACTGAGTGCCGGAAGAGTATGGAGAAGGACTTTATAACATTGAAGAGAGGCGTATCTTATGTATCCTGGAAAATGTGATGTGTGAGCATGACTACAAATTAAAGACAGTGTAGGGGCAGAGGTGGCATGTGTAAAAATGAGAGCGGTTACAACTCATGGCCAGTTTCTTCATGGCTGTGGCTAACACATTAGCAGATGAGGTGGGATAGGCTGTCAGGGTCCAACTTAAGAACTTCTGTGTTTGGATAGACCCATTTCATGTCTGTTTTTAAAATCATTGTAATTCTCTTCCTTGAATATTTACAGTGGAGCTGGGCAAGAAGTAGGAAGATCATGCATTATTCTGGAGTTCAAAGGAAGAAAAATAATGGTAATTATTATTGTTACGATTATTTTTGGGTGCTGGTGCTTGAACCTAGGACCTTGTGCTTGCTAAGCATGTATTCTATCACTGAACTACACCACTAGCTGCAGAAATTATTATTTTTGCTCTCATGTTAACAATATGGCTATGTCTGTTTTGGGTGTTAGGTCTTTTCTAGTAAAATAGTTATCTGTTTAGCTCCTCCCCCCCCCCAATGTTACAGTTCATGTAGTCCAGGATATATAATGCTAATGAGAAAAACTAATACACACTTGTACTTAATAATTTGACAAAACATTAATCTAAGAAGATACATTCTAAGATTATAAAACTATCAACTGGATCTGCAGAACTCTTGTTTCTTTGAAGTCCTTCTTCCATTCCTGGAGGGCCTAGACAACCTAGTTTTCCCACCCCAGTGGAAGACACCAAAGAATTGCCTGCCTTGAACATACATGAAGCTCTGGGCACCCCTGTGCAGCATGTGGTGATTGAGCCCTAATTTACCTATGTACCATTAGTCACTCTGCTTCTCTGAGCCTATTTTCTTGCCTGAGAGGTAGAGGGATTACAAGAGTGGTTTCTAAGGATCCTCCTTAGAAAAGGAGTCAGTACTTCATGTTTCTTTGGTTCCTCTTTCTCTCTGCTTCTCCCAATCTTAAAAGAACATGTCAGGGGGCTGGGGATATAGCTCAGTGGTTTGGTGTTTGCCTCGCATGCTTGAGGCCCTGAGTTCAATCCCCAGCACCACAAAAAAAAAAAAAAAAAAAAAGAACATGTCAGACATAGCCATCTTTTTAGGCATTTGTTTTATTTATTAGTAACGCCCTTATAAAATAAATCCTGAATGACCAACCTTTATGAATTTGTTCCGTCATGCCTTTCCTGATGATTATAAGTGGGAAGTTTCCACTTTTAATTATTGTTTTTTCATAGTAGTCAGATTTGATATAATAAATACATCTATGAACTTTTAAAACACCATTTTATGATATCAAAGTTCTTGGAAAAGGGTTCACTTTTAAAGTGACCACCAAAAGAAGCTGGAAAGATGTCTTATATTTTGCATCTCTGACTCTTAAGAGTGAGCTACATTTTAAATTTTGAGCAGTTAGAGTTGTTAATGGTACCTTTCCCAGATTTACTAAGAATTGCATACCAAGTGCTAGTATATTGAGTCCATCTTGATTATGTAGGTGATAAATCAGTTAATTGGGCTGTTTGCTGAATGAATTTTAATGAAATGTGTAGGAGATTGTGATCTTTTTCCCTACCTCTTTCAGCTGGACTGTGGGATCCACCCTGGCCTAGAAGGAATGGATGCTCTACCATACATTGATTTGATTGACCCAGCTGAGATTGATCTCCTATTAATTAGTCAGTAAGTGTCTCGCTTTATAACAGCACTGTTTTTCAAGGACTTTTATTATCAAGATTGTTCCTTCTTTTTTTGAGATTTTGTTTTAAAAAAAAAAATTTCTACTAGTAAGGATATTGTAAATACCTTTATTCAATCCAATGGTATATTTTGTCATCACAGACTAGAGAAATTTACTAGAAAAAACTTACTCATCTATCTTTGTGTGTATCCAGTGAGTAAGTGGGCAGGAAATAGTGCATACCTTGAGTCATTATCAAATGGGAAAGCAGGAGAATCCCTTTAGGATATCTCTTTGATGACACTATCTTGTCATGTTCTTCCATAAGAAGTTTATTTATAAATAGTGACATTTCAACTTTATTCCACTAAAGTATTCATTATAATTCTGTCAAAAAAAAAGATTTGGTTGTATTCTTACCTCTTTAATTATTCACTGATAAAGTTTTTTGCTATTTAAAAAAAATGCTTTTACTTTTCTGCACTAGAGCTGTGTGCATCATTCCATCCCTCTGCACATACCTATTCTTGGCTTTCTGAAAGTATTCTATGTAATTGTTTTGTGGAACTGTTTTTGTCCAGTCAATAGCGATTTCATTTCATACAGAACCTGGTGGACGATATTTTAAGAATAACAGAATCTCATTGTTTCTTTTTTTAAGTTTCCATTTGGATCATTGTGGAGCTTTGCCCTGGTTTCTACAGAAGACAAGTTTCAAAGGAAGAACATTTATGACTCATGCCACAAAAGCTATTTATAGATGGCTTCTTTCAGATTATGTCAAAGTTAGGTAAGTTACTTTATTAGATTATATAGGTTTTACATGGTACATGTGTTTCAAGATATAGACTGTTGTTTTTTTGTTCTTTTTTTTATTCGTATGTGCATACAATGTTTGGGTCATTTCTCCTCCCTGTTTTGTTTTGTGAAATACGGCATTCTTTATTCTCAAATATAGCAGTAATTTAGTCATTCAGTAATAAGCGACACTGGGAGTTGAACTCAGGGCCTTGTGCTTTTACCACTTAAACCACTTCTCCAGCCCCAAAGTTTTTATATCCTTTTAAATCTTTGTTAAACTTACATAGGTCATAAGCTGTGATAGAAATACTCTGTAAATAACATTTCATAGTTTCATTAAAATTTATAATAAACTGGGAGAAATGACCCAAGCCTTGTATGCACATATGAGTAATAAAAAAAAATTTATAACAAACTATGTTAAGTAGTAATATAACCAAATTCTTATTTTGTATTATCTGATCAGAGAGAAGAAAAAAAAACTTTAAAAGTTGACTAAGTGGGTGGGGCACATCTGTAGTCTAGCACTTGGGAAGCTGAGGCAGAAGGATCATGAGTTCTAGGCCAGCTTGGGCTACATAGTAAGACCTTGTCTCAAGAAACAAAAAACATGACTATAGGCATTGATCAAGCAGTATAGCACCTGTCTAGCAAGTGCAAAGTCCTAAGTTCAAACTCCAGTACGACCACCAAGGAAAAAGAAAACAGATCTGAAAAAAAAAAATCAAAAGTTGACTATTTAACTTAACTCAAGGGTAGCTAAGATGTTGATATTCTTCATATGTAAATATAAAGGAATGCAAAAGTTATCCTTAATAAAGCTAGGTAATGTGTAGCAGGCCAGAGGCCCTAAGCTCAAACACCAGTACCATCAAAAAAAAAAAAAAAAGCTAGTTCAATTTAAACTATGCTTACCTACCTGCTAGCCATAGTCCTCAGTTCTTAGCATGTATGAACTGATTTTCTCTCCACACCAACTTATGATTCAGGTTTTATAAATCCTATTTTACCTATGATAAAACTAAGGCACATAGAGGTTAAGTAATTTATACTCAACTTTGTAGAGAAAATTTTTCCTTTTCCAGTGTGAGAGTCTCTGCCATGTGTCAGTGGATGTATTATATCTCAGGAATGTTGGGGCACAAAAAAAAAGTTGAGAAATCCTGTGTTAAAGAGTACTTTGTCTTTATATACAAAGTTTTAGTTAAAATTGAGAGTGCTTTGAATGTCCTGTACACTTTGCTTAAAGTTGAGAGCTTTGTAGCAATGCATACTGAATATTCTTATTATCATCATAGAGTAAAGAGTGCATCTGTGAGAGTCTAAACAGCATAAACCCTGTGCTATGTCTTTAGGAAATATTTTCATGCATATGTCATCCACAGACAGTTTCTTTGAATTCTAAGACCTTTGAAAAATCTTACACTTAATTGTTTTTGTTGGCATCTTTCAAAATTTAGTAACATATCAGCAGATGACATGCTGTACACTGAAACGGATTTGGAAGAAAGCATGGACAAAATTGAAACTATCAACTTTCACGAAGTTAAGGAAGTTGCAGGTATCAAATTTTGGTGTTACCATGCAGGCCATGTCCTGGGAGCCGCCATGTTCATGATCGAGATTGCAGGCGTGAAGGTATGCTAGCTCAGGCCCTTTGTCTCCAAGAGAAATCGGCGCGAACTTCATGCCACCAAGTAGTAGTTAAAATTTCCTAAAAGTGGCAGAGCGTCAAAACACTGAAACATATGCTTTACCCCTTGGTGTGGCCTTGGCTTTTTCCTTTTAGGGTGTGTCTTCTTTGTGGACAGAGTTGAAAACCAATCTTCTTGTGTAATATTGTCCTAAATTTTTTTGTAGCTATTCATATATTGAAATTTTTGCACATTGAGTTAAACAATAGATCATCAAGTCACTTATTCTTGCACTTCGCTCCAGAGTACAGGACATAAGCAGGAAATAGCATTCTCATATGGAATTTGCTGTGCTCCTCCTATTACTTATCTTCCATTATAGCCAGTGCCTCCATGACCTCTGGAGATTCCTTTCTGTATTAGCAATTCCCTTTTTCTCTAAGAAGTTTAGAGCCCTTCTCAAGTCTATGGACATAAACTTTGTGGGATGATTCTGGAATATATTATTTTCATAGTTACATCAAATAATTGAAACACGGGGTGAATTTTAGTGGTTTCACAAAGTTACACATTTTGAATTAGACACAGCATTGCATCTAAATTTCTTGCTATTAGATTTTATAAGATTAAAATGTTCACTAGCAAAGTGAGGCCTTCCCCAAATCCTAATTTTCTAGTTTTATTTTTTTCACAGCTTTTGTACACAGGTGATTTCTCAAGACAAGAAGATAGACACCTAATGGCAGCTGAAATTCCTAACATCAAACCTGATATTCTTATCATTGTAAGTATTAATGTATTGTATTGTAATTAGTGTAATATAAACAGAATTTTTTCTAGTGGAAGAAAATAATAATCTCATGTTCATAATGTTACTGGATATAAAATTATGGAGTTTTAAAGTATAATAAAATTTTTGGGTGCTCTGTTTAGTTACCCCAGGTTTATAGAAAGACTTTTTTTTTTTTTTTTTTGACAGTACTGGGGTTTGAACTCAGAGCTTCCTGTTTGCTAGGCAGGCGCTCTACCACTTGAGTCATGCCCCAGCCCTTTTTGGCTTTAGTTGTTTTCTACATAGGGCCTTGTGTTTTCTACATAGGCTGGCCTCAGACTATGATCCTCCTACCTACGCCTCTTAGTAGATGGGATCAAAGGCATGTGGCTTATTGATTGACATGGGGTCTTGTTTACTTATTGCCAGACTGGTCTCAAACCACAGTCCTCATAATCTCCACCTCCCAAGCAGCTAGGGTTACAGGTGAGCCTGGCGTATTATGAGAGCATCTTAAAGGTTGTTTAGAAATGGTGTGACCCACTGCCTTTGCAGTGGTGCTCTTTTGACCCTTCTCACATGCTACTTGTCACTTGCTCATTTTTATAGGCTCTGTTTGCCTAGTAGTTTGTAGGTCCCAAGGACACAAGAAAAGTGAACAGTGTACAGAAGCTCTTGTGGGATACTGAGGGGTGCAAATTAAAAAAAAAAAGTGTGTTATTGACAGTGGCATCAAGAAATGGAAGCTGTTCTCAGCCTCTGGTACACACAAGAACATCAAGAACATTTGGTTCCACCACCTACCCCCTCCAAATGCCGAAGTCTGAGAGTAGTGGCTGTTGCTCAGCAATGCGCTGAGTGCATCAGCTGTGACTCAGTTCATGATATACTCACCATGGAAACTGAAATTAATTGAAAAGAAGATTTATTTTTTTTAACTGTCAGAACAAGTAGATATTTTCATGATATCTGGTGTTTTAGAGCAGTGCTTCTCAAACTTTAATGTGCTTCCAACTTGTTTGATGGCACTGTTAAAATACAGACTGATTCAGTCAGTCTGAATTGGGGCCTTACAAGCTACCAGAGAGTGCAGTGGCTCACTATAGTAAGACTTTAGGGCATGTTCTTGAACAGAAGTGTAAGAAACAATATTTATTTCTAGTTTAAAAGCTTTGTCTTCTCAGGTGGGAGGAAAAAACACATAGCAAAATTATCTTGAGGGGAGAAGATACATTTTTGTGCATACGTGTACTATTTCCTGATTCCATTATTTGAAATGTTCTTATTAGATTTGAATTCGTACATTTTTGTTTGCTCTTCGCAATTAATCTTATAACAACTTATATTCAGGTTAATGGCATGGTAATGGAGAAATGAATCTGTTTGCCTTAGCATTTCATTAATGTTTAACTTTTGAATTCTTTGGAGATGGTTGGTCTTGGTCTCATATATCTAACCCACTTTAGGAATCTACTTACGGGACCCATATCCACGAGAAACGTGAAGAGCGAGAAGCCAGGTTCTGTAACACTGTCCATGACATTGTCAATAGAGGGGGCAGAGGACTCATTCCTGTCTTTGCTCTTGGAAGGGCTCAAGAGCTGCTCTTGATTCTAGGTATTTGGGACACTATTAAAATCTTGTGTCATTTTACCAAAATATTAACATGGCGTTGGATACTTATTCCATCTTTCTTAGCTTCAGTTTCTTCATTCAAAAATGGAGTTTGGTGCTATTAAGAATCCAGGGAAGGGCAGGCAGAATGGCTCAAGTGTTAAGCGCCTGCCATCAGCATCAGAAGTCTTAACATACAAATATTCTTTGACTACCGGTTCTACTTTTGGGAAGTAAACAAGATGTATGGAAAGTTTTGTCAGTAAGGGTATTCGTCATTTTAATATTTATAGAGGATATGGGCTGTGGAGTGGCTCATGTGGTAAAGGTCCTGCCTAGTGAATTTGAGACCCTGAGTTCAAACCCCAGTACATCCAAAAAAGAAAAAAACAAAGAAATATTACATCTGTAAATACCACATTGCAGGGGAAAAATCATGTTCTAAATCATAATCCAATCCAGTCTTTTTCTCCTGATTGTTCCTCTTTTCTAACTGCAAGTTAAAGTAGTCCTTAGAAGACTTGAAATGAAGACTTCATAACCAAACATGTGAAAAGCAGAGGAAATTAGGAAGGTAAAACATGCTGTCATCACACACTGGGTAGCCAGATGAAAATGTAGGTCACCCAGCCAAATTTTAATTTCAGATGACTAAGGTTTCAGCATACTCTCCCACATATTTAATATGTATTTTAAAACCAAGAATATTTTGTTTCTCTGAAGTTTAAATGGGCATTTGGTATTTTTATTTGGTCACTCCACCATCAGAGCATGGAATGATTCTTTTCATGAGCCCTGCAGGACTGCTTTATGTAATTAGTTGCCCCTTTCCCTGCATTCTCCCTGGTATGTAGTGTGATAGAGACGAGAGAGAGGACAGCCATTCAAATCACAGGCTTCCTCTCATCTGTGTTCTAGCCATATGACCTTGGGCAGGTTAGGCAAGTTATTCAGCTTTTTTTAAATCAGTATTCAAAATTTGTTCCTAAAAATACAAAAAGGAAAATTGTGATATGATCTTGGAATGTAGTCTGCTTTCACAGTATGTAAGAAATTGCAGCAGTATATGTTCCAAACTCTGACACCAGTAAAATTTTTACTGACATCTAAAAAACATGAACAAGATTAGCCACAGGAGAAACGGGAATTCCCTGCCCTTGTATAGACTTAGCACTAAGACCCACATAAAAAACCAACTTTTCCACACTATCTGGCCTTTTATAGTCAGCTCTTCATCTGCTGGATGAAGACAAAGCTGCTTTGAAGATGAGACGTGCCTGTGACTTCCATACTGAGCATTTAGTGCATTTTTTCTGTGCAAACGCATGGGAATCAGTGTGAGTTAATGAGAGTTACACTTAAAATAAGTTTTCATTTGAAGGTATATTGCCCATTAGTGACACAGAAATGGTTTGCTTAATAGTTGGTTTGTTTGTTTTTAATACAGTTATAGAGTAATAGACTATACTTTTTTTTTCTTTTGGCAGTACTGGGGTTTGAACTCTAGTCTTCACACTTCCTAGGCAGACACTTTACCACTTGAGCCATTTTGTAGCCTAGGACTGTACTTTTTTATGTGTTCAAAATCAGTTTAACATGTTTGGCAGTCTTATCTTATAATCAGCAGCCAATAAATCTGCTTGAAATTTTAGTAATATTCTTTTATTTAAAACCATTACAGAATTTAAATCTCTCAGGGCTGAGTTGTGGTCTGTTACTCAGTATAAACTTTAAATGGGCTGCGGGTGTGACTCAAGCAGTAGAGTGCCTGCTTTGCAAGCTCATAGTCCTGAGTTTGAGCCCCAGTCCCACAAAAAAAGGTTTTTTTTAAATGAATCATTTCCAAAAGTTCCACATCTTTGGTCTGTGATCACGGCTTTTTTTTTTTTTTTTTAAGGTTTTATACTAGTGTTTAGAAATAAGTTTAAGTTTACAAGGACCAGGAGAGTTTTTCTTAAACTCTTTAAAATATAGTCATGTAGTACTTAATTTCTTGATTGTCTGAATTGTTAAAAATTATTTAAGGGTGTCATTTGTTTGAATTATTCATGCCACATAGCAAAGTGATGTTTGTTTCTTGTGAAATCACTCTAGATGAGTACTGGCAGAATCACCCAGAACTACATGACATTCCAATATATTACGCATCATCTTTGGCAAAGAAGTGTATGGCAGTGTACCAGACATATGTAAATGCCATGAACGACAAAATCCGCAAACAGATCAACATCAATAACCCATTTGTTTTCAAACACATCAGTAACTTAAAGGTGAGTTGCCTATGGAGGAGAGGAAGACAAAGATGGATAAAACAGATCAGCCCTTGAAGTGGAGGGAGCCGCTGGCTGACTTTTCTGCTGAAGACTTGCCTTCAGGCATCATTTTTCTCCTTGACATCAAAACTGCAGCAACTGACAATGTTGGTTTTTTGTTGTTATTTGTTTGTTTGTTTCTTTGTTTGAGACAGGATCTCACTGTGTAACCCAGGATAGCCTTCAACTCATGGTCCTCCTGCCTCAGCCTCCTGAGTGCTGGGGGTATAGACATTCATTTTTGACTTAAGCAGATTTTGCCACTTATTCCAAGTCTTCATACATTCTCAATATTTATAACCACTAAATAATCTTTTGCTCTTTTTAAGGTCATTGTCTAAGTCAAGTTTTCCCTAGAAACAATGTTAAATTGTTATTAGATTTCTAGGCATGCTCAAAATATTCATGGAGGCCACGATGGCACACACCTATAATCCTAGCATTTAAGAAGCTGAGGCAGAAGGGTCGTGAATTAGTTATTCCAAGTCGTCTGTTGGTTTGCAGATAGATTTAGCACAGTTCTCAGCCCTTTGAATAGATTGAAATGTGGTAGATGAATGGTTTGTATCATTGTAAGATACTGATCTTTACAACAGTTTCATCAGTTTTATTTTTATATAGTGTTAGTGACCTAAGTTATATTGCTATCCTGTTTTTGTAAATCAAATGAAATTATATAAAGAATTCTGACAGGTATTTTGTACATATGTATATATGTTGCCCAGATTAAAATAATAAATGATAAAGAAAAAAATTACAAGTATGCAAAGCCATTGTGGGTCTTAGGGAAAATTCCTGAAGATTCTGTCTTAGGTAGATAGGAACCCCTTTGACTCTTATTTCTGCCTGTTCCAGGCATTGGAAATACTGCTCATGCCCTTTAGCTGTGCATAATTGGGAAGATGAATGTAAGCCTACAGCTGTTTCTCACTTTGTTTTTCTATTTTTGCAGGCCTAAATTGTTCTGGTGGCTTTATCCTCATATATTGAAGTAGTCCTTTGAATAACATAAGTTTAATTTTAAAACTTGGCAGTTGGACTTAAAATGTCGACTAGTCTTATCAAGGCCCTTTTACATCAGTTTTTGTTCTTTAAAAATGAAGAACAGTTTGTCAAACCCTGGTAGTTAAAATACTTTTACTATTTGTTCCTTTGTCTCTCAGAGCATGGACCATTTTGATGACATCGGCCCCAGTGTTGTAATGGCCTCCCCAGGCATGATGCAAAGTGGCTTATCCCGAGAGTTGTTTGAAAGCTGGTGTACTGATAAGAGGAATGGCGTCATCATAGCAGGGTACTGTGTAGAAGGTACACTTGCCAAGGTCAGTTATGGTCTTAGAATACTGTATCACTCCTAATTAAAATTGTAGAGGGGCAATATCTACATAGGTTTTTCCTCTGAAGTAGTTCTTTAATAGCATAAAAGAAAGGAGAATGGAAATAGGTAGCTGGAGATGTTTGTAAAATGAAGAACTATGCATTTGTTGAATGACATAACAAGATATCTAGATTAGAACACATTTTAAAGTTTAAAAAGTGCTTAGCTGGTTATGAGTAAGATAGACAGATAGGAACCAACTGCGACAAATTTTAAAACCCTCATCAGAAGAAGGAGTTTACTTATACAAATTTTGTAGTTCTCTTGCATGGGCAAGAGAACTAATCTTTTGTATTCAAAAAGTTTTCATTTTTTGGATTAGGGCTGCTCAGGCTGTGACACATTCTTTTAAAAAGCAGTAGGCTATGCCTGGATTGACTGCCCTTCTTCCTACTAGTATTAAATGGCTGCAGTTAGCTCCTAGGGATGTAGACATTGTAGAAAGTGTATGCAGAACTTAAAAGCAATTTATGAATGTCCACACAACACATTCTCCTGTCTTCTTTCTGTTGGCATTTATTTTGAAAAAATTTGATGTGATGCCTCATTTTAATCATTTGCATTACTTTGTCCTATTCTCTATAAAGTCAGCTAGAGAATTTAGGTTATATATTTAAAGTAGATTTCCAGACTAGAAAAATACATGTGTTTTATGGAAATCTTGATATTTGGTGAGTGCCTTTCTAGATCAGGAGAAGAGTTGGGAATGCAGGTGTTTTCTAGTTACGAAATTTTATTGCCAGCATTCTAGATACTCTGAGTTTTAGGTAATCTTACTTTCCTGATTAAATTTTTACTTGATCAAGGAAATGAGTATTTGATACTTCCTAAGTCAGTAGTGTTAGTTAGAATGATCTTTGTGCTGAAGGTCCTAAAATCTAACATAAAAGGGTATGACTGCATGAAAAACAAAAAGAGAATGAATGTACCTTTTCTTTTCTAATCAGTTTGTGTTTTCTTTTCTTTTTTTTTTTTTTTTTTTTTTTTTTGCAGCATATCATGTCTGAGCCTGAAGAAATCACCACCATGTCTGGGCAGAAGTTACCACTGAAAATGTCTGTTGATTACATTTCTTTCTCTGCTCACACAGATTACCAGCAAACCAGTGAATTTATTCGTGCTTTGAAACCGCCTCATGTGGTTAGTCCTTGAATTTGATTCATAGTCTAAAGAGGAAAAGAGCATACCCAAGAAACTGTACAGCAGTCAGCTCACAAATCAAGCATTAATTTATGAGCAGGCCATTTGCTGTGCTTTGACCTTTATAGCTCCCCTTGTGTCAGGCAAGCTGCATCCTTTCATTTTCTTCATTTTATGCTAACTTTTATCCAAATCTCCCCAACTCTAGTGTTCTTTCTCTTCTCTGCTATCCACCCAATAACTTAAGAGCAGACTTGGGAGTGTGACAGTTTATTTGAATTTTAGCTTCATCCCTTATGTGCTTTGTAATCTGGGCAAGTTGCTTAGCCTCTCTGTGCCTCATTGTAAATAGGGATGATAATACCTCAGAAGGTCGTTGTGAGGACAAAATGAGAGGACATATATCTAAAGCACCTCATCTGATTCCCGGTGCATAGTAAATGGTTGATAATAATAATATCGAACAGTGCAAGGATAATTTGAAGAGGAGAAAGATAAGTCATCATAGTAAAACATATATGACACATAAGGACTGGGGAGGCTGTGGCTCGAGTGGTAGAGGGCCTGCCTAGCAAGTGGAAGGCACTTGAGTTCAAACCCCTGTACCAGCAAAAAAAGAAAAAAGTCACATTTATATATATAGCTCCTTGTTAGTGTGACTTGTTTATATTTTAAGTTTCAGGTAATAATAGTAATAGTTACATACTTTGGTGGGGTTAGGATGAGGGGTCAGCTGAAAACAATGTATACTTTTAAATGGAAGGATACTGTGGAAACGTGTCTATAAAAATGCATGAAATTCCCTTTCTGAAATATAGTGGAAGATAGCTTAGAGAAATGGCCTTTTGTTAGTTTCTTTTGCTGTGGTAAAATATTTTTATTATAAAATACATGTGCATACAATTTGCAGCTTTAATCATATTAAGCGCATAATGAGTGGCTTTACCCGCACAGCATTATACAATTTCACCAGCCTCTTTTCAAACTTTTCACCACCCCAAACAGATACTGTACCCAGTGACTCCCCATTCTCTTCTCTTCTCAGTCCCAGGCTACCTCTAATCTACTTCCTGTCTCTGTGAATTTGACTCTCCTAGATATTTCATAAGAACAGTCATACAACTCTTCTGATCCTTTCAAGGTTCATCCGTGTGATAGCATATTACATGTCAGAATTTCATACCTCCTTTCACTGAGTAGTATTCCATTATATGTGTATACATTTTGTTTATCCATTGTCTGCTGGCAGATGCTTGTGTTGTTTCATCTTTTGGCTAGTGTGAGTGATGTCTTGCTGTGGTTTAGATTTTCAGCTCTCTGGTGACATACTGGTGAGCATCACTTCTTGTACATGTTTTTGAGTTCTTTCAAGCATGATAGTTCTTGTAAATATTTGCCACTGGCCCTTAGTGCACAGATTCTTTGACAGAGAAAATCACTTACTGCCTTCTTAGCATTACACATAGCATGTAGAATTTGAGTGTAGTGTAGACTCCACCCACATTTTTTCTGGAATAGGTGGTTCATGGATGACCTCCAGATTTTCAAGCCAGGGAAGGAAATCTATGTTCTGCTATGTTATCCTTGGTCCCATTTCATCTCATTGCTTTCCAGATTCTATCTGTGCTTACAGTTTAAATCCTTGGGTTGAACTTGGTGCTTACCTTCCTCCAATGACCTGCTCCAGCAAAAGTATAGCTATGAAATGATACTCAGGAGTATTAATGGTAGTAGTTTATAATAGCCAGGATTTATTAGGTATTTAGCAAATGCCAGACACCACACTAATGTTTTACATGAATCGACTTGTTTAACCTTCACAACTAACAGCTGTTTTGTAGACAAGCAACGGAGATGTTGAGAAACTTGGTCAAGGTTATATAGCTAGTACCTAGCAATGCCAGGATTGTGCTCAGGCAGCTCATCCTGGACCCTTCACCCCTAGGTGACCAGCCTCTTCCCAGGGGTGACACTGGCCATGGTTCGCTAGCCAGACAGGAACTGTCTGCCAGTGGTCTGGAAGCTAGGAGTGACCTGTCTTGGAAAATAGAGGTTATAAATGTAAACAGAAAGCCAGCATGATGGCTCATGTCTGGAATGCCAACATTCAGGAGGCTGAGGCAGGAGATCAAGAGTTCAAGGCCAGCCTGTATTACATAGTGTGATCCTGTCTGAAAAAAAAAATTTTTAAAAAAAGCACAACAAAAAATATGAATAGAAAGTGACTGGTAGCTAGTATAATCATTGCAAATCTCCCTCTAAACAGTTCATTTGCTTCAGAAAGTTTTTATTTGCTTTTCATTTAATTTTATTTTTTTCCCTGGGGCACTGGGGTTTGAACTTGGGACTCATGCTTGCTAGGCAGATGCTCTACCACTTAAGCCACTCCACCAGCCCTTTGCATTTGCCTTAATAAGCAGAAGAAACTATCAGAAAGTGCTTTTCCCCCCTTCATGAAACCTTCATTTTAAACCTAAAGAAAAGTGAACATTTTCAGATAGCAAGAATAGAAAAGAACCATGTAGATGTAAGGATGTAGGAAAGGGGTTTCTTTACTCTCTTTTAAAACAGATGCATAGGGGCTAGTGGAGTGGCTCAAGTGGTAGAGCACCTGCCTAGCAAGCATGAGGTCAAATACCAGTGCCACCAAAAAAAAAACAAATGGATGCACATAAGGATCTTTTAAAGCTAAACAAAGTAAAGAGGTCTACACAAGTTTGAGGTTCTTTGAAACTAATAAAGTTTCAAAGTTTCAAGTGTATTTCTGTTTCATGAATTTAACTACTTCAGATTAGGGCCATTATTTAATGATTCATCTGAATGAAGACTGTTTCTATTCATGTAGATTTTAGTCCATGGAGAACAGAATGAAATGGCCAGACTGAAAGCAGCACTGATACGCGAATACGAAGATAATGATGAAGTTCACATAGAAGTTCACAATCCTCGGAATACAGAGGCAGTGACCTTAAACTTCAGAGGAGAAAAGCTGGCCAAGGTAAAAGGTGATAGTTCCCAATTCCAGCTATGTTTTCTCTTCAGAGGAGAGTATTCTTCTTAAGAAAATAGACCTTCCTTTGTGGTACATACCTGTAATCCCAGCACTTGGAAAGTCAAGACAGTGAGTTTGAGGCCAGATGGCGCTACATAGTGAGACCCTATCTTAGAAAAAACCAAAAAACAGAAAAGAAAAGAAACCACCTTTAATCAAATCAAGACAGTGTTTATTTCTGTCTACTTAGTATTCTATGAGGATTTTATCCTGATGCTTCTTACGCTTCTTTTGGTTGTGCATTTCTTCAGATGGAAAATTTTTAAGATAAATTAGATCTTAATGCAGATGAGTTTTGATAGCTGTTTAATCAGCATTCCCAATTACTTTTCCTTCCCTCATGGGAGGATAAACATGTTCATTACTCTTGCTATATCCACTACAGTGTGGTGCCCATCTCTTGTCATTTTCCCTAAGAATCTGAAGATAGACCCAGGTCTCTACACATGTATGTTTTGTGTGGATATGACAGAATACATTAAAAAAAAAAATCTAGGGCTGGAGGTGTGCCTCAAGCCATAGAGTGCTTGCCTAACAAGCACAAAGCCTTGAGTTCAAACCCCAATACCAACCAAAAAATTTTTTTTTGAGGTACCAGTCTTTGAACTCAGTGCCTACATCTTGAGCCACACCACCAGCCCTTTTTGGGTTAGGTTTTTTTGAGATAGGGTTTCATGAACTTATTTGCCTGGACTGGCTTCGAACCATGATCCTCCTCATCTCTGCCTCCTCAGAAGCTAGGATTACAGGTGTGAGCCACCAGTGCCTGGCTAAAAGTATAATCATTTTTGATGGTAAAATATAATAGTGTTAGAATTTAAAATTGAGTAGTTAAGAAAAACCTTATTTGGGATTTTAGAGGGATTCTGGAAGCATTTCTGTTAGTCAAAAATCTTTTTAAAGACATCTCTAATGCAAACTTTTAAATGATTTATATGACATTTTAGATGTCATACATCTGTTAACTTTACAACATTCCTTCAATACATAATAAGCCAGACACGAAGAAGCTAATTGACGAATAGCTTTCCTACAGCTGAATTAAGGGGGTAAAAATCAGCACTACTTAAGATGTGAGGCAAAGAAGAGCAGCAGATGGTTGTATTTATGCCTAAAACTTTCTGGAGGTCATTCTAATGGCATTTTTCTTGTGCTTGTAAAATAAGATACTCAGTTGAAAATCTGGAACTGTATTTCTCAAACTCTGCCATTAGAGCTGTGTGGAGGAAAAAAGAAGTTCCTTAGTCACATTTTAGAAGAAGCTTCTTTAAACTAAGTTAGGAGAAGCTGAGATTCTTACTTCAGTGTTGCTCTCCAACACTTGTACTTGTTTCAAACCATCCATGGGCCCTCAGTGGTACAGTGTTTGCCTGGCATGCTCTGGGATTTATCCCCACTATTGCCAAAAAAGTTGAAAAGTGAAAAGAGTAAACACATTTGCTTTATTTTTTTTCCTCTAGTATGGTATCACTATATTAAAATCCATGTCTAGGAGCAGAGCACTCCTTTTCAGAAAGTCAGCAGCAGTTAGTTAAGGAGAAAATAACCCTATGAAGTCATGTGAAGTGGAGCTGTTTCCACTTATTCTATTAGAATGAGTTGCTGTTTGCCCTTGCTTAATTAAAGGTAAACAAGGCTGAAGTATGTGATTTTTATCCCCATGAATTCATTGATTTGGAGTTGAGAGAAGCTATATTGTGGGAGCCAGGCATCAGTAGCTCACACCTATAATCCCAGCCACTCAGGAGGCAGAGATCAGGAGGATTGCAGTTCGAAGCCAGCCTGGGCAAATAGTTTGAGAGACTTAGCTCAAAAAACCCTTCAAAAAAATAAGGCTGGTGGAGTGACTCAAGATGAAGGCCCTGAGTTCAAGCCCCAGTACCACAGGGAAAAAAAAGAATTGTGGGGTTTATGTTGGTGGATTTTTGTATTTGAGCAGTCATTACTGTGATCTCTTAAAAATGTTTCCTGTGTCAGCTCTGATCTTTGTGCAGCAAAGATGCTGCTTGCTGTAGCATGAGGTTAGTGCACTCCCCAGTCCATTCATGATTGCCTGAGATATTTACATTTTACAAGATTTCTCATTTTTTCAGTTGCTTTCTTTTTTTTTTTTTTTTTTTTAAATAGGTCATGGGCTTTTTAGCAGACAAAAAACCAGAACAAGGCCAGCGAGTCTCAGGAATACTTGTTAAAAGGAACTTTAATTATCACATACTTTCTCCTTGTGACCTATCCAGTAAGTATACTATTCAGTGTCATACATAATTTGATCTTAGCATTGAAAGAAAATCTGTAAGAAGTTCTCTTTATCTAGTGGCCACATTTTAAGTAACAACCAAATAATAAAATAGGAATAGGTGACAGTAACCTAAATAGCTTTGTGGAAATAGAAGTCTTCCCTGAACTATTGAAACAAGTGACTTAGAAAATCATGTTTTTAATTGATTACAAGTTCACCTGTAAGACAGGTTGACCACTCCTGCTGACCTTGTGGCCACTCTCTTTTCTACCCCTTCTAACAGAGAGTGGTACTTTTATTTCCTGAAGTAATTTTTGCACGCCCCAGGTAAGCTTTTGTTTTGTTTGGTTTTCATGGTACTGGAGATTGAATCCAGGGCCTTGCACGTTAGGCAAGTGCTCTACCACTGAACTACATCTCCAGTCCTTTTTATTTTTTATTTTGAGACAGAGTCTTGCTCTGTAACCCAGGTTGACCTTAAATTTGTAGTCCTCCTGCCTCACCCTCCTGGGTAACTGGCATTATAGGCATGTGCCACCATACCTGGCTAGCATTTTACTTTTTAATGACCTATAGTGTTTTTTTGTTTGTTTTTTTTAAATTTGGGTTCAGTTTTGGAGGTGGTATGTGTGTGTATATGTGTGTTGCTGAGGATCAACCCAGGGCCTCAGCTATACTAAGCATGCACTCTACCATTCAAGCTCTACCTCAGCCCTTAATGACCTCTAGTTTTGCATCACTTGCTGAACCTATTTATTCATTACTATTTGAAAAAACAGGAGTAGGGAACCAAATCCTTTATAATTTCTTTAAAGGGAAAAATTAATGTAAACTCTACTTGTGTATTACATTAGACTTTTCTTGCATCTTTCAAGTAACATCAACCATGTAGCCAGACTGTAGTATTACACAGACTGAAGCTCATTACAGAGAAAAACAAAAATTTACACAGTTAAATAGATTACATTTAAGTTTATAAATTGCTTTTTTCCCAGAATTTATAAACATTTCCATGTGAGCTCTGTGTCTAAATATATTCTGAGCCATCTATAAGTACTTTCCCAGTAAATAATGGTATTGTTGTCCGGTAAATTCTGTGTTCAGTTTTATTTGTATGGTGCTGATAAATTATAAGTGTTTATAAAGGACTAGAAATAGCAGCAGTATTTAGGTATTTATCTGTGAGATATGCCAACTGTCAGTATTCAAATCTGAGTGTGTGACTTGTTCTTTCATTGGGCACTTAGAGAGCTCTGGCTCTTATGTCAGACTTTGGGCTTGGTTCTGGAACACTGAAGAGTACTAAAACACAAGCCTGGCTCTTGACGTGGCAGTATAATGAGGGAAGCAGTGTTAGGATGAGCTGATCCAGTATGGCTCAGTCCATGTCGAGGTACACAGATCAGACGTGAGAAGAGCATAGCCTAGAGAGTTGGTAAAGGCTTTGTGAGTCAGGTAGGGCTGTGTCACATGGTGAAAGTTCTTAGTTGTTGCCAGGCAGAAACAGCTGGTGTGCTGGTTTGGAGATGTTCAAGGACCAGAACGTTCTGGGGAATAAGGATGCTATCCTGTTACCTGGGCTTACATGGGGTGCGGTTCACATAGGAAAATGTTCACATTTACTGTTTGTATTTTGTGGGATGGTATTGTTTCTGTTTGTTTTGGGCTGGTTTTTGTTTTGTTTTGTGTTTTGGGGGAGAGGGGTTAAGACAAGGTCTTTCTGTGTAGCTTAGGCTGTGCTCAGACTCAGGATCCTTCTTCCTCAGCTTCCTGAGAGCTGGGATTGTAGGTTCTGTGCCACAGCACTCAACTGGTACTGTTTCTTGAAGTGTATTCTGATTTTCTTTTCAGATTATACCGACCTAGCCATGAGCACTGTGAAACAAACCCAAGCCATTCCATATACTGGGCCCTTTAATTTGCTCTATTACCAGCTACAGAAATTGACAGGTATATGTGTTAATTGATATTCATTTAATTGCCTTTTTTTTTTTTTAAATATGGTCTTACTATGTAGCCCAGGCTGGCCTCAAACTTGTAAACCTCATACCTAAAGCTTCCCAAGTGCTGGCATTACAGGTGTACACCCCCATACCCAGCTTGCTTTCTCTTTTTCGGTAAAATAATTTTGTATCTAGGAAAGGATGTTAAACTGTCAGTTTTTTGTTTTTTTTTTTTTTTGGTAAGATAATTTTATATCTAGGAAAGGATGTTAAATTGTCAGTTTTTGTTTTTTTGGGTTTTTTTTGGCAGCTTGGGGGTTTGAACTCAGGGCCTCATGCTTGCTAGGCAGGTGCTCTACCAGTTGAGCCATTCTGCCAGCCTTTTTTTTTTTTTTTTTTTTTGGTGATGCATTTTCTCGAGTTAGGGTCTTGAGAGCTAATTGCCCAGGCTGGCTTCAAACCAGGATCCTACTGATCTCTGCCTCCTGAGTAGCTGGGATTACAGGCGTGGGTCACTTGTACCCAACCTATCAGTTTCTTTATCTGTTTTTTTCCTTTGCTCAATGAGAATGAGTTTTCTGGTTCTGTCAGTACCAGTCTGTGCAGCAGGTTTTGTAAGAGTTCCTGGCCATTAGCCAAAGGCCAGTGAGATAATAAACCTATTCAATCTGTTTTTGCCATTTTGAACTAAAGATTTTTGTGTATTCAACATGATCAGTAGCAATGAATAAAAGATGTGTTCTCCTTCTAGTAAAGCAAGAGCACTTCAGGTTATAAAATACACTTTCCAATAATGTGTTGTTCATAACTCATAGAGGGCTGCTGTGAAACAGACCAGGAGAAGGAATCTTTTTACCTTAGACCCTCACATGAGAGTTACAGGTAATAACAGAATTAATGAAATGAGTCTAAATTAATCCTTGATTATTAAGAGGACACTAAGAAGACAGTAAAGTCTGATCTTCAGCTAGACAGTTTCCCTAGTTGGCTGTAGTTGGTTAATCTTTTTTTTTTTTTTTTTTTTTTTTGGCGATACTAGGGTTTGAACTCAGGGCCTATACCTTAATCCACTCCACCAGCCCTTTTTTTGTGAAGAGTGTTTTCAAGATAGGGTTTTTCAAACAGTTTGCCCAGGGTTGACTTCAAACCACAATCCTCCTGATCTCTGTCTCCTGAGTAGCTGGGATTACAGGGTGTGAACCACTGGCCCCCAGCCATAGTTAGTTAATTTTATATTGAGTGTCACCCTCTAGTGGAAGGCTGAATCTCTTGTACAAACACAAGTGCTTGAATATCGCCAACATGTCTGCTGATGAAATCTTTAGTGTCCAAGGAAAGCCTGCCTAGCTGCATGGATTTTTATAGTATGTGTTGAGATTTTTCAGTTTGAAAAAACTCACTTAGCTATTGTACTATGCAAATGAGTTACTAATTCTTCCATTATGTAGCAGCTGTATTTCAGCTGTTTTTAGAAACAAATAACTATGCCTGCGGAAGTTTGTAAGGCAGTTATATAAATCTTATAATTTTTTTTTTTCAGGTGATGTAGAAGAATTAGAAATTCAAGAAAAACCTGCTCTGAAAGTATTCAAAAATATTACTGTAATACAGGAACCAGGCATGGTGGTACTAGAAGTAAGATAAGATCATTAACTAAACAAGGGGGAAAAAAAATCTATAATCATAGAGAAAATTAGTTGCTTCCTAGTTGAAGGAAAAAAACTTGTTGGAAAATACATGTACCTTCTTCCCAAGATCAGTTTTAAATATAATATGGCTAGGCATTTTCTATGTAGTTATTGTAGCTAAGAAACTATTAATAAGTTATGGTTCAATAATTAATATGTGTAATAGTTACAAGCCTCCCATAGGACTCTCAACTGATTTTGTGGTATTCAAGGATGACTTCTGTTATATCAAAGGTCTTAAAATTCTGAAGACAGAAATTTAATTGTTAAATTACAATACACAAACTTGTCATGCAGCACTCCTTAAAGAGTGAACAACAATGAAGCAATCCAAATCAAAAAGGCTAGAAATAGTAATTTAGGTGAAGATAGACACAAAAGGAAGTAAATGTTTGACTCGGGTAGGTTGGTATCTGCTGAGTTTCAAGGACTTTCCAGGTGAATCCTGGTACTAAAGAGAGACACCTTGTCTCTCTCTCTCTACCTCAAGGTGGAATTATAAATAAATTTACGTAAATACATACATAAATACAGTATGTATTTTATTCAAACATACTGATTTTTAAAAGAAAAAAAAATTGTTGGCCAGCACTGGTTCCACTACAGTTCTGTGGTTTCAGTCTAAATTTGATTCAGAAGGCTAAAAACAACAAAGTACCAAAAGCAGTAGATATCTCTAATGTGAAGCTACGTATACTAATATAAAATGTTAATGTCAGAAGAAAAAAAATTATTAGAGACATTAATTTAGCTCATTACTAGGTATTGTCAGAATATGTATTTTTGTTTCTAGACATAACATGTCAAAGGTCTGAGAAAGTTTTCCAAGTATGTCCCCATGAATGTGAAAGTGCTGTTTGAAGAGATGAAAAAAGATAGGGAGGGCCCTTGTTCCTGAAATAATTCACCCGGAAAACTTTGTTGGAACACTGAGCACATGAAAGAGTATCAGGGGATCTCAGGCTTTCATGTGAGAAGCAAAGAATTAAAAATACTGCCCTCTCGAGGCTGGGGCTTAGCTCAGTGATAGAGCACTTGCCTAGCATGTACCCTGCATCCATCCCCAGCACCTATACTATACTGCCTGTGCTACTATCATGAAGTGATTAGGAATTTGAGTTTGAATCCAGCACCCAGAGTTATCTGTGCAAGTTACTTCCCTCTCTCTCTCTCTCTTTTTTTTTGCAGTACTGAGGTTTAGTACTCAGGGCTTGCTCTTGCTAGGTAGGCGCTCTATGACTTGAGCCACATCTCCAGCCCCTCCTTTTTATAAAATGAAGTTAATTCTATTTGTTATGAGAACTAAATAATAATGCATACAAAACCCTTTCCCACAAAGGAAGTGCTTAGTACATTTTGCTTTCTTGATGAAAAGAAAATTAGAGGAGCCTAGCATTATTAACTTCAAGAAGCAGCAAGTCAGCTAGTCTCTGTGTGGGTCCTGGAAGGGACCGCCCCACGTGCATTGTGCATGGCTGGGTGGGGAGAGTTATAGCTTGTGTTTGGCCATACCTCTGTCTTCCTAACTCTGCCTTTGCTTTCTAGTGGCTGGCAAACCCTTCTAATGACATGTACGCAGACACAGTGACAACTGTGATACTAGAAGTTCAGTCAAATCCAAAAATAAGGAAAGGTACAGAATTATTTCATTTTTTAAAATTTGTTCCTTCATTTCTCCCTCTTCTATGAACTCAAAATCAGTTCATTCCCAAAGTAGAAATAAAATCTCTGGGTTTCTTTCATTGCTGTATAATCTTTGAGATTTCTACATAACAATGCTTATTATCAGTCTTTACTTTTGTCCTGGCTCTTGAGTTTGTTTTAAGTAATGGTAATTGTAAAAATGATCATTTTGACAACCTTTGATAACTTGTTGAAGTTAACTAATGGGGCAATGGCCACCCCATGTTCCTGTGACACAGGAGACAAAGCTGTGCATTATGAAAGCCAGAGACGAGTACCTTACCCAAGATTCTTACGTGATGTTCTGCACCACAGTCTTTGCCTGGGCATACAGATTATTCAGGACAGAACATGTATAGAGGCAGTTGTCAGTTTTCTCCTTTTACTACCCATTGTTCTTATCTAAGATTTTAAAAGAGAGGATGAGGTCCAGGGTGTGGGGTGGGTCAGGAGGGAGGGCCTTTTGAAAAGGTCATAAGTAGTTCCTGGCACTGAGACTAGGAGCAGTGAAGTAAGGGAGAAGGGTGCAGAGAACAAGAGCATAAAGATTTAAGGCTGGAGGTTTTTAACCCTGTTCTCTAAAAACATGCTGACCTTCCCTCTGTGTACTGCTCTATTCAATTCAGGCCACACAATCCAATACTGAATTGTGCTTTAACCTCCACAGTTGCTTTCTGTTCATTGTATTCTGAGAACCCTTTTATAAAATGAAGTCTTTTTAATCATCCAGTCAGTTGACTGTATTCACATTTTTTCTGAAAATTGTCAGTTGGGATGTTGTGTTCTGAACCTCTAGCTTTATGGTAAAGGAGGGGATCACAGAGATGCCCAGGTGCTCAAGTACCTAATGTATTTGCATATAAGCTACACACATCCCCCCATACTTTAAGTCATCTTTATAATAACTTAATACAGTTTAAATAGTTGTTACACTGAGGGAATAGTGATGACAAGAAAAAATTCTACATGTTCAGCAGAAATGTACTTTTTTTTCAAATATTTTTCATTGCAGCTAGCTGAACCCACAGATATCAGATATGGAGGGCTGAATTTTTAAAAATCATTTCTTAGCCTCCTGGCACTTCAATCCTAATTCTGGAAACACAGCTTGTGTTTATATCTAGGTGTGTGTTTTACCACCAATTTCAATTTCTGTGTTCCCATTGTCACCATAGACATAGGAAAGCTTACACACTGAAAATGTGTTTTTCTCATTTCCTATATTCCATCATGCTGTCTTCGATGTCGCACCCATTTTCAAGCAAGACTGTCTCCTGTTTGGTTGCAGACTATTGTGATTGGTAGATGTGTCTGCTTGTAGGAGTTCACATTTAGTATACTCCATATGGCCGAGGAGTTTGCCATAAATATTAGTGATGAATATGCAACTGCATATTTGCATATATTTATGCATGCTTTGGGAAAATTTTAGCTTAGTGGTTTCATAGCTTAAATGTTTATTTTTAAAGTATTTCATGAGATTGTGTTTACATGTCAGTCAAGTGCTTATTTAATACTTAATAGAATTAATTATCATCATTGAAGTATGGAGGTTTTATCAAACATCTTTCTTGCTGGCATCTGGTTAGTTGTATGTACAATTGAAACTCATGAGTTAAAAAAGGAGATAAATGATGGTATGAATTGCAGAATAGCTGAGGAGAAATGATAGTGTGACTCTTTCCCATATGGTATATCTTAAGTATGTATGTGAGAGAACTGAGGTCAGTTACTAAAGCCACACTTAACATCGGTTCAAATATTTCATAACATTGTATGATAAAAAATAATTCCTCAGAAGTGGTGAAGAAATCTTTCAATTTTTCAAGTCTCTTTAAAACGACAGTGTTACATTTCCCAGTTTGTGGGTGAGACCATGAAATTTTCCTCCATGATACATATGTATTCTGTATATGTGTATATTTTGAAATTCTATGCTATTCCTTTTCTAACAGCTTTACCATGCAGTTCTCCCACTTAAGGTGGTTTTTAGTATACTAAGAATTGTGTAGCCATAACCACAGTCAACTTGGATCACTCCAAGAAACCCCATATCCTTCAGTTACGATCCCCTAATCCCCTCTTTCCTCCCTACTCAAGGCAATCAGTAATCTGCCTTCTTTCTCTCCCTCTCTCCCTGCCCCCTTCACTTTCTCTCTCCTTTCTCTCTCCTCTCTCTCTCTCTCTCTCTCTCTCTCTCTCTCTCTCTCTCTCTCTCTCTCTCTTTCTCAGTATGTTAATTGTCTCCCACTCAGACAGAGTAGAGTCTGTGCAGGGTATCCCCAGACTCTCTGAGCCACGATTACTCCTTGTTTTAAGCCCCTGGAGTGGGCTGGTGGAGTGGTTTAGGTAGTAGAGGGCCCGCCTAGCAAGTGTAGGACCCTGAGTTCAAACCCCAGTACTGCAAATAAAAACCAAAGCAAAACAAAAAGCTCTCAAAGTAACTCATTTTCAAACAGTAGGCCCTGCCTTAGGTGGTGTCTTGCTATTAACGGAATATTTTTCTTCACCCAAGCTAGCATTCCATATATAGCAGTCACTGTCTCACCAAATCCCCATGCTGGGTTTAAGGCTTGTGACACGTGTGGATTTGTCCTGCACCTAGAATTGCCAGTTTGTCTGACTTACCTTGGGGCTTGGGCTTTTTTTGTCACCAAGATTTGTTTCTGCTTTTCTGCTGTGCTGCCACCTCTCTCATGATTCCTGATGATCTTCCTCACCTTCTCTCTTCAGAACACGGTCTCTGCTGTGTTACTTCAGTTGTCTTGTTCATGGAGTCAAAACAGTGGACGCTTCTAATCCGCTGTCTTGCCCCTATTCCCTATTCCATTCATACAAGTGGGATTGTACACATGGCATCTTTTATGACTGCCTTCTTCACTTGCCATAATGTGCTTAAGGTTCATCCATGTTGTGTTATAAATGAGTACTATATGTTTACTAATGGCTGAAAAATTTGCCTTTTATGGATGTAACACATCTTGTTTATCAATTCAAACATTTTGTTTATTGGTTCATCAATCAATGTACATTTGGGTTATTTCTACCTTTGGCTGCTATGAATAATGTTGCTGGAGACATTTTTGAATAAGTTTTTGTGTAGGGCTAAGATGTAGCTCAGTAGTAGAGCACTTGCCTACTATGCAAGAAATTCTGGGTTCCATCCCCAGTACAGCTTAAAAAAAGTTTGTGTAGACATGTCTCCTCATTTCTCCTGGGTCTGTACCTAGAAGTAGGGTTACTCGGTCATACATTAACTCTGTTTAACCTTTTGAGAAATAATAATGCTGAATTCTGCCCTGTTTTGCTGCTTTTGATGGCAGGGGAAGTAGTTAGTGATGTGCCATCCTTAAAGCTCTAGATTAAGGACAGCTCATCTTCTTGGTCTGTGTGGTTCTATGGTTTTAAGGAAAACTAATTAAGTTAACAGACAAGTACTTTTAAATTTTAATTCTTTTTAAAATGTGACTGGGAGCTGGACGCCAGTGACTCATGCCTGTAATCCTAGTTATTCGTAGGCAGAGATCAGGAGGATCTCAGTTTGAGGCCAGCCCGAGCAAATAGTTCATGAGACTCTATCTCAAAAAAAAAAAAAAAAAAAACCCACAAAAAAGGGCAGGTGGAGTGACTCAAGTGGTAGGCACCTGCCTACCAAATGTGAGACCCTGAATTGAAATCCCAGTACCTCCAAAAAAAAATAAATAAATAAAAAGTGGCTGGGGGCATAGACTAGTGATAAAGCACTTGCCTAATGTGGGTTTGGTCTCTAGTGCAGTGAAATAGTAATGATAATAAAATTTTCTATTAAAACAATCACAGGCCTGTTATACATAGTAGAATGTTAAATTTATGTAACATTTACAACAAAAGATTTCAGAATCTTTGAGCTTACATTGTCTCTGGAACTCCCAGAGCTATAATTTTATTCATCTCTGCTCAGTAATGTAAAGTTTGAAAAATACTGGAAATAAAATTAACTTTAAAGTCAGTTTGTGGTCCTTTGATAAGAACATGAAGTAAAGTGATGCAAATATCAATTTGCCTTAGCAGGCAGATGATTTTAATAGATGCTTGTCACTTTAAGGATTCCATAGTTAATTTTTATTTATCAGTAACCATATTCTGTTTGGAAATTATAGTAATAGGAGTTTAGGAATTGAACTCTGTCCTTTTTTTTTGCAGTTGCAGTACAGAAGGTTTCTAAGCAGTTAGAACTGCACGTGTACAGCAAGAGGCTAGAAATCATGCTCCAGTAAGTCTCTCACCATTGCTTCCCAGCCAGGGGGAGGGCGTGTGGAAGGAGTCCCAGCTTTATGGGCACATTCACACACTGCTTATGCGGCTCAGACCAGGCCACCTGCAGGATCTGGGCACCTGACTTTTCATCAGGAAAGCCAGCAGTTAGTTTGTCCTTTTGTGTTCCTCAGCACTCAAGGTAGTTCTAAGTCCACATGCCCTGCCTAGTTTATCTGAGCATTCTGGGGTGTGCCCATGAGGCTGGCACAGTCTTTGTTGAGGACAGGTGCTAATGTCTCAGCTGAACTCCAGTATGCCTGGAAGAATTATTTTATACATCTGCTTTGTAAGTATGAATTATTTGATAAAAAGGGTTTTCTTCTAAATTCTTCTCAGATAATAAATGTATAACTAAAATGCTTTTAAATTTGATATTTTTTTCTAAACACCAGATATTAAACCTTTCACCTTTCTGCAGTACTCTTTAATCCTGATTTCAGGATGTTTTTCCAAGTAAAATAATTTTATAAAAGTGTTTCATAGTAGTGACTACAGTTTATAATTTTAGCATCTAACAATAGTGCCTTGCACGTAGTAGTCTCTCAAATACTTGTTGAATGAATGAATGTGACAAACAACTTGAAGGAGAGATTTGGTTTTGCTCAAGGTTTCTGAAGTTTCAGCTCATGGTCACTGGCTTCACTGCTTTGGGCCTGAGGCAGAACATCATGGTACTGAGAGTGGTGGGGGAGGAGGAAGCTCACCTCGAGGGGGCCAGGAAGTAGTCAGCAAGAGAGGAAAGGCAGGGGATAAACTGGACCCTTCAAAGCCACGCCCCAGTGATCCGCTTCCTCCAACTTGGCCCATGTCCTCATTTCTATCACCAGACACGCCAGTCACTCCCAGCTGTGCCGTGCTGACTTCTTCAAGGGATGAATCTATTGATTAGGGCACAGCCCTTAAGACCCAATCATTTCCCAAGAGCCCATCACCTGGCAACCAGACCCAGCCTTCAGAGGCCATTTCAGACTCAAACCTAACAGTGACTCTTCTGTTTTTAATATGAAAGTTACTTAAGCAGACAGCTTAACAAAATAAGGTGTTCTGCATGTTTGGAAGATTCTTCTGTGAACGTTTTTCCTTCTCTTCCTTTCTCTCAAATTTCACACTGAGCATAGTGGCTTTTTAAGAATGGATAAGGTTCAGTTGTTTTTTGATTTGTGTTGTGTTTTAGAGACAGAGTTTCATGTTGTCCAGGTTAATCCCAAACTCCTCTCAAGTGATTCTCCTACTTCAGCCTCCCGAGTAGCTGGAACTGCAGGCATGTGCCACCACACCTGTCATAAAAATGGAAAATAGGCTTTAAATGGTGATTTGTTTATCAGTGTTGTTGCACAACTCAAAAGAGTGTTCTTGGTCCTGTCATTCTGATTTTGTAAAGAATCCCTCGTTGTTCAAACTGAGCCAACCACAGTGCAGGAGCAGGCTTGTCACTGCTGCTAAAAAGGCTGCTGATGTTCATTGGCTCCCAGCCCTGAGGCTGCAGTCACTCCTGCTTCTCTCACTATTCACTGGTATATCATGCTGCAGTTCTGCCTGCCAGCCCGGGTCAGCCTGTGCAGCTTCTCCCCTGCTGACATAGGGAGGAGGAAGGCACATGTAAATTAGGGACAGGAATATGAGATATTAATGTGAGATACCAGTGTGTTTAAACTCCCCAGTTGGTAGTTCCCAATAGTGTAGCTAATTTCCTCAGTTGTTTAAATACTTAGGATCATACAGGAGTAAATGTGTTCATTTCTTCACCAACCAACAACGGATTTCATGAAAACGACACCTTCCTAGCCTTTTGAATATATTTCTGTATTTAAAATAGAGGTTTTTCCTAGTACTAGGTTACCCAGCCAAGTTTATTCAAACAAATTAATAACATTAACTGCCTGAAAGAACAAACCCTTCCATGATATTGGCAAGGGTGACTCTGAGGGCCAAGTGTCTTCCTGGGGTCCTTAGCTCCAACCATTGCCTTTTCTTCCCTATATCCACCCTGCTGATTTAAATTCCTCTGTTGCTAATAGTGACAGTGTTGAAATTAATGATTAAACTGTAGCTCCTCATTGAAAGCAGCCCTCAGTGACAGCAGTGGTTCTAGTGACTTCTGTACCCAGCATTTGACCCACCACCTGACACATGGAAGATGTTTAACTCAAGCAGGCACTTGGCACTGACTAGCAGGAGTGAAAAGCCAGTGGACTGGGAGCCAGTTAGACCCATAGGCCTAGACCTGAACCCTGGCTCTGCTGCTCAGCTCTGAGGTGTCTACATGTGATATTCTCCGTAGGTGCTGAGGCCATCCTTACCAATATTACTGCAGGCTAGTTAAGATTACAGGTTATGCCTAGCAGTGCCTGCTAATGGAGCAGTCTGAATAAATGACGCCTTTGTTTTACAAGACTAATAAACTATATCAAGGAAAATAGTAAGCATATCTCAGGAATATAGGTATTGTACTTTGGAATTAGGATCTAGCTTCAATGTAATTTTTCCCAGATTATGGAAGGCTGGATTTCTTCACTAATACTGCATCTTTGTTTATTTTAAGAGACATATTTGGAGAAGAGTGTGTGAGTGTGAAAGATGGCTGTCTGCTAAGTGTCACAGTAGATGGGAAAACAGCTAATGTTAACTTGGACACACGGGTATGTACCTATTTCTACATTTCAAGGCATTTGGGAAATGAAGTGTGGACGAGCATAATCATCAGTTCCCCCACCTGTTTATCTTTGCAGCTTGGCATTTCCTTCCAGCCCAGTGTTCCCCGCACCCTCTTTCTCACAGCTGTACTTGCTTACATTCTGTGCACAGTCTTCTCCGCACTGCTGCACAGGCCCTGCTTCCTGTGCTTACTGCTCCTTTGCCTTTTGCATAATGTTCTTTAATTCACTTCAGCCTTTCTCTAGTTTGTTATCCATTTGATTCTGGATTTTTCTGAGAAACTGCCCCTCTGTTCGAATCAGCAAGACCCATGTAGCTTTTCCACATGGTGACTTTCAGGGTGTGGGGCCTGCTCAGACTACACCAGCACAGCTTATGTGATATTTTCATGAGATGAATAAGTACCGTCCTTGCAGGGTTGCTTTTGAAGAGTCTTGTAATGCAACTAAACAAATAGCTTATTTTTTAAATTTATTTTTTTATTTAGAGAATACATTATTAGTTTTTATAATCAAACTCATACAGATCTTACATATTTAATATGGTGTTTCTAGACCAATAGGCTTTTAATTTCTGTACAATGCCAACTCAACATGGTAAACTGGGATGCTTTTTTCCAAAGTTGACAGTACAGCTAAAATTTCTAAAGATTCAATTTTATGTACACACACACCAGTAATAGCCACCATTAAATATCTTATGTTCTTTAACTATATAGCATGCTTAGAGAAAAACACTACATTTATTTTACCTCCATAGAAAAATAAGCTAAAAATATGAAGAAATTGGCCAATAAACTGAAAGCAAATGTTCAGAACGAGTAAATGAAATACAAATTTGAAGTGTGAACTGTCACTGCTTATTAGAATGGCACCAATGGAAAACAGTGGCATGACCAGCAATGGTGAAAGCACAGGGAAGAATCATCTCAAGACTGGGGGGTGTTGGAAGTGCAAATGAGATAATACATTCTCTCTGCAAGAAAAGCCTTTATCCACAACTCCATTGACTCCATTTAGCCAAAGAAATAATTAGACAAGTGAGCAGAGATATACAATTACGTCTGCTTTAGCATTTTAGAAAATGGCAAGGAGCTAAAAGATATAGCTCAGTGATACATGCTTACCTAGTATGCACAAGGTTTGATCCCCAGTACCATAAATAAACTAAAGAACCAATCTAACTACCTAAGATGAGAGGTAATAAATAAAATAACTTAGAGTACTATACTTACAATAATATATACAGCCATCAAGAATGATGGTGGGGCTGGTGGAGTGGCTCAAGTGGTAGAGCACGTGTCTAGCAAGCATGAAGCCCTGAGTTCAAACCCCAGTACCACCAAAAAGAAAAAAAAAAGATGGTGCACATACATTAATGTGCAGGATTGTCCACTGTACATTGTTGAAGGAGGAAAAAAGTCACAAGACAGCACATATAATAAATTATCCCATTTTTGCTTTAAAAAAGTCACTCAGCACTGTTGGCTCATGCCTGTAATCCTAGCTACCTGGGAGGCAGAGGTCAGGAAGATCAGGTTCAAAGCCAGCCAGGCAAATAGTTCATGAGACCCTATCTCAAAAAAACCCAACACCAAAAAGGGCTGGTGGAGTGGCTTAAGTGGTAGAGTGCCCTGATTTCCAACCCTAGTACTGCCAAAAATATATACATGTAGCTAAAAGTCTAGAGAATTATACACTGAAATGTTAATGGTAGTTATCATTAGTTCATAGAATATGTTTTTTCTTTCCTCAGATTTTTTTAGGGGATTATGTATGTATAGATGCTAGAATTTTTTTGTGGGTGGGGGGAGTTGGGGGAATGGGCGGAACTGGGGTTGGAACTCAGGGCCTCACACTTGCTAGGCAGGGACTCTAGAACTTGAGCCACTCTACCAGTCCCCTAGGATTTTTTTTTTTAAAGAATGTCTAAAACAGCATATAGTGTTTCGTAGTTGAGCTTTAAGTCGTAATTGGAAGGGCTGGGGGTTGGCTCAGGTGATAGTATACCTGCCTAGCAAGCATGAGGCCAAACCTCAGTACTGCCAAAAATATTTTTAACGGTGGAGGAGGGTAGACAATAATAAGATTACTGGCTTAGTTCAAGTTTAAACCAAATGTTGAGTAGTTACCACATCTATTGCTTGATAAATAATTTATGTTGCACAGAGTAACTTCCTAGGAGTATCTATCATTTACTGAGTTACTTACTTTTAAGTAGATGTAGTTACTGGACTTGGTTATCACCCTCTCCCCGTTGATCTCTAACTGGCCCCAGTCACTGTGTCCCCAGCAAGGGCCACAGGTGTCGGTGTCAGTGATTCTGCTTCCTGGTAGTTGGCTGCCAGAGCCTTACAGGAGTTCATCCGCATTGTAACGGCAGCCTCTGAAGTTGAAAGGAGGTTTGTGCTTTCACTTTCAGACCGTGGAGTGTGAAGAAGGAAGTGAAGACGATGAATCCCTCCGGGAAATGGTGGAACTGGCTGCACAAAGACTGTATGAGGCCCTTACCCCAGTTTATTGACCACCTGTGTTGCTCTACATGTTAAAACTTTTTAAAATGCTGACTCTACTTCTGTTACTTCAAATAAAATACCTTCCTTTATCTGGGTAACCTGTTTGCTTCTGACATCAGATGGCAACAGCTTTCCATCTAATTTGTCCATTATTCTAGAACTACTAAATGAAGTGCCCATTATTTTAGACCTTTCTGAATCTGCCTCCAGGCCTACATGGATGTAGCTCCCACTGCAACCTTCTGAGGTGTGCACCCAGCAGCTGAGTCAGAATTTCTCTTACTGTACTAATTAAGGAAAGGAAACACAGCGGTCCTATTTTCATAGCCACATGTTAAATGTGAATGCAAATAATTAAGGTTATCACTTAAAAGTTTAAAGCCCCTTTGTTTCTTCCCTCCTGACATTTTCCAGATCCCTTCACTTAGTTTGTAAAATTGTGGCTTTCAGGACTCACTTTCTTTGTACAGAATCCACACATTCAGTTTAGGAGCAGTCAGGGTTTTTATGACTCAGGTATGCTCAAACAACAGTTGTTGGATTAATTCTCATGTATGAGTTCATTAGTATTTAAGTTCATGTCTTTCTGACTTGAATTAGCCGGACACAGGCGTGTCCCAGCGGAGGGGGCAGCTGCGCTCTGCTAGGGCTGCTTTAGCTTCTACTTGAGAGAAATTGGCCAGATCGTGACCTTTCCCCAGGGAACAAACCAGTCCGTGGAGCCCTGTAGCACCTTCCCAGCCAGGCATCACCTCTAATGAGCACCCTCAACCACTCCTTCTCTGGCTTAAAAGAAAGTGCGAAAATAGAAATCTGTGAAATAGCCTGTTTGCCACTGCCTTTGGTCTAGGGCTCATCTTTAGTGTCAGGTAAGAGTTTATTTAATAAAGTTAAACATTGAGTTGCAAACGCGCGTGCTGTTTCTGACACTTGTCATACCGACTATCCAAGAAGGGCGTGTCCCTTCCCCGGTGCCTCCGCTGAGGGACGCGATTCGGGCAGCGAGGCTCGAAATGGCTCCCGGATCTGCCCGTCCATCTCCGCCATCTCCACCTGCGTCCCTCAGGACTCGCGTCCGAGTCCCCAAAGGCAGGCCTGCAGCGCGGCTGTGCACCCCCAGCCCTGCCCTGGCCGCCCCCGCAGACTTGGAGGACACTGCACCACCGCCGCCACCTTCCTCGCGCGGCCGGCCCGGGACGTCCGACACGCGACAGGCTGCACGAGGCTCCGGGCGCACCCGCTGCCATTCGCTAAGGCGCGTCCCGGGCGGCGCGAGCTTCGTCCCCTCGGCGTCTGCGGGGGCGGGGAGCTGGCCCGGTCCCACCCCAGAGGCCGAGCTTTTAGTAAAATAAACACGAGGGCTTCAGGAGACCGCAGCTGTCGCACGTCAAGAGTGACTGCGGGGACCCCACCGGAGGGCGTGGAGCTCAGCGGCTCGGCCCCGCCCACCGGCCCGGGTCCCGGCCCTGGCCCCGCCCCTCCCGCTCGCCCTCCCGGATATCCGGCGCGGTGCCGCTACTCGGCCGGCGGAGCTATGGCGCTGCCCGAGGCGCTCGCCTGTGGGCGCTCTGTGCACTGGCCTCGCGTGGTGCTTTTCGGAGACTCCATCACCCAGGTACCGCCGACCGCTCCCCCCTCAAGGCTGAGGAGGCGGGGTGCCCCCGTGTCCTCCGCGGCGCCCGGGCGCGGTTCCCCCTTGTCCCGGCGCGCCGCTTGTGGGGCCGCGCTGTCCCTTGAGGGTCGGGCGTCGCCCCTTTGTCTCGGCGAAATGCAGGGTGAAGTTCCGCTGTCCCCCCCTCCTGCCACTTCCCTGAGGGACATTGTGATAACCTGACACCGGGGAGCGCATCTTTTTCAACCTGGCGGTCGCCGCCCGATGGCGCCCAGGCGGAACAGCGCCCGGGGTCCCCCGAGAGGCCGCTCCGGCCGCCGCCCACTCCCGCACTGCGCGGTTCTGCCCAGGCAGAGCCGGACCCGGGCAGCACGCGACTGATGTTGAAAATGAAATGCCAGGGGCTGGGGCGTGGCCCAGAGTCGAATTCCCACTCCAGTACCGCAAAAAAGAGTAATAGAAAGAGAGTCTGATCTGCGATCACTTCAGCGCACGGTGAGGACAGACTCCCCCAAATACGTTCCCTTGCTGTGCTTTTCTTTCTGCGAACACTCACACATGCTTTTCCAAACCTGTCTGTGTTCGCAACAATTGGTGGCATTGTCCGTAGGTATCCGAAGCAGTAAGAGGTTGTTAAGTTCCATGTGAACAGATGTTTCCAGCCGGGCCCGGTGGTTTACGCATGGAATCCCGGCTACTGGGGCAGAGATCAGGATCCCGGCTGGCCTGAGCAACTACAGAATAGCTCAAGGTGCGGGCCCTGAATTCAAGCCCCAGTACTGCCAAAGAAAAGAAAAGGGTCACCCTGAGCCCGCTGCTACTTTGAGATCTGGATAGCGGTTGGAGGCCAGCCCAGGTAAATAGTTTGTGAGACCCCCATCTCCAAAATAACAAGAGCAAAGTGGGCTAGAGGTGTGGCTCAGGCCACATCTGCTTTGCAAGTGCACTTAGGTTCAAACTCCAGTTCCACCAAAAAAAGTAATGTTCACTGGACATAGGTGATTTTTTTTTTTTTTATCTTTTGCACATAGATTTTTAACTAGGTTTTCTAGATAGCAAATGTCACTAATTAGGTCTGAGAAAAATGAGGATATCTGACTCAAATCCAGTCAATAAAGAAAAATGGCCCTTGGTTCCAGAGTGCTGCCATGCAAAGCCACCATAAGCCCCCAGGTGATGAAGAGCAAGAAGTCAGGGAGTAAAGCAAACTAAAGGGAGTTGCTGACCAAAGTTTCCCAGATTAAACATTCTGGGTTCTGGCTGTGTTGACAAGTAGTAATGGGCTTTTTTTTCTTCAGTTTTCTTTTCAGAAGGGTGGATGGGGAGCATCACTGGCTGACAGTCTGGTCAGGTGAGAAACTTTCTAGATAGATAATTAATATTTACTGATGGAAAATGTCCTCCTACATTGAATTCCTTGTTTATCTTTGCTTGCCTTTCTTAATCACTGTATGTTCTGGGAAGGAACAAAGTAAAGGCAGGCAGGCAGTGTTCTGCAAAAAGGAGTGTAACACATGTGAAATCAAACCCAAAAGTGTGGATGGATCCATGGCTGAGGCAAGAGGATACCAAGTTTGAGGCCAGCCTGGGATACATAGTAAGACCCTGCCTCAAAAAAATATAGATCCAAAAAATATGGCTATTTGCCATCTAAAGATAACCAGTTTGGTCGGGCGCAGGTAACTCATGCCTATAGTCCTAGCTACTTGGGAGACACAGATCAGGAGGATTGTGGTTTGAAACTAGCCTGGGGAAATAGTTTTGTGGGACCCCCATCTCAAAAATGTTCAACACAACAGCTGGCAGAGTGGCTCAAGTGGTAGAGTGCCTGCCTAGCATGAGGTTCGCTTTCAGTTTTTATACCGGTTGTGACTTTAATGATTAGTGAGGTGTTTTATTTATATAAATCTATATATATATTTATTTATATATAAAGAAAAACATATTCCAAACTCAAGAGTTGTATTCATTTTGGACAGAATGGCATGCTGAGTTCATGTTCTTCCAGACAGCAGGTCCCTGTGAGAGCTAGGAAGCTATGTGGGGAGCAAAGTTGCTCACAAGAACCCTGAGTGTGGAATGGCACTGGAGCCGTCTCCATTACAGGACCAGGACCATTCTCATCCACCCTCCTTTTTATTTATTCATTTTGTTTTAAAGACAAGGTCTTGCTGTGTAGCCCAGGCTGACCTCAAACTTTTGATCCTTAGCCTCCCTGGTGCTGGAATTTGAGTTGTATACCACATTGGGGTTGGCTTTTGAAAGCTGATTTTTGAGATTTTTGGAAGGTGAGGCAGTACTAGGTGATAAGGAACCCCAGAGAAAGATCAAAGCTGGGGAAAGAACCAAAGACGAGTAAAGCCTTCCCCTTAGCCGGGTCCTGAATCCAGCTATCTTGTTAGAAACTCTGGATGGCCTTCGTCCACAGCTGTGCTGACATGATTACTGTAACCTTGAACAGCTTAACTGCCAAGTCTGCTTCTGCACTCCCTGCTTGCTTGCTGCTGCTTTTCTCAGTATAAATGAGAAAAGCAAAATGGCCTGCGCCATTTTGGAGATATCCAGGTGCTAGTCCGCTAGTGTAATAAATCTTCCTTTCCTCCAGCCACCTGGGTTTGAGTCTTATTCTTGCTGGTCAGTCATACTTTCTGTACCGTTCCTGCAACATAGGGAATTGAACTCAGAGCCTCTACCATTTGAACTACCCCCAGCTCTTTTGCTTTTTGTTTTTCAGATAGGGTCTCACTTTTTATCTGGACTGGCCTTGAACCTTGGAGTACCTGGGATCACAGGCAGCCCGGCCAGGGCAGGCTTGTTGTTTGCCTTTAAAGGTGTACTGTTGCCTATTGTCTCTTATAAAACCTCTAATTTGCATATTTCTCTGGAAAGCAGTCTCACTGAGAGAGCCTGAATGTTTTGGAAGATATCTGTAGTTGTTATCCTTTTCCCATCTTTATCTGACTTAAATACCTGTTGTTACCTATGGATTTATATGAAAGTCTTTGTTAATTTTCTGGTCTCTTTAGCTGTGTGAGTGACTTAGATACTACTGATTATTTATTCCAGAAAAATTCCGATACACTTCCCTTTCTGAATAGAATCTAAAGTTTCAACCCTGGATGTCACTAGCACTTTTTTTCTGATCTTGATTCCCAGACAGACTTTTATGACTTTTTTATTTAAGACTATCTCTAATGGCTGCCACTGATTTTGAGCTTCGTTATCTGGGTGGCCACTACACGCAGTCTTCCTTCTCCCTGGCAGATGGGGTATGACGGGAAGTCGGGTCAGTACCTCCCTGGAGTCAAGGATGGAAAGATTGGGCACAACTCCTGTAACTCAGACCTCAAAGGTGTCTTTCCAGACACAAGTGTCCTAGGAAGCTCTTTTCCCCTGTTTTGGTGCTAGGGATTGAACCCAGGGCCTCCTGCATGCTAAGCGCATGTTCCACCAACCAAGCCTTTGTTTTTAAGGGCGGCAGTGACCAAGTCATTAGATGTAACTCAGGCTCACCTTGTTAAAATTCGAGAGAACTCAACTTTAAAGTATTTCGACTGTAGTCTAAAACTCAGAAGCTCACTTAGAAAGAAATATGGCAGAATTTTCTTCTTGAAATGTACAGTGCTGCCTGAGAGCTTTGAGAGTAAGGATGATAAAAGGAGCCCCTTCCTGCTGCTTTCTTTGGAGTCTGTTGCCTGGCACTGTCACCTGCTGCCCAAGTTTCTCTGCTTAGTTGCTTATGTGTAAGAATTTGAACCAGTCAACCATGGTGACCATTGATTTGCTAATAGTAAGTAGAATCCTAAGGTTTCATTTTATTTAAAAAAAAACTTTAGTTTTGCTCTTTTGAGACAGGGTCTCACTATGTAGTCCAAGCTTGTCTCCTGAGTGCTGCCTCAGCCTCCTGAGTGCTGGGATTACAGGTCTATGCTACTATACCTGGCATAAACTGCCTTTTCATTATAGGCAACATTAAGCATCTATAAAAACAAACATTGAGACCATCCATCCTTCCCACCATGGATTATTCTGAAGAAGTCCTAGATCACATCACATTACCAAGATTACTGAAAAAAACGAAAACCCTGAGCCCCTCTTAGATGACTGGTATCCTCTAAGGTGTTATAAAACATGTTGTTTAGTGTAATCCTCAACTTGGGTTAACCTTCCTTTACATGTGAGGAAGGAGCATGCCCAGAATCACACCAGCTAGGATGGATCTGGTATGTAAACCCAGGCAACCTGGCTCAAGAGCCATTGTACCATACAATACTACGAATCAGACTGTTTTTAGTTCCTGGGCAGGGGTGGGGGGAAGGCGGGGAGGACAGGGGTAGAGATCAGGAGTATCGTGGTTCAAAGCCAGCCTGGACAGATAGTTCCCAAGACCCTATATCAAAAATACTCAACAGAAAAAAAGGCCAGTGGAGTTAGAGTGCATGCCTCACAAGTGTAAGGCCCTGAGTTCAAACTCTAGTACTGCCAAAAAAAAAAAAAAAAAAAAAAACAAAAAGTCTGTTAATGAACTGGTTTAAATACAACTAAAACACTAAAATTACTGAATCAAGACCAAAAATCTCAAAACCATTCTATACCTTTTCCCCAAGCTGAACCACTGAGTTTCTACCTGTTACTGACTTTCTGAGACACTGTGCTTGCTCAGGTTAACATCCGTTTGGTATAAACTCCATTTTAGAAGAATTTCCTGTGCCACCAGCCCTAAATCAGCTCCCTCTAATTGATACCCTCTTGTTGAGGAGGATGGTGGATTTCATATGACCGCAGATGAAGTCTTGGAGCGACTTCAGGGAGAGTCGCTGCTTCAGCTATGTCCTTGGCCTCATCAAAGCCAGGGCGGGCTTTGATGAAAGGAAGCCCACAGAGCACACCTTTACTGATGGTTGGCCCTCAGTTCATCTTTTTAAAAATTTGCGTTTCAGAAAATGTGATGTTTTGAATCGTGGATTTTCGGGTTACAATACCAGATGGGCCAAAATTATCCTTCCAAGATTAATCAGGATGGGGAGCAGTTTGGACAGCCCAGTGGCAGTTACAATTTTCTTTGGTGCCAATGATAGTGCACTAAAAGGTAAGGGCATTTTTGTGTTTTTCCAGCTTATTTTTACCATTTTTATGTTACATTGTGCTTAAATTTGCATACTTTTTTTTTAACTGTTAGAAAATTTTGCCAAACCTACAAGTTCCTAAAGTTTATTTCTTCTTTGATGTGGGTAGGTTTTATTCCCAACTCATTTACTACATGTCTTAGTTGTGAGCAGACATGATTGGGACACTTTAATGTTGTACCCTATTTCTAATGTTTTCTCTTCAGTTGATAGCAGAGGGTTCACCCCTGCAGTCTGTGTCACACTGAGTAGAAAGGAGCAGTAGGGCAGCAGCCACCCTGGCCATGTGGAGGCTTAGATGCGGGATGACAAGCAGGACTGGGCAAGAAGGGTGGTTCTCTCCTACCTGCTGGACCTGGATTAAAGGTCACTATAGACAGTCCTCCCCCCTTTCCACTCCTGGAAGGAGATCCATCTGCAAGGTCCACAGCAGAGAAAAATCAGCCTTTGTTTTGGGAAGTCAGATAGCTTTCAGATTCGTCTTTTGCCTCCCCCCCACACACACCCTTTGTGTCCCAGAGGTGGTATGGTCTCCTACTTAAGAGGCACACTGTGGGGGACATCGCAGGTGTGGCTGAAGATAAAGAACCACTGCCAACTGCAGTATGAGGAATCCTTGTTGCCTAGGAGAGAGATTATGTAAATTACAGGTGCTAGCAGAGACTGTTAGCTGACTATTTGGGGGAAAGTTAAATAAATGTTCACTGTACATTTTACACCAAAAACCATAAGAAAACTGAAAAATTTAAGGTGAATTTTTATCAAATATAGGACAAGGATAAAAACTTTGAGCACAAAGCAGTGAGGAAGGTGTAAAGGAAAAACTGATGCTGTTTTTTCTTAAAGTATACATATTTACATAGAATACCAGTCAGGAGTGCAGCCAAATACCAGTAGTGGTCTTCTAGGTGGCAGAACCATAGGTGACATTGTTTTTGTCACACTTGCATGTGGTTTGTACAGGGTCTTTAGAGAGAGCCTTGTCACACTGATGTGCCTGCCTCACTAGAAGCAGCTTCTGCAGTAAGCACTGCCTTTGTCTGCTGAGTCCTGCTCTGTGGAAGGTATCTACTCTGCCTGCTTTATACACTTGGCTAATTTTCACAGCCACCCTAGGGGGACACCTATTCTCATTTTACCAATGAGGAAACTGAGGTACAGAAAGGTCAAGTAGTCATTCAAAGATATGTGACTAGTTAGTGACAAAGTCAGGGTTAGAAGGGGGCCATCCTGCTCCACAGCCTTCAAATTCAGCCTAGTTGGTAACAGTGGAGACACTAGAGAAGGAGAGGCCTCAGTGCTTAAAATGCACTAGCAAAGCCTTTGGGGTCTGCTTTATGAGGAACTGTGTATTTTAATTCTTTTAAGAGGAAGAGGAAACCTTGTTTTGGTGTAACAGTTCCCCAATGACATCATGAAATTGTATACATGTGCAAAAGTGTATTCACTTTTTTATTTTGGGGGAGGGGGGGTGGAGGTGCTGGCGACCAAACCCAGGGTCTTTCTTAGGCTTGCTAGGCAAACACTCTGCCATTGAGCTAAATCTCCAACCCCAAAAGTGAATTCACCTTAATCATTGTCACTGTAACAAAAACACATTTGGGCTGAAGTATTTGTGTCCTTGACAGCTGAGAATCCCAAGCAGCACATCCCCCTGGCTGAGTATGTCTCAAACTTGAAGAGCATGGTGCGGTACCTGCGGTCTGTGGGCATCCCCCAGGATCGAGTCATTCTCATCACTCCTCCCCCGCTTTGTGAGTCAGCCTGGGAGGAGGAGTGCCTCATACAAGGTAACTGAATCACACCTACTGCATCAGACCTGGACATGCTGGGCACTGGTGCCTCCAGCCTCTAATTCGGACTACTCAGGAGGCAGAGAGCAGGAGGACAGCGGTTCAGACCCAACCCAGGCAATAGTTCCACAAGACCCAATCTCGAAAAAAACTCTTCACAAAAATGGGCTGGTGGAGTGGCTCAAGGTATAAGCCTTGAGAGATCAAGGCCCCCAGTACTGAAAAAAAAAAAACCCTGGATGTGAATGCTTGGAGAACATCAATAGGCCAGGAATGTGATCCTTCCTGTGGGCCCCAGTTTCTTAGAGGGTCTGTAAACCCTTCTCAGTCTATTTTCAGTCAACTGAAGTGAAAACAAAAAAGTACAGCATCCATTGCATCTTACTGAAGGACTTTTTTGACAGAGGAAAGGGATTCTGGCTTTGGATGAGTTAGGAAGGAAGCACTGGCCTGGCATTTGCTGACCTTTATAGTTGCCAGGCTCCAAGAAGCATGTGAAGCCCACTGACAACTGTGCAGAGAAGCTGGCAGAAGGGCTGCAGTGCTCTGGATAGTGTTCATACTGACACTGGGGTGCCCTGGACTCTTAAGTCCACATTTGGGGTGTTTTTCCTGATCCCTGGCATGGGAAGGAGATACCTGCAGCCGTGAGCTTTGTTAGGAGAGACAACCCTTTCTCTGCCTGCCTGGGAGATTCTTCCCTTTTTTGCCTGTTCTTCATTTGGAGATAAGTCATAGTAGTAAAATCTCTTCACTTTTCCTTCTTTTTTTCCCTTGCTTTTGTCTCACTTGAGTAAAATAGTTTTCTCATGCTGACACGTTTTACAGGAACTAAGGAGAACAGGTTATTCTAGGATGAGGTGGCTTTTCAACACAGGTCAGCTGTCAGCAGTAACAAAGTTCATTCTATTCCCTCTCAAACACAGAGCCTGGGCCAGCCTGTATAGGTCTTCTGTACCCCATATCCAGTTGCCACTTCCTCATGTTTTCTCTTCAATAGCACTTCCATGAGTCCCTGGGCTCCACCAGCTCTCACTGCACTGGTCTGCACTCCTGCCAGCAGCCTCTTAAGCTGCTCCCCGAGCTCCAGCTCTGCCTCCCAGCCTGGCTCTTACCTTCCAGATGGGTGGGTTGGTAGAGGGTGATGCAGCATGTGCTTGATTAATTTGCACTCTGCAGAAGGTACTTTGCATGAGTTTACTCTTTTAATGGGTTCACCATACCTGTGAACCCACATAAATGAAGAAAGCTTCAGGACTGTTAAGTGTGTTGTCCATAGTCACACAACTATGTGGTAGCAATTTCTAGGTCTCTGTCCCATCTACAGACAACTTTCTACAGTACTGCAGTGTCTTCTTATTACATATAAAAAACTAGGGCTCTCAGCACAGCCTTCACCTTCCATGGCCTGGCACTTCTTTCTTATCATGGCCCTTACTAGCTCAGCCAACTCCCCCATGGCCTGCTCTTCAGTCTGGTAGCCCTGACCCCTGGGCCTTTTCTGCTCTGAAGTTTGGTTCACTGCATCCTCCAGAATGATCCCTCTGCTCTCCAGAAGGCTCCCTGTTTTTCCAACTGTACTTCGTCCTTGGCTGCATAGAGCAATGCATGTGAGTAACCTGTGAGGCCACTGTGGTAGTTCCCAAACCCCAGCTGGGGCCAGCACTTAGAAACTTTCCAGGTCAGTACAGTTTGCACAAGGAATAGCACTTGGGTTTGTCAATTGCCATCTGGATTTCCTCATTCTCCAATAGGTTGCAAATTAAATCGCTTGAACTCCGTTGTTGGTGAATATGCCAATGCCTGTGTACAAGTGGCCCAAGACTGTGGGACTGATGTCCTTGACCTGTGGAACCTGATGCAGAAGGACAGCCAGGTACAGTGACTGCTCAGACCCCTCAGGGGGAGTGGGATCACACAGAAGCAAGCCAGGTGTGCACAGCTTGCCTGGAACAGCTCTGCTAGGTAAGATAACCATGCCTTCCAGGTAGAGCACACAGGCGGCAGAGGAGAGGGCCGATGGAGTGCCAGGAACTGATTCAGCCGATTCCTCAGCTAGGAGTTAGCACAGAGCAGCGTGAATGGCCAAGTTCCTTTATACAAGTTAAAACTTAAAAGGCAAAAGAATGAATTCAAGTAAAATATGATAGTCACTAATAAAATTCACTGTTTAAGATACGTAATTCTAATTGAATTGGTCTTGTCTTAAAGCCTGAAAACCCATTTACAAATATAAAAGGTAAAAAGCTAGTTTCAATGCAGAATGGTGCAGCCACACAGGAAGGCAGCTGAATAATTCTTCACACAGTTAACACAACGCTGACAGAGACTCAGCAATCTACTTCTCAGTATTTACCCTAGAGAAATGAAAAATGTTCCCAGAAATCCAGTACATTACTATAGCTGCATTTGTAAGTGCCTGAGCCTAGAAGCAACCTTCACATCCTTCTGTGGGTGAGTGGATAAACTGGTACACTATAAAGAATACTAATGAGCAGTAAGGAGGCAGGAAATGCTGATGCACACACCAATTTGGATGAACCCCAGAGACACTTCTCTGAAGGAATGAAGTTGGTCTCTAAAGGTCACCTTTGTATAGATGGAACCATCTATGTATCTCAGAAAGACACTCTGGAGGTTAGAGTGGAGAAGGTAAGACAAAATTCAGGTTCTACACCGATCCTGATGAACTATGGGGAAGGGATTATGAGAAGCCTATGAGAACTTGTCATAAGCACAGCTGTGCCCAGTAATCAGCAAGCTGAGTTTGGCATGGCCTGGCCACAGAAGAGAGCTAAGAGCAAAATGTAGCACAGCTGCTTTTCCTACATTGTGTTGAACAAAGTAGGAATGCAGGTTTTTCTTGTTACAGTGTCATGCCTCTCCCCGAGAACTGTTGGTTCACCTTCTTGTTTTCCACTGGATATAAAAGACTCACTGAAGGAGGACACAGGTTTTTTGGATGAGGGATTTATCAGTTGATTGGCAGGCTTGTGAGAATATTGCAGCAGCTGCTGCTGAGTTATGCTAGAGATTAGAGGAAACGTGGGACAGTGCAAGTCTGAGCACCGAGACTTTAAGCATCATGCTAATGCAGTTTTTAGACGCGGCTGCTGTTGTGTGTCTGCAGGTATGAGCACCGAGACTTTAAAGAGAACATGGGACAGTGCAAGACTGAGGGCCAAGACTTTAAGAGAGATTAAAGAAAACATAGGACAGAGCGAATCTAAGAAAAGAGACTTTAAAGAATAGACGAGAAGCAAGGTTTTAAAGAATTGTAAAGGAGTAAGGCCTTACAGAATAGAGAATAACAAACAGAAAAGAAGTAATGAGGCTGTTGCGGGTCTCCATCTGAGCGCCCAACACACCTGACCCCAGCTTTGTGCATGTTTGTCTATCGTGTGTCCTTTCTGCAGCTCCCTTTCCCCCAAGTTAGGTCAGGAGAACAAGGGAGCGAGAGAAAGCTCACTCTAATGAACAGCATAGAGAAGTGTACGCAGACACAGGTTTTTTTTTTTTTTTTCTTTCATTTTCTGTTTTCACTCTTTCTTTAGTAAAGGGCTTGTTCCTCAGGGTACTTAAAAGGCCATTTCCTAATTTGGGTACAGTGGCACATACCAATAATTTCAGCACCAGCTACTTGGGAAACAGAGATCAGGAGGCTTATGGTTCAAGGGTAGCCTGAGCAAAAGATTTAGGAAGACTTCATCTCATAAAACAAGCCAGGCATAGTCAAGCCTGTGATCCCAGCTACATGGGAGGCAGAGATATGATTGAGGTCCGAGGCCGTCGAGGGCAAAAAAGCAGAAGACCCTATTTAAAAGTGTAAAGCCAAAAGCCTGGAGGCATGACTGAAGTGGTAGAGCACCTGCAAAGTTCAAATCCTGGTGCTGTCAAAAACAAACAAAAAACCCATGAATCCACTCAAGATGTTTGAAGAAGTTGTGATACTAGAGGAAAGGACTCTTAAAAGTCCTGAGCTGGTTATGCTCACAAGTCTTTTTAATTTAACATTATTGAGGGCATCTTAGCAGCCATCTAATCCAGAACCATCTGGATGAGAAAGCCCAGGCCTAGGGAGATGAGCCACCAGAATCTGAATTCCTGGTCTCTGAAAGGCTTGTAGCTAGAATGACACCTCACTTCTAATAGGGGCAGCAGAAATGAGAAATGGCTCTGCTTGTGAGTACTCGTGAGCTGAGAAGAGTGGTAGAGGGATTCAGACTCAGAGTCCAGCAATTCTTGTTCTAGGCTGGATGGTACAAGTTTTTTTCCGCCCAAAGACTTGCGTAAGACTCAGAATATTGATTTACTAGGGCCTCCTGTCAGTCACCCATTAAGCCTTTCATCTGACACGACTAAGAAGACCCTGAACGCTGTCCCAGCTCAGACACATAATGGTATGTGATTTCATGAAGCTCACATCTGCAAGAAACCACAGCTTGAGCAAGAGTTTAATGTGCTGAAGCACCTGTGCAGTCAGCATGTCGATGCTGCTGTGGTCTGAGACAGCTCTGATGAGCCTGGAAGGGGGCTAGGGAGCGAGAAGGTGCTACACATCTCTTACATGACTCCTCTCCCTTACAGGACTTCTCATCCTACTTATCAGATGGACTACATCTATCACCAAAAGGAAATGAGTTTTTGTTTTCACATCTCTGGCCTCTGATAGAGAAAAAGGTGTCTTTTCTGCCTTTGCTCCTTCCTTACTGGAAAGATGTAGCAGAAGCAAAACCTGAACTGAGTCTGCTGGGAGATGGAGACCATTAGTCAACCCCAGAAAACCCAAGTTTGGTTGTTAATTACAGAACTTGAAGTTGCTTATACACAGAGATTCCAAGGAGGATAACTGAAGAATTTAAGCTTAAACCTTTGCTCATGACCCTAGATCAAAAACCGCTAATATTTGCTACCAATATTAATAAAAGTTTCAGAATTTTCAGGGAAGTGTTGTACCTGGTACATTCTGTTTTTGATAGTATTTATTGACTGATACAGTTATCATCAATGCCACAGCTACATAATATACCCTGAGCAGTTTGTTAATCCTAAATGGCAAAAAAGGTAAAGACAGTTTTGTTTTTTTTTTTTAAAAAAGTCACAATTTTATAAAAAAAAACCGCTTTCTTACATTCTGCTAAGAACTGTTTCACTCTCATACATGCACCCACACACCCCATTCACCTTATATCAAATTCTAAAAGTAAGAATATCATAACTACTTAAAAGATAGCAAATACCATAAGGTACAAGTTCAAGTATTAGTGTAACAAGGATTTGCGTAACAAATATCCTTAGAGGGGAAAAAAAGGCACAGGTTTGGTTAATTGCCCTGAAAGTTTACAAGTTACCTTGGTTAAAATGTGTTGGCTGCTGAGCACATTTCCATTCGCAGGAGAAAAGAAGCTCTTAACTAGATTTTACAGAATTCAGGCTAATGATTTTTATCCTTCCCACAGTAGATGCAGACCATCCAGAATCCTGAAGCACTAAAGCAAGAAGTCATTTCAGAACCTACTTTGTGGGTCAATAAGAAGGGTTTACGAAGGGTCAGTTCTTACGGGGCTGGTCCCCAGGCCATAGCTGGCAGTACCTTCCTTCACTCCTGGCTAGCTCAGCACACTTGGGCCTGTCACACCTACTCTAGTGAAAAGTCTCTCTAACACCCTCTTAACCTATTCATGTTCAAAACATGCAGCCATGTTCTTTTGGATATTTTTCAGTAGTTTAGGGTTTTGGGGGGAAGCATGGCAAACAATATTAGGGGTACATGAAGACACTTTTATAAAACAGAAAAACCCACCCAGAAAATTGGGGACCTGAACAGTTGACAGGAGAGCTATAAATCCAACTGGCTGTTCCTTGCAAAGCTCATCACAAGCTAGACTTTCAGTCCTAGAAAGTACTACCCTTAGGACTATGAGGGGCCATATTAACCCAAACTGTTTGCATGTATGTACAACTCTCCTGTTTGTGAAAAGCTCTGTGTAACACCTGGAAACACCCACATTTTGGATGACATGCATCTCCTTTGCCTTTACTTGAAGGCAAAAAAATGTGTTCCAGTTGTCCTGGCAGACAGCTGGCAAATGCCTCTTTATAGTCGGGATCATTACAGTGTATCTAGCTGTATTTTCTGTTTTTCTGCACCACAGGTCAAAGAATATTTAAAGATCAAAAAAAGCTAAAATCTGAAAGCCTCAAAATAAGCCAAATTCACCTTACCTCTTCAAAAAGAAAAGGGCTTAACCACATAGCACAGCCTATAAGGAAGCTCAAACACATGACCAGCATCTGCTGTTAAGTCACTTCCTCATTCCTCCCAGATCTTCACAAAATAATATGCTGTGATTTGAGGTCAATTCTATAAAAATATTCTGTGCATGTAAGCCAGAGCTAAGGCCATGGATCCCTACACTAGCACTCTGTCTCTTTGCTGTCCACACGGTTCTGACGCTGTAGCTTGAAGGAGGCAGCTTTTTCGCTCCTGGTAACTGGGTGGTCCGTGAGATCCTCAAAGGACTTTGCGGCTGTGCTGCTGTTGGGGAAGGGGTCCTTCTCAAAGCCATCCTCATCCACATGTGAGTCTGTACTAGGGTCTTCCTGGATGGTGTCCATTCTCTGGTGGTCTAGCTTTGGAGCCGCAGACACTGGTGGCAACAAGGGGGCTGGTTGCAGGCGGCCAGGAGTCTGGGGTGCAGGAAAGGGCTTGATAATGCGAACTGATGCTGAATCCATGCTGCTTAGCATTTCAACGTTCTGGAAAAACGTGGTTCAATGGATAGAAATTAAAAAGCAAATCAGAGGTCCTCAAGCTCCAACTTACTACCAAGTAGCCCTGTGCTGTGGATGGAAACTATGATCCCTGGTGTTGAGCAAAGTGCTAGGTGAGGCTTAACATGAGTTCAGATACTTTCAATTTCTACAACTTGCCATTTGAGGACCCCAAAGAGAACTCAAGCAAATGAAGATCAGTGACATGATAGGATCTCCAAACAGCTCATTAATGCACTGCTTAGTTACTCCTTCCAGCTGTGGGATAGGGAGCATGGGCGCCTCTCCTGACTCTCCATCCATCCAACTATTGCAAGTATGTCACCATCATTGTCAAAGAGCATCCACTCTAACATAGTCCCTTCCTGCTGCAACAGGACCTCCCACCAGCCCGACAGGGCTCAGCTGTGAACGCTGAGAGCTCCTCCTGGGTCTCAGCAAGGCCTTTGCTTAATGGGGTATCAGCATGCAACAGGAAACTTTTTCTTCCATCTGGTATACTTACACTTGGATTGAACAGAGACAGAGATTCATACTGCTTATCTAATTTCTTATCCTAGAAAGAAATGAATAGTAAGTAAAAAGGCCATTCTTACTGAAAAAATTCAGCAAATAAGTACTCTTTCCTCTGCCTACTACTAAAATTATGACGAACTTAGAACTTGAATTATAGAAAGTGGCAGCAGGGGGACTGACAGTGGCTCAGTGCTAGAGCACTTGCCCAGTGCACTTGAGGTCCTGGGTTCCATCCTAGCACCAGAAAAAAAAAAAAAGAAAAAGATAAAACTATCACCAGATTTACTAGAAGAAAATGCACTTTTTACACAGCTGTACACTTGTGCCACCAGACTGAAATGTTTGCTTTGCGATAATACTGGTATTAATATAGAAAGAGGCAGGATTTAAGTTCTATTTTTCTGAGCGGTTTCTTGCCCTGTGGGAAAGAGACTAACAAGGGTTAAGACTCTGCTAAGAAAAAGTTTTATCTTTTCCAAAGATTTTGGCTAAGAGTTACTTAAGATTAGTGACTTACCACACAGTGGACAAGAATGCTAAAGGGAATCCAAAATATCAAGGAGAAAACCAGGACAGATCCAACGATGTTGTCTGCTAAAAACTTCCCTGTGAGCAATTCCAAACAGTGAGCATCCTGATCGACAACGTTACAAATATACAATGAACTGCTATTGAGTGTTATGTATAGACACTGCTGCTGAAGCAGTACCGAGAGTGGTGTCTGCCTCCCGCACCAAACCAGCCCATTTATCACACCACACCCTATTATACAAGCAGTCCTGGTGTGTTTGGGGATGAGGAGACTGCAGTGTTCTACCTGTCCCCTGGACAACTGTGCCAACAGACCAGACAAAAGAATGCCTCTTCTGGTAATGACTAAAGAAGACAATGTTTTTCACCTCTGAATATCTCTTTCTAGTCTAATAAACCACTTTGCTACTCTGAAAATAAAGAAATAAAAATAGAAGGCAATGCTTTTAGCTACCTACAGTGGTGCACACCTGTGATCCTGCTACTTGGTAGGCAGAGGCAGAATCAACTCAAGTTGGTTTGTTTTTTTTTGTTGGTGGGACTGGGGTTTGAATTCAGGGCTTTGTGCTTGTAAGGAGGAACTCAAGTTTGACTGCAAAGTTAGTAAGACCCTATCTCAAAAATAAAATACAACGGGGCTAGAGGTGTGGTTCAAGTGGTAGAGCACTTGACTAGCGTGCATGAGGTTCTTAGAGAAAGGAAATGTTTTTATTAGCTAGATACCATTTTTTGACTAAACTCTACATCAGGAACTCCTGAGAACATACATCCCTTGCTTCTTCAAAATCTGAGGCTCACTTGTAAATAACTCTTACATCAAACCGGACTCAGATTCACAGTCTACAGGACTGAACCATGCCCCTTTTTACTAAGTATTTTCCTCTGCATCACAGGGACAGACCTATAGTGAGCCTTCCGTCCTAGTCAACAAAGTTGTTTCATAACAAAGTGGTGACTATTTCCATTCTTGGGGGGGGGTGGAGTGGGGGAACACATGGGGATTAAAGTCAGGGCCTCACACTTGCCAGGCATGCACTCTACTTGAACTACGGTCCAATCTTTTCACTTCTTTGTTTTTCAGATAGGGTCTCATGCTTTTGCCTGGGCCAGCCTCAGACTGCCGTCCTCCTGTCTCCCAGGTAGTTGGGATTATAGGCATGTACACTATGCCTAGCTTGTTTTTGAGATACAATTTTTCTGTCTCTGGCTCTTGAGTAGCTGGGATTACAGGCCTACTCCACTATGCCTGGTCCACTACTGCAGAATTAGAGCACAAAATCTGGAAGAACAGTTTCCTGTCATCCTAGAAATCAAGTCAGTTCAAGATAAGCAATACTTACCAAAAGTATTGATGCTCAACTGATCAATGAAATCCCAAAATCGCTCAATTACGTCCTGTACTCGTTTCTCACACTTGCCCTATCAGAAGAAAACATTTGGCATTTAAGCAATACTTACCAAAAGTATTGATGCTCAACTGATCAATGAAATCCCAAAATCGCTCAATTACGTCCTGTACTCGTTTCTCACACTTGCCCTATCAGAAGAAAACATTTGGCATTATCGCTGACAACAATGCCTTTAGAAGGGACGTGGCTGTATGAAAACAGGCGTGTAAAGGGCTTCATTAATGTCACCCAGGGGCACAGGGTACTGGCTTCAGTGCAATGAGCACCAAGGAAGTAGTGTGAACTGTCACTCGTCCTTCCATAATTAATCCCTTTTTTGGTTTAGTTTTAATTTTGGGACAGGGCCTCTTATGTATCCCAGGCTGACTTGAATTCTCAATCCTCCTGCCTCAGCCTCCCAAAGGCTTGGATTCCAAGTGTGCATCACCATGCCTGACTCATGACTAGTCCAGTTTTATAAGTGACCTTAGAATCACCAGGGAAAAAACTAAAACTAATTTGCTAATGATGGCTACTCCATTTTAGATGGTGTTAATCACACACACAACAGGCAACGCAACCAGCCTAGAGGTAATTATATTGTAAGTACTTGATTTCACAAATGGAAGGCAATCCAAACACAAACGCTGTTACAGCTTTCTATCACTGTTTGCTTTTATTGGATTTTAAAGCATGTATGAGGATTATTTAAGAGGAATTGGCAATATGCCTCAGGTCACTGGAGCTCTGACTCTCCATGGCAGGGGTCTCTGAGCTCAGAGATTGGGAAGACCTGGACAGGGGACTTTATGATAAAGTTAGCTGGTTTCAGGCAGTGGTGGGTCCTAATTTCTTGTTTCTCTAGGTTGTAGAATTGACTAAGACTGAAAATTACTTGAGGTGACTCTAAAGCAGGTGCTGAGTGAGTAGGAAAGACCAAGTCTGCTTCATTTCCTAAGTCGGACTCTGATTCTCTACAGCAGCACAAATCCATTCATGCAGAATGACAGGAGAGGGTTTTAAGGTCACCAAAAAGACTGTATGTAAATAAATAACTCACATTCATGTCACAAAATCCTACTGTACAGGGCTTCCCTTTTCTCAAAAATAAGTTCTTTTGTTCAGCATCAACGTAAGGTGCACACCGGCCAGAAAGGTCCCTGCAGCACACCTTGCATGAGTTGTCAGTTTCTGAAACAGAAAAGTACACTGACGATGGGGTCCTCTGCCACCACTTCCTCACCTTCCTCTCTGATCACACTTCCCAACAAAAGAAACTGCATTTTTTTATTTCAAAAGCCAACACTAGGCGGCATGGCTCAAGTTTTACAGTTCCTGCCTACCAAGCATAAGGCCCTAAGTTCAAAGTCCAGGACCACCAAAAAAAAAAACCCCTAAATTATAAATGTAAACAAAACAAAAACAAAAACACCTAACACTCCCTCGGGCTGGGAGAGTTGATCAGTGGTAGAGTCCTCACCTAGCATGCATGAGGCTCTGAACACCATCCTCAGTATGGGGCAGGGTAGGCGTGGAGGGAATAGAAGTTGACACTGCCATATCTATCCCCTAACAGTTCCTGAGTTCATACTCCTTAGATCTCACATTTACAGAGGCCCTGAGGTTAAAAACATTTTACACAGAAAAGTCCAAAGTACTTTTTCTGCTCAAATCCTGCATCATGTTCTTCTAAGTGTGTCCCTACCCTGCTGATTTCAAATTTCAATCCTTGGCCTCTCAGTTTAAAGTAGATGACTCCACTTCCTGCTTCCCTCCTCCGTGGCTTGATTCTCACCACTACCCTGAGCAGCAATGAGTCGTTGACACATCAAGCCTTCACAAGGAGGGGCTGGCAAACAAAGATCATGTTTTCTCCTGCTGAGAAACTCAGTGCAAAACTGCTCACCATTGCACGCACAGGACTCCAGTTGCTGCTCCCTCTCACAGAAAGGGATGCATTTTCCATCCTTACACTTGCCAAGATCCAAGCACACTGTGTCATCTTCCGCATTTCCTGGTGGGGGGCACTCACTGCTATTCCCTAGAGGCAAAGGTCAATTAACTTATGAATCACAGGTCCACAACAGCTGCAACAGGCTGTTTCACAAAAGTGAGCACTTGGCAAGTGGTAAGGGCTAAGTGGTTGCTTCCATCTGAAGGAAACAATCCCGTTTTCCAAATGCACTCATTTACATTTGAGTCACAGTATTCCAAGAGAAGCAATGAAAACACATACCTGTGCAGTATGAAACGCCTTTGCAGGTAGCATTAATGGCTTCCTGACACTTCTTCTGGGAGGTCTCAAACTGGCAATTTTTACAGCAAGGGCTGTTTCTATCACTGTGGAAGAGCAGATAGGGACAATTCAATTCCAAGCCCCACATCAAATATTATGGTTGTCTTACAGTGACCTGAAGATAAAGGGAAGAGGCCCTGGCTGAGTCACCCTTCCTGCATAGTCTGGTTTCCCTGGAGCTACAGCCACCTGTCCCTTCCTAATGTGGGAAAGGTAACCTCAATGCCATGCTTTAGTAGGAAACAATAAGTATACAGAGTGATAAATCACCTTTTCAATACCTCAGTGTCTTTGGTTTTCATTAACTTAATGCAATAATTAAAAGAACCTTAAAAAAAAAAAAAGTTAGGGCCCAGGAAATCAATGGTTGAGAAACTAGGTGGCCTAAGCCCCACTCCCTATCAGTATTTAGTGTAAACATGCACTATACATAGTTAGATCTCAATTATTCACCATGGACTAAAATTTCTTCCTATGCCAAGCACTGGTCTATGGGGAAGACATAAAATGGAAATACAGGTATCTTCTAATTCATAACCTGCTTTCTCCATATTTACTTATATCATTAAACAGTACTCCACAAGATTCTATTGTATAGATATATGATAACTGCTTGGATTCCAGGACTGTCATTTTGTTTGCTCCTAATATTTTGCTATCTTAAAAGGATAAAGCCATAAACAGCCTTGTTATCTTTCTTATACACTTGTTTCCTTTAAAAAGATTCTTTGAGCTGTGGAATTTCTGTATCAGAGAACATGTAAGGTCAAGGATTCTTTTGGACTGAAGGTCACAGCATTTTCCATAAAGCATTTGCACACACATGCACACTTCAAACCCCTCCATTTTCAATCTTCAGTTATTCAGACCCTCATTTATACCAACCTCCGAACTTACTATGAGAGGATTTCTCACCTGCACTGTACACCTGGTTTTAACGTGCAGTCACTGTTGCAGCAAGTGTCATTGTTCAGATACATGATACCAGGGTCACACTCCTCTCCTTCATCTACCCTGGAGTTCCCACACACCTTGTTGCTGCGTTCTTGAAAACACTCCTGGGCCTTACTTTCAATGGTCTTATAAATGGACTGTTTACTGCAGTTTGAAAACATCTTAAGAGAAAAAAGGCCACAAGAGCCCAAAATAACACAATGAATATTTATTTCCACGTAGTATTTGTGCTTCTGTAGACACCAATTCTTAACGTAAAAATCACCATCAGGCCAGGCACTGGTGGTTCACACCTGTAATCCTAGCTACTAAGGAGGCAGAGATCAGGAAGCCAGCCAGAGCAAATAATTTGCAAGACCCTATCTCAAAGACACCCAACACAAAAAATGGCTGGCAGAATAGTTCAAGTGGTAAAGCACCTACCTAGCAAGCATGAGGCTGTGAGTTCAAACCCCAACATCAACAAAAAAAAAATCACCATGAAAGTCACCCTGGAGCTATGTCAAGGCAATGGCAGTCACCTCCAAATGTCATTGACGTGAAATTGAATCTTTCCCTCAAATAGCATGCTAAATACCTGTGTGATCCTGGTTAAAGACCTAAAATTCTTCACATGAAGGCAAGTGATAGTATGAGACCAAACCTCTCAGCCAGTCCTATCAAGGGGACACACAGTCTAGTAGAATGGGGAGCTCATGAATTCTGTTGAGTCTCAAGTCCACCTCTCAGGCATGCCACTGCTATGGTGGCATGAGAATCATGCAGACAAGAGGGTCTGTTTCTGGTTTACATTCTTCCCTTTGCCTGGCCCATTGTGTCTGAAGTTTTTAAATATTTGAGCTTAACCTATTTAACAGATTACTAAGCTTCATTATACTCAGTCTATTTAAAAAATCAAATTGCAAGTTTCTTCCTAAACATTTTCATTAATCAGTATTTTAAGTTTCTCTTGGTTTTTTCTATAGTTGACCAGCATCCAAAAAGAAGCCTCTACTCTAGCTTTCCAGCATGGAGGACAGATCTACCAAAATGGAGCCTTGTAAGTTTGGGAATCTTACCACAATCTCTAAAACTGTGCCCCTTCTCCAGACCACCTGAAATCATTGAGAAAGGGGCACGGGGCTTGTGGAGGCTGAGTGTGGCTCTTTCTTGGGGCAGATCTCCACAGCTGTCTGCAGAAACTAAATGGCTCTGGTGAGCTTCTAATCTGTTTCCACAGTGAAGATACTGCAGGGATCTGGTTATCCCCATGTGGGCGATAAGCAGCTGGTACTTAGGTAGGGTTTATCCATCAATACTACAGATCCATGAGATCAACTTAATCAGTTCACTTTCAAGTGAATTAAAATTCACAGGAAATAGATAAAAATACCTCTTCATTAGTAGAGCAGCTGTACTCCATGGATAGTGCTGAGGAAATGGACCAATTCTCAACCAGGAATTTCTACCCACATAGCGTAAAGACCCAGCCTTCTGTTTGCATCCTCATTTTACAGCTTCCTCTTCACTTCAGTGAACTTTCCTAGGAGATAACCCTTAGCCTCCCATGTTTCTTTACTAATGTCACCTGTGTCACCCCTCCCAGCTGCTGATCTTCTTTAGCCCATCTGGTGGGAGGCAGAGCTGTCCAGGTGAAAAAAACACCTCATTTCTACCTTGTATCCTTCTCATCTAGTTAAAATATTTTTATTAAGGAATTCGTCTGAAACACAGATAAGAAGATGCATGTGACATCTTTGTACAAGAGGAGTGCTACTTGGGAAAACCAGAGTGTAGAAAATACACTAAATATTATGTGCTCAGAACAAAATAAATAAACGGTTCTTCACTGATAACCCAGCAGTTCCAGAAAAACACAGATCTGCTCAGACTCCACTCTCATTAGCAAGTTCTTACAGGGCCACTTAAGAGCCCTTCGGGGAGTTCCACTTTGCAAGAAATTGCAGCAGGAAGAAATAGCAATATGCATGTTCCCTTGAGGGAGACTCTGCAAAGTAAATTCCCCCTCCCCCTCACAAAGTGCTGACACCACACCATCTTCATAACCAGGAAGGAAGACCCCTCCTGCCAATTCTTTTGGGGTACTGTCCAATACGGTCACTACTAGACATATGTGGCTATTTAGTTTTTTTTCCTAGTCACATATTTTACATTTCTCATAACAGAAATGTCCAAGCATCTACTAAGTAGACCAAATGGTATCATGAACGCCCACATGCCTCTCGCTGGCTTCCACAATGACCAACTCATGACTTAACAGATTCTCTGTGTCCTTAACTTCTGCTTCTACACTGTCTTTGTTGTTTATTTGCTTTGAACACCTTTACAAAGGCACATTTTACATATGACAAAGCTTATCCATTTCATGTGTACAAGGTAGTAACTTCCAGTAACTTTACCAAGAAGTAAAACCATCACTATATTCAGTTTTAGAACATTCCCATTCTTCCAGTAAGGTTCTTCATGTTCCTTTATCCTTTTATAGTTAATGTCTATTCCCACTTCCAAACACAGGCAAACACTGTAAAATTTAAATTTTAGTTCTTAGTCTGGCATGGGCTAGTACTCGGAAGGCTGAGACGAGAGTATTATAGTTGAGGCCAATCTGGACTAAATAATGAGACCCTGTTTCAAAAAAACAAAAATAAACAAGTATATACATAGATACATAACATAAAATCCAGTTCCTCAGTCTCTAGCCACATTTCAATTGCTCATCCATGGAGTATAGTAAGTTTAGATATTCCCATCATTTCAGAAAGTTGTGTCAGAGAGGATTAACTATAATGTGCATGATTAAAAATGAAGAGGATAACTGGGTGTGACTCAGTGGAAGAACTCATGCTTAACATGCAGGAGATCCAGAGTTCAAACCCCAGCACCAAAATAAACACAAGAAACCCCAGTGACTTCCCATAATTTTGGGGCTGGAGGTATGGCTTAAGAGGCCAAGTTCCTGCCTAACAAACTGAAAGCCCTAAGTTCAAACTCTGTATTGTCAATAAATTAAACAAAAGAAAAGAAAAAAGAGACAGTCCCTGAAAAAAGAGGAAAAATCAACAAAGCAGGATGATTTGGAAGAGTGGGCAAAAAGGAGCAGGAAAATGTCCTTAATGTCTTAAAGGCAAAAGTTGCCAAGCAGAGTTAAAATAAATGTAGCATGCAAAGCAAGAGAGGAAGAGTCTGTTACACACAGAAACCAAATAAAATGAGATGCTTCCAAACCCCATGACCACGAGAGAGAGAGAGAGAGAGAGAGAGAGAGAGAGAGAGAGAGAGAGAGTGAGAGAGAGAGAAAACGAACACGAACAGGCGATGTAACATTCAGAGATCACAAGAAGAGCAGAGGCAGAGAGTGGTAAGGACAAACAAGTCACCCTGTTTTTTCTCCCCTGCTCAAAATCAACTTGTTCACAGTCGAGCTCAAAACAAAAGTCAGGCAAACACTTCACCATCCTTTCCCGTTCAGACTGGCTCTTAATTTAGGCCCTTCCCAACAGGTCTCTTTAACTTGTCAACAAAATAAAACAAATGGTTTAATACCAAATAAAATGAAAACACCATACATCTACTAATACAACTTTTAGTTCAGACTAAATTGACAGTCTAAAGTTAATTGTCCTAAAGTTTCTAAAACTGTTTACAATGTCCCAAATCAACCAGCATAACCATCCCTTGTATCTTGCAACCATGAACTCAAGTAACCACAGACTGAAAATATTAGAGAAAAAATGTTTCTATACATGTACAGACTTTTCTTGTCATTGTTCCCTAAACAATGCAGTGTAGTGCTGTTCACATAGCACTTACACTATTATTAGGGTAAGTGATCTACAGATGATTAAAATGTACAGGAGGACACAGGTAGGTCATGTGAACGTATAACACCATCTTGCCTAAGGGGACGTGAGCATGTGCAAGTCCCTTGGTATCCCAGGGTAGGCAGTCCTAGAACAATCTCCCATAGACACCACGGGACAGCCTTATACTCTACCAGAATTCAATTACTAATTATGTAGGCACTCCTACTAGGCACTGGAGACAAAACCTTGAATAAGATAGACAAGGGCCTTTCTCATAGGGTCTTATAATATGTCAAACTATATGTTTTATTGCAAAAGCTTATGAAAACATGCAAATTGTGAAGTGCTACCAAGTTAAAATGAGTAGTAAATTGTAAATAAAATAACAGGTAATTTTTACCATAAAGCATAAGCCATATAACCTGGAAGCTAGGACTCTGAAAAAAGTCATTCAAATTAGTAATTTTTTTTTTCTTTTTGGCAGTACTGGGGTTTGAACTTGAGGCCTCACACTTGCTAGGCAGGCACTCTACCACGTGAATCACCCCACCAGCCCTACTATTACTTTTTACAGCCCAGATTTTACATGTGATTAACCCTGATAAAACACTCCAAAAGATGGCTTTATCCAGGCTCATGTGGGCCATGCTTCACTCTCAAACATACAACTAAATTTCAAGGTACTTTGTAACTGGTTGGTCCATCTCTAGGAATGGAATACTTTCTTGACTTCCCATTCTGATAACACCACACAGCCTCCTCCTTTCCTACCCACATAAAAATCTCTGAAACATACATACCTTATTGTTTTCGTGATCGCCACTCACAGCTATGGGATACATGACGTATTTCCCTCCCTGGTCCTCATTCGGGGCACACTCTGCTAGACCATCCGGATCATGTTCTGCTCCGAAATTGTGTCCCAATTCATGAGTAGTAACCAGGTCAGCTTCCTTAAGGACCATGAAAAGAAAACATTTAACCATCAGCAACTTTGCCAAAATAACTACAACTGGACTATGATTTCTTCTAGCAATTATAGAAATTCAACAGAATGAGTAGGATAATCTTTAATGCTCTTAAACAGTATTATAAGGATTAATTTAAATCAACTTAAGAAAATATAACTGCTGGATGTGTGGCTCAAGCAGTAGAGCACCTGCCTCGCAAGCATGAAGCCCTGAGTTCAAATCTCACTACCACAAAAAAAGAAGAAGATAGAACTTACAGGATGTACTGAAACATTCACAACAAAACAAACACTGGCCATTCCTACCTACCACACACTGTGTATTGCTGATAAACAGCCATAGTTGGAGGTCTCCCCGACATCCCCATCCCAATCCATTTTAGTCACACTTCTGCCAAAACCTAAACAGAAAGGGAGTGGGAGGGAAGACAACTGAGGAACTAACACAGTGTTTCTCACTGTCTGGGGGAGTGAGTTCCTGTCCAGTAACAATCTGAATGGCCTAGAGGATTTGGTTTACTAGAATCCAGTTTTAGGCCACACTTAAATCAATCAAGTCACTAGATTCTATATGAATACTATATAATAACAAATTAAAGTAGCAATTTACCTGAATAAAATAACAAACTTAAGAGTCCTGATTTTGGGAAAAATCACTATATAGAACCTGAAAGATTATTTTGTAGGTCATTTTTCTACACAAGAAGATTCCCAATTCTACATTTATAATAAAATGGCAGGAAAAAAATGGATTTTTAACAAAAAGCACTCAAACCCCAAAAGTGTGATGTTTCTAACTGTAGAAATTCATCAGTGGATTTGCTAATGGGCTGATACTAAAAACTTTTAAGGCAAATATATCTTACACTGTAAGTTATCTTACAAGAGAAAAATTCTGGAACACGGAGGAAAATCTGTCATGAACAGAAACATAAAGATGTTGTAACACAAGTGCAAAGCCCTGAGTTCAAACCTCAGTCCCACCAAATAATAAATTCAATAAATAAATAGCAATTTTAAGATGTTGTGAGTGGGGGGAAGGTAGCCTAAACAATGTATATACACGTGAGTAAATGTAAAAATGATATAAAAAATGTCCCACAAAAAGATTAAGAAGTACCACAAGAAAAAATAATTTTGGATATTAAAGGTTCCCAAAAATTTAGGGGCTTTTTCTTCTCTCATACCACTTTACAATATTTTTAGTCACCCCAAGTCCACAGTTTACATTAGGGTTAACTCAATGGTACATTTTATAGATTCTAGTAAATGCATGTCTTTTTTTTTTTTTTAACTTTTTCAGATGGGATCTTGCTGTTACCTGGGCTAGCCCTGAACTCCTAGGATCAAGAGAGCTTCCAGCCTCAACCTCCCTAGAGCTGAGACTACAGAAGTATGCCACTGTGCCCAGCTTGCAAAATGTCATATATTTGCTGCTAAAGTATTTTCACTTTTCTAAAAATCCTCTACTGGACTAGGGGAATATCTCTGTGGTAGAGTGTTTGCCTAGCTTAAGTAAGATCATAGGTTCAAGCCCTAAAACCAACCTGGGGAAGGAATAGGCCAATCTTCTTACTCTTCAATATTCATTTTTCTTTCTCTGTTCCTTTTCTTCTTCTTTTTTTTTGAACTTAGGGCTTCACACTTGCTAGGCAGGCGCTCTACTACCTGAGCCACTGTGCCAGCCACTTTTTGTGATGGGTTTTGTTGAGATAGAGTCTCACAAACTATTTTTTGCCAGGGCTGGCGATCCTCCTGATCTCTGCCTCCAGAGTACCTAGAGTTGCAGGCACAAGCCACCAGCACCCAGCTCTGTTCTTTCTACTCTTAATTCTTCAAACCTTCTGAAATGCTTCACTTTCCTTTTCATGGTGGGAAGGAAGGGCTGTTAATTCTGTAACTAACTTTTCAGAAGGTTTGGGAAGATGGAGGGATTTTCAGTACAGCAACACACCAGGCCCTTATTTAATGAATGTTCCAACCTCCCATGTGACTTACTTTTCTATCATTCACCAGTAGACCTACCTTTCTACCAATACTTGAATTGACCAATGCTTTTAACTTTTTATTTTCAGAGTAGAACCAATTAATGTCATGCTACCAGTACAAAAATGTACACTGCATTTGCTTCTATTCCTTCATGAATCAGGCAAGAGAGAAAAAGACATAGTCCACCCAGGAAAAGGAACAAGAGATAAGACAACAACTAATAATATATGTAAATAAAAGGGGGGGGGGGCTGGGGTCATGGCTCAAGTAGTAGAGTGCCTGCCTAGCAAATATAAGGTGCTGAGTTCAAACCCCAGTGCCACAAAAAATTTTTTTAAAACATATAAAAATAAATAAATAAATGTTTGGAAGATGAAAAAAAGTACATTTGTTAGAGAGGACAAATAAAATTTTGCAACCATAAAAAGAAACTATTACAAGGACTACAAACCAAGCATTGTAGCACATGCCTATAATCCTTGCACTCAATTAGCTGAGGCAGGAAGACTACAAGTTCAAAGCCAGCCTGGACTACAAGACCTTGTCTCAGAAAACAAAAACAAACAAAAAAAGAAAACGGCTGGGGGTTGGTTCAAGTTGTACAATGCCTCTCTAACAAGATTGAGGCCTTGAGTTCAAACCCCAGTAATGACAATAAAAGAAAAAAGTAAAAGGTCTACAGAGCAAAAGGGCTACTGAAACAAACAAAAAAATGTCAGTAGGAATGAAAAACTCAAAAGAAAGGCTGAAGACAGAATTAAGGATATCATCTAGAAAACAGAACAAGATGACAACAAATGGAAAATGGGAGAAAACATTAGGGAAAACCAGGTGATCACTCTAGGAGATCAAATATCTGATTAGCTGATTTCCAAACAGAACAGAAAAAGAAGACAACTGGGCTCTACCTATAGACCCACCTACTCAGAAGTCTGAGGCAGAAGGATCACTTGAGCCAAAGAGTTTGAGATCAGTCTGTACAGCATAATGAGAAAAGAAATAAAAAGACAAAAACTTAGCAAACAAATGATAAAGAATATTTATGATTTTTAAGACTATCATAGATATATGATGGCATAGCCTATAATCTCAGCACTTGGGAGACTGAGACAGAAAGAGCTGGTCTATATATTATACAGAGGCCCTGTCTCAAAAAAATTTTTTTTTGCGTAAAACCCCAAGTATCTAGAACTATGGGCTCAGGAATCACCTGGCCAGCACAGTGGAAAAAAAGATACAAATGCCAATTATATCCTCAAAGTCAACCTATCAGTACATTAGATACTAACATTTCGTACCAATATCTATTTTCCCTTTCTTTCTAACTTAAAGCTCTAACTTTGCTCTGGACAGCAACATACTCAGCTAAAATAAGCCACCTCCCTACCCTGGAAGTATCTTTGTGCTATAGGCATTCACGTGACCTACTTCCATTCAGAGAGGTTTTAGCAGAAGTCAGAAAAACTTCTAAAAAGGACAGACTAGGCTCACTATGATCTCTTCTTCCTCCTTCCTCTAATGCAAAAGAAAATCATCTTGTGACTATGAGGAGACAGGCATAAAGGCAGAGAAAAAACTCAAAAAGATGGGGAGCTCTGAGAGCACCTCTGAACTGCTGCATCACCTAAAAAGGGTATCTCTGAGCTTTTGGCTGACAAAGACAAGTGAACAAACCCCTTATTTAAGCCATTATTTATAGGATTTTCTAGTATTTATAGCCAAGCATATTCTCAACATATATATCTGCACAAAACGGAGCTCTAAAAATCTTGAAAAAAAAATAGGTCACATTCAAAGGTTAAGGACTTAAGACTCTGGTGTCACTGCTGCACCAGAAGACAATGCAGCAGAGCCTTAAATGCTGAAGAAGCAGAACATACACAGTCATTATCAACCAAATTTAAGAAGAGAATAAAGAGGCCAGACATGGTGATGCACTTCTGTAATCCCAGCAGTCAGTGGAGGCAGCAGAATCATGAGTTCCACACCAATCTGGGCTGCAGGATGAAACTCTATCTCAAAAAAAAAAAAAAAAGTCCAAAGAATAGAATAAAGACCTTTCAGATACACAAAATCCCAAGAACCTACATTTCACTGACTTCACTGACCTTTTCTCAGGAGGCTCCTAGAGAGTATACCATACCAAAATGATGGTATGAGTTGCAGGTGGACTTATAACAACAGCTGTGGTAAAAGCCTAGTGAAAAAGCCCTACCTAAGAGCAGCTGTGGGATGAAGGGCTCCAGGAGGTGTTCAGGAAACATACAACACAGGTGTCTCAAAAAAATGGACATTTTAATTTTCTTCTTTATACCTTTTCTTTCCCATATTTCTCACAGAAAATATGTACTTTTTTTAGGCAGAAATAAAAAACAGTAAAGCTGGAGGTGTGGTTCAAGTGGTAGAGCGCTTGCCTACCAAGCATAAAGCCCTGAGTTCAAACCCCAGTACCTCCAAAAACAAAACCAGTACACAATACTTTTTTTAGGAAGATACCCATATAAATACATAATAACTGAGATTCTAATATAATAAAATCCAAATCTATTCTTTAAAAAAAAAAACCAAAGAACATACCTTTGTAAGGATGGTTTTACCATAATTTTTTGTGCTGGTTAAACCACTATTCAAGTAGATATTTTTCTTTCCAACTGGACTATAATAAGCTAAAGGTAAAAGGAAAGAGAGACAAAAACTGCTTATTAAGTACAGAACTATAATATAATCCAATTCCAGCATCATATACATACAACAAATGGGAAACTTACCCTTTGGACAAACACCTCCATGGCTGTTTGCTCTGGGAGAGCCAACATAAGCTAATCCAAGTGTTCCCATATCAAAATCTTGATATGTGAAAAGATGTGCCAGGCAGACTTTAGAAGCTTCCTCAGCTATATCAAAGCTAAATTGCTTTGGTTTGGTTTTTTTTTGTTTAAAAAAAAAAAAAAAAAAAGGATTCTCAATTAGATTAACAATTATACCAGACTAAAAGGTGTCTCAACTAAATATTCCAGATCAGCACACACAGTCTTCTGTGGTGTGCTGCTCTTTCCCTGGGGTTCACATCTGTCCCCATCTGTGCAGCCTCGAAGCAGACACTGTTGCTGAGTGGGTGGGGGGAGCTTGGCAGCCTTTGCAGTTGTTCAGAATTAACTCCCTGCTCCTGTGGCACTCATATCAAAACAGATCACTCTAAAATAATTCAAGGGTTCTACTGGATTTGCAGGGATTGTTTTATTTTTATTTATTTGATCTAGGGAGGACCTTAACTTTTAAAATTTTGTAAGGGAGTTAAAATAAACTTTTTTTTTTTTTCTGTACTGGGGTTTGAACTTAGGGCCTACACCTTGAGCCACTTCACGAGGCCTTTTTTGTGAAGAGTTTTTCAAGATAGGGTCTCTTCAACTATTTCCCGGGCAGGCTTCGAATCACAATCCTCCTGATCTCTGCTTCCTGAGTAGCTAGGATTACAGGCATGAGCCACTGGTGTCCAGCTACTTACCAGTACTTTAAAAGATAAACACTATCACTTCATAGTATATCAGTTTACAACAAAGCAAAAGTATACAGAAATTCAGACAATGGAATCACACAGCAGTATTCTAAGGCAAGATTCCACATCATACCAGATGTTTAACTATCTTTCAACTGTTTACCAGAATGAAAACAAAGTATCTAAATTCCTAAAAAGAACTCTTCAGATTTCCAAGTTGTATTTTTAGTGTCTAATACATGTTCATAGCCTATATGATAATTACTACCCTAAGAGACTGGAAGTCCTGAGCTACAAAACAGTAGGAAAAAAAAAATCTATATACTGGGTTTTAATGCTTTCTTCTATAGAAGATCCACTGTGCCTAACTGGAGTCTCAAAGATAGTGAGGTTACGAAGCATGGCCTCCTAGCACTTTTCTTCCTCACAGCTTTTTTGCCAGTTGATGCCTACTCTGCTACAGGGATGGGCTGCTGCTGGATCAGAACAACCTTCCCTACTGGCTTTACCCCATCTTTTCTGACATATTCCATCATTAGTGCAGTCATGTATTAGAAATCACAAAGGGATAGTAAGAGCACCACATCCAGGATTCCATGACCTACCTCTAGCAACATTTTCACATCCCAAGCATCCTTTTCTTCATGTGGGTAACTTTTGGCCATATTGTAGTGCCTTTCACCAGGTTGTACCTCTTGTGGAGACTTGAGAATGCGAATCTATACTTAAAGAGATAACATACTTAGAACACTTCCAAAAACTCAAGATGCTGAATACCCTATTACTTTATCTGTTCAAAAAAAAAAAAAAAAGACCATTTATGTAATCCCAAAACTCAGGATGCTGAGATAGAAAGATGGCATGGTCAAGGCCAGTCTGGGCTACACAGCAAGACACTATCTAAAAAAAATAAAAGGAAAAAGAGTTTAGAACCAAACTTCCATAAATTCTTCTGCTCTAACAGTCAATGTTAAAAACAAATTGAAAAACATAAACTATGGGAAACATATGTCAATAAATTATTTATAGTTATAAATGTACTAAACTTTCACATCCTTGGTATGTATTTGGAAAAAGTGAGAACTTAGGTTACATAAACCTAAAATATTTATTACAGCTTTAGTCAGTAATTTGGAAATAAAGAATATTTATGTACATCACTTTGTGTCCCATAGTGATAGGGATTATAAAGGATTGGGGCTTCTCCCTATGCATTACAGACATATTCATATCAAACCCACTAAGAAGAAAAGAAAGGAACAAAGGCTTCCAATCAGTGAGTTTGGGAAAAGGAAGGAAGCCATACTCAGCTCAGTGGATCCTGGTGTCTCTCTCCCCTGTCTGTACAGAGGACCTGTTCTGCTCTGCACTGGCACTGTGTGGTAAGCTATCTGAGGAGGGCCTCTGCATCTTTGGTGGTGGGTTGCCAAGGTCAATTCCGAGATTAAATATCTGGAAGCCCACCAGGACTACATATCTAAATCACATCGCTGCCAGGTGCTGGTGGCTCACACCTGTAATCCTAGCTACTCAGGAGACAGAGATCAAGAGGATCGTAGTTTGAAGGCAGTCCCAGCAAATAGTTCTTGAAAATACCCAACAAAAATGGGCTGGTGGAGTGGCTCAAGTGGTAGAGTGACTGCCTAGCAAGCATGAGGCTGGTACCTCCAAAAAAAAAAAAGAAAATAATCACATCCCCAGCTCATTTTTTTATGGATTAAAGTTGATATTTCTATCTCCTATATTACTGTTTTCCAATTGTTCCAACTTCCGAAGGCAAAAAGGAACTTTATTTATTGATCCCTAAAAACTTGAACAAGATGTAGCTATTTTAAAACAAGTAAAGCAGGGCTGATGGCATGGTTCAAGTGACAGAGCACCTGCCTGACAAGCACAAGGCCATGAATTCAAACCCTTGTATTCCAAGAAAAAGTAAGGCTAGTTTATAATCTCCAACATACTATGAAACAAAAAAGTAAGGTGAAAAGTATATGTCATTCTGCCATTGTATCAAATACAGACTTATGCATACGCACACTATACATACATGCAGTATCTCTAGGAAGATACACATGAAGTAATGATGCAGGTATTTCTGGGAAAAGGAGCTGGTTTGAGAATGGGCAGATGTTGTGGAGACTTACTTTTCACTGGTTTTTGGACTGTGTATATATTATCTAGTCAATTAACTTTTAAAAAATGCAAAATGGCAGAACAGAAGAGCGAAAACTAATTCTCTTAGTTTTATACAAATACAAAGTTTAACATTCTTAAGTATGGTACATGGTTTCAAAAGGTTTTTTAATCTCTTAATTCTACACTATAGAACCTAAAAGAATATATTTTAGTACAAAGAGCTAGTAAAAATTATTCACATAGTTTATATTCAAAAATGTATATAGCTAGGCACCAGTGGATCACACCTGTAATCCTAGCTACTTGGGAAGCTGAGATCAGGAGGATCACAGTTCAAGATCAGTCTGGGCAAATGATTTATGAGAGCCTCCCCCCATCTTCAAAAACTAACCAGTACAAAAGGGACTGGAGGTGGACTCAAGTGGTAGAGTGCCTGCACTGCAAGAGCAAAGCCAAGTTCAAACCTCAGCTCCACCACACACACACAAAAAAAGTCTAACTGTCCAAAGCAATACTCAGTTTTAGAACAGTGTCTTTAGTTACATGTAGCAATATGGAACGATTTTTACAATAAGACCTAATTAAGATGGTATTAGTGTGACATTGGTGGACATGCTATTAACAGCTTACAAGGAACCAGAAGGACTTGTTTCAGCAAACAGATCGACAGGTTCTGTGTGTAAATACTTCATACTCATACGGCATTTGAGTACATTTTCTGACCAAACAGTCAATAATATTTACTAGGATTCTAACAAAGACTGAAGCATCATCAGAGAAAAAGAAAAACATTACAGAGCTAACAGGGCTAAAAACTGACAGGAAGGAAATACAACAGCATAAAAAGGCTTTTTGCCTAAACAAATCTCAGGACAGAAAACTTCATAATCTAGAATTAGTATCAAAACCAAAACACTTAATAATTTATCAGGGAAAAAATCACTGTGAGAATTTGACAATATTTATAATTAATGTCAAAGATAAATTTTTAAATTTTGAACACAAAAAATATTTACAATATGTATTGATAAATACCTGTTCTATCTGTATCCCATAACCTTTAAAACCTGCATTATCCCACGAAGTGTTCCGATATATATCATCAACTCTGTCAATTAGCTCTATCTGTGTATATAAAAGAAAAAGACATTACAGAGACCTTTACCACTCTTTGCAATGTACTACCAAAACCTACTGGGACAGAAATTCAACTGACAGAAAACATCGATTCAAGTTTGTGCTAATTATAAAAAGGCCATCCTAAAATATTAACCTTTATCAGTGATGACTTTTATCAAAGAAATTATTCCTAGCCCCAAACGTGAAGTGCTGCTACCAGAATAAAACACAGTGCAGTCTACCCCAAATTTCAAGTACATACAGAACCAAAATATCCAGTATCACACTTTTTAAAAACTTCCACTACATTCAACTATGAAAATGATAATAAAGTCAGTGGATTTACCAAAAAATATTCTCTTCTAAGAAGTAGTCTATCGTTATTCTATCACTTGGCCAGTGTCTCAAATGTGACCCCCAGAACAAGAAAAAGGGTGGTGATAACCAACTCCTCTCACTATTCTCTCACCCCCAGTTCTACACTATGAACAGGTGAGAAGGGAGCCAGGGGAAGAAGAACATTGCACCTTTCCTCCTCCTTCTGGTCTCTGATTTGGGAAGACTGGGGCAGAGGGCCAGTGTAATCACCAAGAATGACACCATAGGAAAGAACAAAATGCTAGTTACCTATCTTTTCCTTAAAGAGAATATTCAACAGCCAAGTTGAGAAGTTTGTTCCAGCAACTGTGAAGTTATAGGTCTAAGAAACTGTTCTTTAGTTATAAGTAACTGTAAGAAATGCAATTTTAAAAACCAGACCATTCATTATACTTACATTCATGGTATAATATACACAGAAGGAAATAAAAGGCACCCTTAATACAAATGTGGATTCAAAGAGCAGCTTTCCCACGTCTCTCTTGATTAGGACAAGACTTACAACGATTCCCACTGTCCTCTAATAAATGTGTTCACTTGACACGGAAGGGAAAGAAGAGAAGAGAAGGGAGGGCGCGAACAAAATGGAGAGAGTGGGAAAAGCCTACCAACGAGAAAGCCATCTTACTGCACTAGGCTGGGGGTTCATGACTAGCTACATTGTCTTTTATTCCCTCAATGACAACACTTTGGTCGATGCCAAGTTATCATGATGAATGAGGTCATACTAACAAAAAATGTCAGTGGAAAATGATTCCCTTGACTATAAAAATCGTAATAGCTGGTGCTTAAAAATCTATTGTCTGGGGACAGACAGTGGAAGAGCTCTTGCCCTCAAGCATGGGGCCCTGGGTTTGACCTCCAGCATCAAGAAGAAAAAAAAAAAGCATTAACACTTCTCTAATCTTTCCTTCCTATCTTTGCCCTAAAGCTACTTATGACCATGACAGTCTCAACTATTTCAGCTGTCGTCCTATGACTAGCTCTTTAGCATGACATGAAGAAAACATCTACTCTGGAATATACTCAGAAGCAAAAAAATGTACACAGGTTTACATGGATACAGCTCAGGATGCAGAAGTCAAGATGATCATAGCTCAATGCCAGCATGGGCAAAAAGTGAGTGATATCCCACCTCAGCCAACAAGCCAGGCATGCACACCTATAATCCCAGCTAGATGGGAGGAGTAGGAGGAATACTGCAGTCCAGGCTAGTCTGAGCAGAAACTCAAGACCCTACCTGAAAATTAACTAAAGCAAAAAGGGCTGGAGGCATTGCTCAAATGATAGAGCATCTGCCTAACAAGTGCACGTCCCTGAGTTCAAACTCCAGTACTGCCACAAGAAGAAAAAAAAAAAGACAAAACAGGCTTGCATAAATTTGAAATTGTAAGGGCTACTGGAGTGGCTCAAGTGGCAGAGCAGCTGTGTAGCAAGTGTGAGGCCCTGAGTTCAAATCCCAGTACTGCCAAAAAGAAAAAAAAATATCCCTTATAGCAGGGCACCAGTGGCTCACACCTATAATCCTAGCTACTCAGGAGGCAGAGATCAGACAGTGGTTCAATGCCAGTCCGGGCAAATAGTTCGAAAGACCCTATCCTGAAAAAACCCTTCACAAAAAAAAGGGCTGGTGAAGTGGCTCAAAGTGTAGGCCCTGAATTCAAACCCCAATACCACACACACACACAAAAAAAAAGGAAAGAAAATTGAAACTATAGTTTTCATATTTGGAGAAAAATAACAGAACATCTGGAACTGACCTGGTTTCATTAAGTTACAAATTACTGCAGCCTTCTCTTAATGCAATTTACCAACCTGCATAAATTGTCTAGTTACCTTATGTAATATCAAATACTTACTAGGTAGTTTGTAGTGGTGCTCTCTTCCCCTCTGCCCATGTGTTTATAAAACCGATGATCTGCTACCACCAATAATTTACATGTGTTCTTCATGGGATCAGGGTCAGCTCTTCTCTTCACCCGACGAACAAACTCTGATATGAATTTGTATGTACTATTAAATAAAAATTCACCAACACAAGCAGGATCTTTTACAGTAAAAAGATCTTCAAATCTAGTATGTTTCTGAAGCAAACATTTGACCTTAGTATCCTTAAAGGTATCTCCAATTAAAAAAAAAAATTTGCAGGAAGACAGAAAAGTAAAAAGTAATAATGAGGTCTTAAAATTATAAATTTTTTTGGGTGGGTGGCCCAAATAATGTATATACATGTAAGTAAAGGTAAAAATGATAAAATAAAATTTAAAAAATTATAAATTTCAAAACCAAGGGGGCAGGGACTGTAGCTCAACTTGGTGGTAGAACACAGGCCTCACATATACAATGCTCTGGGTTCAATCCTCAGCATTGCAAAGAAAGAACAAGAAGTGCTTACCACAGTAAAATAATGATATACTCCAGGCTATAAAGTCATTTTTTCTAAGAGCCTATGAATTTGTCAATGTAAAAATGCCAAGGTTTAGACATTAAAAATCAGCAATCCTGGGGATTTGGAGATGTCTCTTAAGATCATCAATGCCGGGATGAAACCTTCATGGCCTTCTCCACACAAACAGGCCTGCCTAATTAATGTTTATATGTATAAGTATATACATATATATGTACATGTATAAGAAAAATTAGATTTATGAAATATGCAAAAGCACACATGTATCCATATGAATATGCATATACATAAAATACAGAAGTATATTCATGTACATGTATGGTCCTACTCACCACAGCCTGGGGTAAAGCCACGTAAAAGCAAAGCCATCAATACATTTTTTTATGGAATTGTGCACATACACAGCTACAAACAAACACATATTTGTAACAAATAAAAAGTTTTTTAAAATTAGTTAGAGCTGGATTATGGCTCAAGTGGGAGAGTACATGCCTATGAAGCCTGAGTTCAAGCCTTAGTACCACCACCAAAAAAAAAATTAGTTTGTGTTAATAGGACATCTTACTTAACAAATAACCAAACTGTTTAAGGATTTATTTACTGATATACTAAAATGCTAGTAATATTTTATAAAGTCTTCAAAAGTGAAGTCAGTAAGCTGGGCATTGTGGCAAGCACCTGCAGGCTCAGCTATTCAGGTGGCTGAGACAGGAAGATTGCTTCAGCTCAAAATTCAAGGGCAGTCAGGGCAACATAGCAAGATCCTATCTAACGAAATAAATAAGTAAAAATAACAAGGATGGCAGAACACCTTTCCAAAATGATTACATGTTTTTTAAATGCCCCTAAATAGATTTATACCAAGACTGGTAACCTTCACTATTCTAAATAGTATAGATCTCTCTTGCTCCCCAACTAGTTTCTTATAAAGCTCTAAACAGTATTTTTCAAAGTATTATTTTGACATTTCTACATACCTGCAAATAAAGAATTTTCCCTCAGCTCACCTGTTTCCCTCTTTTCCCCAATCTCTTTTATTCATTTTTTTTTATTTTTTTAATTTTTTGTGGTACTAGAGTTTGAACTCAGGGCCTTATGCTTGGTCGGCAGGTGTTATACCACTTGAGCCACTCCACCAGCCCTCCCCAACTTCTTTTGAGTTCAATCATTATTGCTCCTATTATTCTATAATTACTATAATTACTTGATGATCACCTTTTTATTAAAAAAAAAAACACTCTTTGGAGATGCTGTAACATACTTATTTCTTACTTGAAATATATTTTTTAAAGACTTACCGTTAGATGGCTCTCTGGCTACAAGCCCTTTTGGAAGCAACTCTTCATTATCCACTTTTAAATAACCACATACTTTTGGAGATTGCAAACGTGAGACATTCTTGATATCTTCAGATTTATAAACTAACACTCTCTTGTCTTCAGTATCATTAACAAATCTCCAAAGTGGCTAAGAAAGAAAATATATGTGATTAGATGGAGAAAACAAGAACTCCTGAACAATAAATAAAATTCTTATTTTTTTTGCTTGATCTTAGACAGTATTCATTTCTGGGTTAAGTAAACTGACTACACGTTATTCACAATAAATCATTTCAGTTTGTTGCTGCTGTTGTTTTGCAGTGCCAAAGATTAACCCAGAACCTTGCACATGCTAGGCAAACCCCAGTAGTATGCCCCAAAAGAAGGAGAAAATAAGAATGATTAATTATTGCCTTTCCATCTTAAAATAACTGAGATGCTTTTTAAAAATCAGAGATAGAAAAACCTCATAGATAGACTTACCTCTATGTTATATTCTACCCCATCTGTGTTGATTCTTATTGTAACATCATCATCTCCTATGTGTGCTAGAACCCTAGAGTCAGGCTCACCTTGAGAGGAAAAAACATGTATTTTTACATTTTAATATTATTTTATTAAAAATAAAATTAACTATGCACTTCTGACAATAAAAATCAACCCAACCCTTCATCAGACTGAATTTGCCCAGGTAATATGAAAGCTCTGCAAATAGGAAACAGAGGTCCCGGAAAGAAGCTAGAAAGTTCTCAGCTCCTCAAGAGTAGCCTCAAGTCAAGAAATTTGAAAACTGCTGGGCACCGGTGGCTCATACCTATAATCCTAGCTACTCAGGAGGCAGAGATCAAGAGGATAACAGTTCAAAGCCAGCCAGGGCAAATTGTTTGTGAGACTTTATCTCAAAAAACCCTTCACAAAAATAGGGCTGGTGGAGTGGCTCAAGGTGAAGGCCCTGAGTTGAAGCCCCAGTACCTCAAAAAAAGAAAAAGAAATTTGAAAATTATCCATTTCCCACAACAAACACTGTAGATGTTCTCCTGGGATAACTTTACCTAATTTTGGTTAAAAAAACTTAAGAGAACGCAAGAAGCATGATTTGGAATATATAGCTCTTAAACTATATTATTTGGAGATTTCAATACCAGTTCCTTTTCTTACTGTAGAAAAAATTCAAAAAGTAAACTACAATTGCTTGATATATTTTCTCGAATAAATACAGCAGGACTGTAAGTAAATTATTTTATCTATTTTCCCTGTTTAAATCTCGTAAGGGAAGACTACAGTCCTTGCCTGAAGACAACAGGTTAAATTCTTATCACCTGAGAGGAAATTATTTTAGTCATCAAACCAGCCAGCTAGTGTAACATGCTAGATAATACCCACTTAGTTCTGTTTTTGATTTCAAACTTAATACAATTCAAATAAAACTGTAACACAATAGCACTCCTATGACATGACTTTCCCAGACCCATGTACCAAATAAATCTACTCACTCAAGTTAGAGACCTGTTATGGTCTGAATCTAAAAATGTTCCCCAAAAGCTCATGTGTTAAAAGTTTGCTGCCAACTGATGGGCTTTTGAGAGGTGACTGTATCATGTGGACTGTAACTTCATCAATGGACTAATCCACTGAAAAACTCGTAGATGAATGGACTACTAAGAGATGGGGTCTGCTTGGAGGAAGTAGATCATTGGGGGCACACCTTTGAAGGATGTATCTTGTCCCTGGACTCTTCCCCTCTCTTTGCTTCCTGACCGCCGTGAGGTGAGCTACAAGCTCCTGCCACCTTGATGTTCTGCCTCACCTCAAGTCCAACGCAACGAAGCCAGCTGGCCAAGGACTGAAACTATGAGCCAAAATAAACCTTTTCTCTTTTATATTGTCTGTATCAGATATTTTATTAAAGCAAAGAAAAGACAACTGACTACTTATATTCAATCTAAATTTGCATGAACTATAAATTAGGGTATTTACAAATGGTGAGCTCAGTTTCCGAATTAAGTTTTATTTGCAATTTTAAAAAAGAAAAACTTAAAAAAAAAAAAAAAAAAAAGCAGGATAGCCGTAAGACCTAATATCCCATACATAAAGGCAAAATAAGAACAGCATACTAACCAACCACGTGTCCACTGAAGAAGTCCTGCCATTTTACAGCATACTCATGTTCATCTTTGCCATCCACTACCACAACTTTGAAATTCTGTGAAAAGCGTTCAGTACTTGAGGTCAGGTATAATTTAAAATGCCTGGAGAAAGAATGCATTCAAAGTTTACTCTGGGCATATACAACAGAAGCCTAGTTTTTGTTTTTCCAAATTCCAGAAGAGTAAGCATGAATAAAACACTCAGCAAAAAATCAACAAAAACACTACTTAAATTGTAACTAATGTTGTGTTAGGTACTTGGAGCAACATAAACTCCTATAAAGAAAAATGAACTGATTTGTTTAGCTGTAAAAACTTAGCAGATCAAAAGAATATAATATTGGGGGAGGGGAGGCCAAAGAGCTTATGCATTCAATTCATCTTTCCTGGAAACTGTGAATAATAAAACACACACACACACACACACACACATATCTGGGGAGTCGAATTAGAATCCTGCTAATCTCCAAAATTTACTACTAAAGACTAATACCCTTTTTATATATATTAGTACCACTACACAAAATTAAAAGCTGAGGTTCAGAAGTTAATCAACACACTCAAAGTTATACAACTGGTAAATGGTGAAACAGGACATTGAACTTGTTCTGTTTGACAATACTGGCTTCTGCTATCTCTAGCAATCAAGCTGGATATTGTATAGGAAAACTCTTATTGCCATGCAAAATTAGTAAATTGTTGATTCTGTATTTAAAAGCACTCATGCTTTTTTCTTCCTTTCAAAAGAAATTATCTTGAAAAAAATTAAACCACAATTACAACTAGGGAAATAAATACAAACAAAGCCTCCAAAGCAGACATTAAAATATGCATTCCTATTCTTCAAATGAGTTAACATTTTTTCCTACACATTTCCATTCTGATATAAAAACTGGGAATAGTAGCAAGACTTTTTCAGTTACTGTTTACATAACCTGTAAATGTACCATGATGATAAAGAAAACTATGTTATTCATCTCAGAAACATATTTTGTCAGCTGTGGTGCTGAAAATATGAAATGTTACTTCCCCATGGGTCTACCTAAGTCTCTCAACTGCCAGGATGAAATACAAACTGGAACTGTCTCTATGGCAACAAATATTTTTAACTTTTTGAGCATACAAGGTTTTTTTTTAATGGTCAGAGGGAAAGACACACAATAAAACATTACTTCCTAAAACCTTGGAACATTTTCTTCAGTGATCCAAAGAATGTATCTTCCCACATATTCCAGTAGTATTTTTTTCACCTTCAGTTATACTGAGAATTTTGAAAAGAAAAGCATCTGTATTATAAATGCCTTATTTAGTTTTAAAGATCTCTATGAATCATAACTTATTTTTAATATTCCTCCTGGAAAAGTCATAGCAATTGCATTGTGAGTTTTCTACATCAAGAACCTCCTATGTAGTAGAAATAAAGACCAAGTAACGATAAAATTTATCATTGTTTGTTTATTTATTGGTTGTCTGTTTATTTGTAATACTGGAGATCAAACGTAGGTCCTTGTGCATGGGTGGCACATCCTTAGCCCCAAAATGTATGTTTTTTAAATTTTCCAATCTTAGTACTGAGCTGTAAAACCTCTAAACAGGATTATGTCAGTTAAAATGCATCTTACCTTATCCTCTGGAAGGCATTTTACAGACTTATCTTAGAACTTACAGTAACAACAGATCAGTGCTAACCAGTCTGAATTACATTACCTTCTTATCCACTTTTTGTTGTTTTGTTTTTATTTCTTGAGACAAGGTCTCACTGTTTAGGCCAGGCTGGCCTAGAACTCACAATATGCTTGCTTTAACCTCCCAAGTGTTGGGATTACAGGCATGTAGCACCATATGGAGGTCCACTTTTGGAGACTCATTTCTTTATCAGTTCAACTCCTCCTCAAATAATACATTTTACTTTTAGGAAACACATTTAACTTTTTCCAAAAAAAAAAAAATTATTCTTTTTCTTTTCTTTTTTGATACTGGAGTTTAAATATAGAGCCTCAAGCTTGCTAGTCAAGCACTCTTCCACTCTCCAGCCCTTTTGGCTTTTAGTTTACAAGATCGAGTCTCATGCTTTTGCCTAGGCTGTCCTCAAACTTCCAATCTCTGCCTCTACAGCTAGGATTACAGACAGATACCACCATGCCTGGCTTGTTTGTTGAAACAGGGTCTCACTAACTTTTTGTGTAGGCTAGCTTTGAACCTAGATCCTCCTACCTCCACCTCCCAAGTAGCTGGGAATACAGGCATGCATCATCACACTTTGCCTACTAACTAGGTTGAGAGTGAAATGAAATAACCGATTTTAAAGCACAAAATTCTCATAAATTGTTAGATACATTTCCCATTAAATATTTAAGGTCAAAACTCTGTAAAATAGGGTGAGGGGCACAGCTCAAACAGTACAGTGCCTGACTCGCAAACCCAAAGTCCTAGGTTCAAACCCCAGTACCTCAAAAAAAAAAAAAAACCTCTGTAAAATTACAAACTTTCCAGCTTCCTTTTACAAAGAGAAATAGAAATTATTTAACATTTTCTTAAAGAGAGAATGTCAGGGGCTGAGGGAGTGGCTCAAGTGGTAGAGTGCCTGCCTAGCAAGCATGAGGTCCTGAGTTCAAATTCCAGTACCACAAAAAAAAAGAGTGACTATCATCTACGAAACATGAACAAGAACTATGTAAGGCTATGGAAATACTTGCCATAGAAAGAATCTACAGGCCACGTCAAATCTAATACAAAGCAAGAAAACTAAATTTTGAGTTGCTATTTCTTCCCTCTTCCCTGCTCCTACTCATTTCTTAGCTGTATATCCATTACTTCAAACTTTCCATCAGTACAGCAGAAATAACTCAAATTTTGAAGTCAGACCTGAGCTCAAACAGTAATTTATTAGCTCAGTGATCTTTGGGCACATAACTTAACTTTTGAATCTTGGGTATATATATATATATATATATATATATATATATATATATATATACATATATATGTGTGTGTGTGTCTTCAAAAAAGGAATAACGACTACGTATAGTATGGTAAGAGAGAGAAATTAAGAATAGCACCTGGCAAATTATACAAAATAAGCACCAGATGAAATGTAGCTATTATTATTACTACTCTGCTCAGAATTACTACAGGTTGGAAGCTAGATAACCAATATTGTAATATTTTTATATAAAATCTAGTAAAAAGAAGTTATTGCCAGTGACTCACGACTGTAATCCTAGCTACTCAGGATGCTGAGTTTGGGAGGATTGCAGTTCAAGGCCAGCTGAGGCAAACAGTTCATGAGACACCCCCATCTCCAAATAAACACAGCAAAATGGACTGGAGGTATAGCTCAAGTGGTAGAACACCTATGCAAAGCCCTGAGTTCAAACCCCACCAAAAAACAACAAAACTAAAGATGATGGCAGCCAAGTGCTGGTGGCTCACATCTGTAATCCAGCTACTTAGGCAGCTGAAAATGGGAAGATCATGGTTAGAGGTCAGCCAGGGCAAATAGTTAGCCAGACCTCGTCCCCAAAGTAACCACAGCAAAATATACTGGAGTGTGGCTCAAGTGGAAGAATCCCTGCTTTGCAAGTGTGAAGCCCTCAGTTCAAACCCCAGTCCCACCAATTAAATTTAAAATTTGTACAAAAAAAAATGGCAAACATTAAGAAAAATTAAAATATAGTAAAAAAATTTTGCATAAGGTATCAGTAGCATGTGATAATGGACCGATTTCTTTAATGTATAAAAAAGCACTACTACAATTCAGTAGTCAAAAAGACAAAACCACTAGAAAAATAACCAAAGCACATGAAAAGACAATCACAGAAAAAAAAAAAAAGCAAAGATGTTCAATTTCATATAAAATGGAAATTAAAACAACTAGGAGATACCATCCCCTCTCAGAGGGCAAAAGTGAAAGGTTGTAAGACCCAGTACTGGCAAGGGTAACAGGAAACAGGTAAACTCATATACTGCTACTCTAATCTCTTTGAGAAGAAATGGGGCTGATGGAGTGGCTAAAGATGCAGAGTGCCTGCCTAGCAAGTGTGAAGCCCTGAGTTCAAACCCTAGTGCTGCAAATAAACAGATAAATAAATGGCACTATCCATAAACACAGCACTCATATCCTTAACCCAGTAATTCTCTTTCTAGGAATGTATCCTTTAAAAGCACCTAGACAGTGTATTACAAAGATGTTCACTACAGCACTGTTTATTACAGAAAAAAAAAACCTTTGATTAAACAATCCATCTGATGAGATGAGTCAAAGATTGTTAAAATTCTATGCACTAAGAATATTTATACGGTTGTTTAATATGATGTAATCTGTCAGGCATGGTGAAGAATGCTAGAAGATCTCAAGTTCAAGCCTGTCTCCAAAAAAAAACAAAATGAACAAAAAAACCCACAAGTAACAAAACACAAAAAACTGAGTCTATGTTGCCTACATCACCTGCACTACTCCCCCAATGTCTGTGGAGCGTTGATTCCGGGACTACACTTCCCCATTCCCCTTGCAATACCAAAATCCACGCATGATACAAAATGGTACAGCATTTGCACATATAGTATGCAAATCCTCCCACATACTTTAAATAATCTATACATCTCTTATAGTGCCTAATACAATGTAAATTCTATGTAAATAGTTGTATAGTTCACAAAAATTAAAACAAGTGAAAAACAAAACAATACCATATTGTTTAGGAAATGATGACAAGGAAAATCTGTACATGTTCAGCACAAATGAAAAAAGCGTTTTTGAATATTTTGATCCATGGTTGGGCTGAATCTACTGATGCAGAACTCAAAGATATGGGGACCAGATATACACACATGCATCAATGTGCAATGGATCTTTTTTGAAGTTTAGAAGAAGGAAATCTCTCTGGGTCTGGCAAGCTGAATTGTGACAAAGTGGAAACTAGCTGGCGGAGTGGCTCAAGAGGTAGAGTGCCTGCCTAGCAAATGTGAAACTCGATTTCAAGTCCCAGTATTGCCAAAAAGAAAATAGTATACAAGAAGTAGGAACGTGCCAGGAGTCCATGGCTCACTGGCTACTTAAGAGGAAGAGATCAGGAGGATCAAGGTTCGAAGCTAGTCTGGGCAAAAAGTGAGACTCTTTATCTCAAAAATGCTCAATACACAAAAAAGGGCTGGTGGAACAGCTGAAGTGGTAGAGTTTCTGCCTAGTAATCATAAGGCCCTGAGTTCAAAACCTAGTACTGCTCCCCAGAAAAACCAAGGGAACACCTCACTGTTCTCTGTGGCTTTGTTTGCTGGGTTTGCTGGGTGAGGGTGGGAGGGAACAGTGCTAGGAATGGGCCCGGTCTTTGCGCTTCCTTCGTAGGTAGCTCTGCCGCTGAACCATACCCAACCCTATGTAGTTTGGTTTCAAACCAGGTGCACACATTACTTTCATTACTTTTCAGTGTATTTAAAGCCTATCCTATGAATACAAAATAAATTCAGTCGATTTATATTGTTCTAGTGTTTCTTTATAGATACTAGCTAAAAACCTTCCTATAAAGACCTGCAATTATTGAACAGATTTAAATCTGTAAAACATGAATGACAGTAAAATCACTGACCAAATAGACCATATCCATCAATTTGTACTATGAAATAAGAACTCATAGCAGAAAAAACACCAAATTTCAGACCTAGCTCCTCATCAGGCCATGGGGGCCTAAACAAAACCTTTATGCTTAAGCTTGTGTGTCTTCAAATGAAGACAATGCCTGGTACATGGCTGATGGCTCCAAAGCAGCACTAAAATACATAAGGTTTTACAAGCATTCAAGTAACTTTCCTATGTTTTTACATTTACTCGCATGTGTACATTGTTTGACCACCTCCCCGCCCCCCCACCAAGTAAATTTTTTGTTAGAATTCCATAAACACATTGTTACCATCATCAATACTTTTGAAACACTCATTTACTTTGTTTTAAATACTTATCACTGTGAGTTTAAGAACAGGCATTCTACTACATAAGAATCACATGACAGACTGAAATTGTATCAACTGCAAGTCTTTAAGACTGCAATAGATTTCAGTAGATATCCTTTATTTCTCCTTTTGCCCAACCATGTGTCCCATTACCCCAATATTATTCTGTGAATAATTCAAATTACCTTTTCAAAGCTGAAAAAGTCAGTAGTGTTTCTAAATGTGTTGAGGCCTGTAGATCCCTTTTCCTTACGGAGTGCTGCTGGATATTAGACAAAGAGAGGATATCGTAGTCTGAGAGCAAAGAATCAAGCTTCCCTGAAATAAAGGTAAAAAGCTTATTAGCAGCTAAACCTACTATTATTAAAATGAGAGTGCCAGACAATAAATTCTTCCTGATGCAATCGTTATAAGTGTCCAAATGCCCAGCACCACCAATGAAGCATTCTTATTAAAAAAATATATATCCTAAATGTAATGAGCTGTAAGTTCTAGTTCTTAGGACATAAAGAGATTAGATGCTACCAATTAAATAACAAATGGAGGAAGCAACCTGCCATACCTAGAATGTTCGAATTCTTGCAGAAATGACCCAATTTCTTCAAGAAAAAAATGGCATAGGAAAGAAGGGAGGGATAGACATGTAATAGATGTAAGAATACAGCAAGCAATCATAGTGTGTGAATCTTTTTGTATCTTCTATCAAATAAGTCAGCTGTGGGAAGCTATTTCAGACAACTAGGGAAATCTGAATATGGGCTGCCTATTAGATACTAAAGTTTGATAGCTCAAAGAGTAGCATATTATACAATGGGATAAATTCTACATAAATTCAAGCTTGGATGTTTAGAATTTCTAAAATCAAGTGACTGACTCAACCTTTTCATTATCAAACTGTGCTACATCGATTCCTTATCCACTGACATGTAATAAGAAAGAACAACAGGGCTGGCAGAGTGGCCTCAAGTGGTAGAGCACCTGCCCAGAAAGTGCAAGGCCCTGAGTTTAAACCCAGTACCACCACCCCTCTCCAAAAAAATAAATAAATAAACAACAAATGTATTAATACCCTGAGAAACCAAAACTGGGAAAGCAAATCTTTCACAGAAAAATCACATATCCCAAACTTGAGTTACAGAGCAAATTCAAGGCCAGCCTGGGCTACTTAGCAAGACCCTGTCTCAAAAAAACAAAAACAAAGAAAAAAAGAATCACATATTCCAAATAAAAGAGCAAAAAAAGACTAGTATCTCTATCATTTCTACCCTTGATAGATAGTCCACCAATATATTGACACCAATGAAGCAGACACTCTAAGATCAAACTAATCCCTAGAAGAAAACCAACACGAATTATTTTTACCAGACTGACTTGTCATCCAGGAAAAGCAAAGATGCACTGCCACCAGTCAGAAAAAAGATCAAATAAGCTTTGGGGTTTTTTGGCAGTACTGGGCTTGAACTCAGGGCCTACACCTTCAGCCACTCCATTAGCCCTTTTTTAAATGGGATTTTTTGAGATAGGGTCTCGTGAACTATGCCCTGCCTGGCTTGAATCCTGATCTGCCTCCTGAGTAGCTGGAATTACAGGCCCAGCTCAAATAAGTTTTTATTTGGTACAGAGTAAGAGTAACTAGTCGGTTGCAATGGCTTAAGACTGTAATCCTAGCTACTTGGGTGGCAGAGAATCAGGATTCAAGGTCAGACTAGACAAACAGCAAGACCCTAATCAATAAAAAGCTACCATGCCTTCAGAAAGTATGAATAGGAGGATCGTGGTCCAGGCCAGCCAGGGCCTGTATTCAGAAAACAGCAAGCAAAAAGGGCTGGTGGCAAGGCTTAAGAGGTAGAACACCTGTCTAACAAGCATAGGGTCTATATTCAAACCCCAGTACCAGAAAGAAAAAGAAGAAAGGAAAAGGGGAAAGGGAAGAGGAAGAGGAAGGGGAAGGGGAAGGGGAAGGGGAAGGGAAGGGAAAGGGGAAGGGGAAGAAAGGAAGGAAGAAAAAGAAAGGAAGGGAGGGAGGGAGGAAGGAAAAGAAAAAGAGTAACTACAATAAAGTAATACGCTATACCTACCTATACTTTTCACCAACAGAAACTCTGCTGTCTGCACCAAAATAGGAATATTTAGAAAACAATGTGCGTGACTTCAATCTCTTTTAAAACTGTCTAAAGAGAGTCGGGCGCTGGTGGCTCATGCCTGTAACTCTAGCTACTCAGGAGGCAGAGATCAGGAAGATCAAAGTTCGAAGCCAGCCTGGGCAAACAATTTGTGAGACCCTATATCTAAAATACCCTTCCCAAAATAAAGGGCTGGCGGAGTGGCTCAAGGTGAAGGAATGAGTTCAAGCACCAGTATCACACACACAAAAAAAAAGTCTAAAGGGGATAAGAAAGTGTGATAGAGTGGGTGAATATGATCAAGGTACATTATACACATGGATAGAAATTTCACCATGAAATTCCTTCCTAATTAATTAATGTACAATTAATATACATCAATTCTCTTAAAAAAAGGTATAAAATTGTATGAGCTGATGCCTTCCTTTCCTCTCAAAAAATACCACTGCAGAAGCAATGGTATTCAAAATCATTCCAATGGACTTAAAATGTCCCCAAAGTATAGCAGCAAGAGCTCAAAATACACATTTATTGCAAATGTCAAACATGCTAAGAAGTTTTAAAAGACAGAACCACCCCCATAAACATCAATAAAAATCCAGATTAATTTTTTTGGAGACAGGATCTCACTATGTAGTCCAGGCTGGCCTGGAACTCACGATTCTTCTGCCTCAGTCTCTTCAGTGCTAGGATTACAGGCATGCATCAACATACCTAGCTTAAAAATAACTTTTTGATATTTTTGGGGGGCAGTATTGGGGTTTGAACTCAGGGCCATGTGCTTGCTAGGCAGGTACTCTAGCACTTGAGCCATGCCCTCAGCTCTTTTTACTTTATTTTTGACATAGGGTCTGATGTTTATGCCTGGACAGCAATCCTTCTATTTACATTTTCTGTGTAGCTTGGATGACAGACAAGTACCACCATGCCCAGCTTTTTTTATTGGCTGAGATGGGGTGTCAAGAACTTTTTGCTCCAGCTGGCCTCAAACCACAATCCTCCTGATCTCTGCCTCCCGAGTTGCTAAGATTACAGACATGCTAAAATAAAGTTTCAAAAAAGAATCAATAATGTTCTCCTTCACTTTCCTCTACACATTCTCAGTTCATTCATTATCTTGCTATGAACAACCACTAAATCTAACTGTTGAAATATAGCATTAACAGAACAAAGTCCTTGCCTAACCTAACAGAACACTCACTTTAGTGTGGAAGACAGACAATGCACAAAAAAATGTATGTCAGTGCTGCGGACATTAAAGCAAGATGAAATAGGAAGCAGGAAAGACCAGTTTCTAGAGTGGCCAAAAATGGAATAGTTCCTTGCTACCCTTGCTATTATGTAACATTCAAGCAAACCTGAAGAAGGCAAGGGGGTAGGCAAGCTGTTTTTGATGGAAGTTTAATAACTTTACTCAAGGTTATAGCTCAAAATAAGAATAAAGTGGCAGCAAATCTCACACTTTCTAGATGCCACCTATTTTCTGTTAACAAAATTTCCTTTCAAACTTAATCCAAAGGAAAACTATTTTGGAAGACATTACTCACTGTTCTGTCAATGGATGGTTGTGGTGGCTTAAGCCTGCTAATCATAAAGCTCAGTGGCACCTTCAAACCTTTAAGAGACCTATCATTTACTCAACAATTTCTGAGCGCAAGCACTGGTGGCTCACGCCTATAATTCCTACAGAGATCAGGAAGGATACAGTTTGAAGCCAGCCCAGGCAAACAGTTCACAAGACCCTAATTGAAAAAACCCTTCACAAAAAAGGGCTGGTGGAGTGGCTCAAGGTGTAGGCCCTGAGTTCAAGCCCCAATACCACAAAAAGAAAAAGAAAACAAATTTCTGAGTGTTCTCTGTAAGGTATTATGCTGAGTGTCTCCATAAATGTCTCTAGGGTGTTACACTCACTTTAAAATAGAAAACAGACTCAGAGAGAATGAGTGATTTGTCCAACATCTCAAAGCTAATGTAGCACAGAACTGGGTTTAATTTCAGCCTTTGACTGAAATACTGAAGTTTTATTGATGTGATACTTTTAAAAGTCCTTTCAAAATAGCCTTGCTCTTTTGAGAACTTCTATTTCTTGGTCTGCTACCTTTTGAAATGTCATTTACCTCACAATATACAGCACAGAACTTTTTATCTATCAGTACTCACATTTTCAAACTGCATAAATTCTCAATGCTGAGAGGCCAATACAATCCTTTAGCTCTTCAACTTCACTGATACAGGTTGGTACATGAACTCAGTTTCATTCAAGATCATAATCATTCCTACGGACTTAGAAACTTAACCTCAATACTGTCCTTTCATTGTCAATAACACGCGCCAGTGTTTCTCAGAGTGTAGTCCCCATACCAGAGCATCAGCATCGCCTGGGAACTTGTTAGAAATGCAAATGTTCAGATCTCCCTCCCCTATCAGAAATCCTCAGATCTAGCAATCTGTGTTTAGCAAGCCTTCCAAGTGAATTCTCCTGCCCACCTGAGTTTAAAAACTACTAAGCTGATGGCTCCCACTGTATTCTCAGCCACTAGCAAAGCTGAGGCAGGAGGATGGCTAGAGTCCAGGAGTTCAAGGCCAGCTGTAACATAGCAACACCTCCATCTCAAGGGAAGAAAGGAAGGGAAGAGAAGTCAGGAAAAAAGAAAATCACTTAAGCTAAAGCAAGGAAACGGCTCAAAATGAAGGAAAAGATCCTTTAAGTACAAAAATATTCTTTATTCATCCTTATGAATCCTTATCTTACTTTTAAGAGCAAAAACCAGAAACAAGGTAATTTAATAGTTAGATAACTTATAAAACGTCCAAATGAGGGAGGGGCCGGGGAGGGAATCTGCAACCATTTAAATTGTTGCTTACACAGGGTTTAAGAACATGGGAAAATACTTATGTATAATATTTATACTTAAGCAAAGGGAGATTTTAAAAAACTATTCATATTTTTTCATGGTCTTAACTATGTATAAAAAATAAGCCTGGAGGGAAAAAATAAGGGCAAAGAGTAACATCGCTATTTATTTTGGGTGTATTGTCTACAAAGTGCACATTCAAAATGAAGCTTGCTAACATACCTTATGATAATATGTTTCTTTTGCAATTTATTCTGTTTTAATAACTGGATATCACAAATTGGATGTCCATTACAAACAACCTAGTAAAAACAGTTCTTTCTATGGAGGGAAGGTCATC